CCTTCAGCAAACGCCACCTGTTCCACTGCTGAGCAGCTCTCACCATCAGGATTTCCCTCCGAATGTTTAGCCAAATTCTGCTTCTCTGCCACCTCCAGCAATTGGATCTAGTCCTGCCCTTGTGAGCAATGGAACCTGCCACTGCACTGCAGCCTTTCAGAAGCCATCTCTCACCTTTATATTCTCTCCTGTAGTCTAAACACACCAGTTCCCCCCCTCCTCCCCGCCTGCCCCCAACCATTCCCTGCAGGGCTTGCTTTCCTCACCCTCCTGGCTGCTTTTCTCTGGATGTCCTGGAAGTGATCAATGAACTTAAAATGGGGCAACTCTCTTGCTCACCTGTGTGGGGCAGAATAGGACGGCTAATGGCCAGAGATTACTTCCAGAGGTGGGGCACTCTGTGACTTTCCCCTATTCCTCCAGAATTGCGAGCAACAGCAAACTCCAGGAGAGTTTTAACCTGATTCAAGAAAGCAGCATTCTTCATTGCTGTTAGGTGCTGAAGTCCTGAATTAAACCACACAGACCACGCCGTCCCTGGAGAAAGGCCTTAATAAATTCCTCCCATACTGATTATTTATTCTCCTTTGGCCTTTCAGCCTGCTATTGAGCCTAACCTAATCTGCAAATAGAGGCCCAAGTTCACCCACGTGTTGGAGAACTGCTGAAAGGCTAACACAGAAGCGGTGTCTGTTAAGAAGGAAGGTCACCACCAGCACAGAGTAAATAAATGGGCTGCTGGTTCGTAAGATGGTCTCCAAGGCAGCAAATCACCATCTCACTGCAACACAGTGCCTCCAACACCATGCACCCACTTTTGGAAATGGAGAAAATGGGAGGCCGGATGCATGATAAGCGTCTACTGCCGTTTCTGCTATCTTTAGACTTCATAGAAGGTCATGAAAAGAAGCAGCCACTTACAGCAGTTCTATACACAAGGTAGTAGATACAAGCTTGAAAAATCTGGGGCTATTTAAATCAAAGAAGCATAGGAAAATATTATACCAGGAACAATACTGTAAAAAGGGTTCTTTTCCCAGTATTATATTAAAGTGTGTGCATGCACCAATACCCACTTCTCGACCAAAAGACAAATTTACAATTCCAGTGACTGCAGTTTGGTCCCATACCAGATATGAATCTCTATGGCTATCCTTTAAAATCCTCCTATTTCAAGCTAGACAGAAGTAGAAAGCGAAGTAGCGAACAGGATTTTTCAAAGAAATAATGCTAAACTGGGACTGGTTTCCCCAGCCTGGTGTTGGACTACAGTAAGGCGGAACTAAAGGCCGCGACAGCACGTCTTGCCTGCCCTCGTTCTCCAGAAGGATATGGAAGGCGTAGAGTTAATCGCTGCTCGGTCATGAAGCTTGAGGGGGTGCAGGTGGGTGGAGAAGACTTGGATGATCCTTGCTCCCTCTCTTGCACCTACCATACAGGGTTGTGGTGGGAATACATTGCCCTGGTCTCCTTAGAGAAAGTTCAGGATACACACATGGGATAAAACCAAACACTACTCCTGCTTAGAGTGGGCCCATGCAGGTCGATGGAACTTAGTTTACTAGTCACTAACTTAAACCCTATTCATCCCAGTGAGTCTTCCCTAGGTCGGGCTGGAGTTGGAGTTCACCCGTGGGTAATAATCTCAGCCATGGGAGGCCTAGATTGTGCCACGGGGAGGTGGTGTGGTGCGTGTCCACCCCAAGGACCATCCCACTCTTCTCCGTGGCCTTTCCTGCATGGGGAACAGCACTCTGCCTTGTGTTTGCATTGGGAAGGTGGAACCCATCAGACTCTCCTCGGGCACCAAAGGGAGCATCCTGGGACAATTACTATCATGGCAGCAGAACTGTAGCACATCTCACCAACATGGGGTGGTCCAGGACCACACGATCTTGTGCCTGAGTACTCAGTCAAGCTTCAAGGCCCCTTTCTTACGGACTGGACGGCCACTCAGTAGAGGACTCAGCCTCTGCAAGAGCCGGGTGACCTCCCAGAAAGATGGCTGACGATCCTGCAAGGCTGATCTAACCCCTTACACTGCCACATCAGAGCTGGTGACGAGCAGAGTTCCGAGAACGGAATGGCGCACTCTTGTGGCTTGAAGCTGCATGTGGTGGCATCCTGGAACAGCCTCATGATGCAGAGTTCACTGATGGGGAGTCTAGCAAAACGAAGCCTCCGGAGGGTGAGAGAGCTGCTGCACCGGAAGCTCTGAACTGACCAGCAATTAGAACATTACAGGGCAGGTCAAAGTCTCATTCAAAAACTTTCTATGATATAGAAAAATGCAAAGAATCATAGAATAATAGAGTTGGAAGGGGCCAAGAAGGTCACTGGGGCCAACCCCCTGCTGGTGCAGGCCACCACTTTACACCATCCCATTCATATAAGCCTGAATCTGGGTTTCTGCAACTTGAGCTGATTCTTCCATGTCCTACATTCTGGTATCAGAGAGATTTTGACCTTCCTCTTTGTGACAGCCTTTGACCCCTTCAGTCTTTGACATGATGCCTTTGACCCCCTCAGTCTTCTCTTCTTAAGGCTGAGCATGCCCAGCTCTCTCCATCTCTCCTCAGAGGGAGGTGTTTCCAAACCCTGGATCATTTTTTTGCCCTCCCCTGGACTCTTTCCAAATTTTCTGCTTCTTGCTTAGATCAAGCCAGCATCCTGGCCCTCAATAGGACAACATTTTAGGATCACTGCTGAGTTCAGCCACCCACCTGCATCCAACTTTGATTGGAGTATCCTCCTGTGGACCCATGACTCAAGCCTTTGCCCTCAACACTGCTGATTAAAGCAGAATTTTAAATAAAAATAAATAAAAATTCCCTCCATACATGTTGAGCACATTCCATCTGATGCTTTAAAAAATGAAATGAAATGAAACAAAACCAGACAAAACACGACCACCACCCCACTGAGCAAGAACAGGCGTGTCCCCTTGTGGGGATCCCTTGCTTTTAAAACAACAGGAGTACTGTCTAGATTCAAGAGCGCTCTCTAGTGGCCAGCCTGCATATTCTTAGAACCTGTGCCTAAATTAGGAGTTTAGGAAACAGCCTATTAGCTAAAGGCAGAACTGAAATGATTGTGCAAGTCCAGCACTCGATTATTGATTGATTGATTTCATTTTAATGCCACCCAATAGCCTAAGGCTTTCTGCACATTTAAAAAAATGAAACAAAAAGCAAATCACAAGACAATAAAACCCTCTAAAACAGCCAGCAAAACAATTCCACCACTGTCATAATCAAATCTGAGCAGAAGCAAGGCAGTAATATAAAACAAAATATTAAAACTAGAATTTAGTTATTTAAACACCTGGGAAAAAAGGGTTTTCACCTGGGACAGGAAAGAAAAAATGGTAGGCCTCAGATGTACCGCTTAGGGGAGGCGATTCCACAAATGGGGTATCACAACCAAAAAGCTCCTTCTTCTGGCCACCACCCTCCTTGCTTCTGTTGGAGGGGCTCCCTAAGAGGAGGAGGAGGAGATGATCTTAAGTACCAGAGGAGATGATCTTAAGGCCCTGGTAGGGATGAGGTGTTCCTTCAGATAGCCTGGCCACAAGTCATTAGGGCTTTACATGTTAGCGCACACACTTTGAATAAAGCTCAGACTTCAGCTGGGGTCCCATGCAGTTGGAGGAGGACTGGCATAATATGCTCTCATGGGCTAGTCTGTACACTCTCACAGGATCCGGCTCGGGTTCAGTTCATGACTTGCAAATGAGCATGTGCCACAATCCCCTGCTCTAAAAGAGATCCTCGGCCAAGGTTTTGCATTAGTTCCAATTCTCGCTGGAGGCACTTGGGAACAGTTGCTAAGGAAGATGAAAGCTTCTCCTTGAATAAGCATCCACTAGTTGTGTACATTTGAACAAATGCAGGAAATGGGGCATCCACTTATTCCCTCCTGTAATCTACTTATGGGAAACCAGCCGAGGGGGCCCTGGTTTGGAAAGGTAAGCGGCTGTAAATGAAACAGATTCTTTTTCTTTTTTGCCCACCTGTCTCATCCTTTTCTCTTATGTATCATGTCTCTTAGACTGCAAGTCTGCAGGTGGTGGTGGTTTAGTCTCAAAGTCGTGCCTGACCCATCGCGACCCCATGGACAACATTCCCCCAGGCTCTCCTGTCCTCCACCATCCCCCGGAGTCCACCCAAGCCCACACCCACTGCCCCATTGACCCCATCCAGCCCCCTCAGCCTCTGCCGTCCCCTTCTCCTTTTGCCATCAATCGTTCCCAGCATCAGGGGCTTCTTCAGAGAAGGTCTGCCAGACAGCAACTTAATCTTTGTAAGCCGTTCTGAAAGCCTTTACCAAGTGCGTTTAAAAAGTTCTAAGTAACACCAACTGGACTGCTTCACGTTTGCACTGCTCCATGGCCCATGCATCCAGACATAGCCCATCATTGCCTGGCGCTCTGCAAACTGTGGCCTGTGGAGAGTGGGGGGTCAGGAGAGGGGATGAAAGAGGGGCTTTGCTGGACTTGCAAAGCCAGGCCTGCACTAGGTCATTCCAGCTCATTCATGTTTCTGATTGATGGGAGACTGCCCACCATCCAACTGCTAGAACCAGTTGTGAGGATATCTTAAACTTACCCCTGCAGGCAGCACTCCTGCACAAGCTAGATAGAGTTGAGGAGAGGCTCAGTAAACTGCTTGATTTAACCTCCGTGTCTGGGACTGCAGAAACAAAGAGACTGTTATGCATGGGGGAGCACACAACAGATGTCCCCGCAGGTGTGCAGGTGAGCTTCAAAGGGCCAATACAGAGTCAAACCCCCTCTGGAAAATTTGCTACTAATCAAGCTTCCCAAGAACTGTGCAGAGCCCTTTTTGCTTGCAAAACCCTAAAACAAGCCAACAAAATGGTTCATACACACACTGATTCAGATCTCACTATACTGTTCCCTAGAATTCCAAAGAACGTGAATTTCGAGAGGCAGGGAGGTTGTATGAATGGCACATTCATTCAAACATCACCACACATGATTCATCTGAAAGTTTCCTTTATTGTTTACCGCAAGGAGCCATTATGAATGACTGGCAAATGAATCAAAGATCTCACTCAACAGACACTTGGAACCACATCCAGGTTTTCACATTTACAAACACTGTGCAAAAACTTCTGGCATTCTTATATGTTCCAGGGCTTGAACATAACAAGCAGAACATTTGACAGAAACCCAAGCCAACATTATTTGGGGCGGTGCGGGATCCTTTTGGAAAACTTGTTCCTCTAGCACAAGCCGCCGTTTGCTCCTTGCCTTCCTCCTGGAGATTCTGTCGCGCTCGCTTCAAGTCACAGACAGTCGCTCCCTGGCAACAGCAAACATCTTCAAAGAATACCCAGTGGTGTTCAGCTCAGCCTTTTCCAGTCCCCGACTTTCAAGAATTCCTCCCCTGAGTCTTAACCGCCCCTCTGTGATTGCAGTCTCAGGTTGAGAGATGCACGCGAGTACTTTAAGTGGCAGATCTGTCAGCGAGACAGAATTATTCATGATTCTGTGAACAGCATAAATTAAATGAAGGCTGGGCTTTCAACATTTAAAAAAAGGTTCAGCTTTTTGCAGAGTTTCTTTTGCTCTCCCAGCATTCATAAAGCCTTGCATGGCTGAGGGCGGAAGATAAATGGAGTAGATACGTATGAAACTGCTGCTCCTCTTCAGCCGAAGAAGACTGCTCGGTTTCATGTAAAAGGGCTAGCAGGTTTGGCGAGACAAAATGGCCCATCTCCGGAGAGATTACACATACCCTCAACATGGACATGCACATGGCATGGCATGAGTGCAGTCGGGGGTCAGACTAGATGGCCCCCAGGAAGCCCCTTCTGACTTGCTCTGTTTCTATGTAGCATCACAAGAAATTATAAAATGCAACTGATTAAATGAAGATCTTTAGCATCAAATTAGAGACAGTGGCCCCCAGATGGGGCCCAAGCGATGCTGGAAGTCCTACTGATTGCACTGCAGAGGCTTTCGAGCTTCCAGTGCAGAGCAGGGAACACAGTCCTCTCAATGGCCTAAGGTCAGCACTCTAGCCTGGGAGAAGCAGCCCGTACGGTTCTTTGTGCTGGCCGTGTGGCAGAAGGAAGGTCGCTGAAGTCCGGATCCCCATCTTTGGGGCTGGAGCTGCTGCTGATCACAGAATCCAAAATATTCTACTCTGCTCGATATAGGAAATGAGGCCAAGTATTAATACCGCCTTCATTTATTTTTGAATGATCCACTTCCCAGATTAAATGCCATTGACTCTGATGCCCCCAACCTAGCGGGCACATGGACAGCATTGTTGCTGAATGCGGATGACTCCATCTTATTGTCAAATGACAGAAGCGTGGAATAGCAGAGTTGCAAGGGGCCAAGAAGGCCATTGGGTCCAACCTCCTGCTGTTGCAGGACACCAAGTCACACCATCCCGCTCAGAGGGCTGGCAAGTTTCTTTTGGATGTTTCCAGTGTGAGAGAACCCATGACTCTGTCATATTGTTGACAGTGGAAAAACTTTTCCTGTTATCTCGCCTGAATGCTCGTTTCTGCAACTTGAGTTGATCATTCGGTGTCCTACACCCTGGTATCAGCAAGTTGAGATCCTGTTCTTCCGCTTTGTGCCAGCCTTTGAGGTACTTATAGAGAGATACCTTGTCCTTGTCAGTCTTCTCTTCTCAAGGCTGAACATGCCCAGTTCTCTCAGTCTCTCCTCACAGGGTAGTGTTTCCAAACCATGAATCATTTTCGTTGCCCTCCTCCAGACCCTTTCTAATTTTTCTGCATCTTTCTTAAATCTTGGTGCTGAAGATCTCTGCCCACTTAATTTGGCTATAAATTATCCCAAAAGCAAGTTTTTAAGTCTTTTCAAAACAGAAGAGAATTGTATAGCTGAATTCACACTGGGAATCCATTCATAATACCAAAAATGTACTATAAATACCTTGGTATTCATTTTCATCCTAGTTTAAATGACCTGTAATGGTGTTCTGCACACTTGTTGGCACGTAATATCCCACCAGCTTTTCTACTATTCTATTATGAAAAAGTGGCTAATAATGTGGTTTTACAGGTATTTCATACTAAGATCTTATAACTCAACTCACACACAGGTTAGCTGTTTGGGTACACAACACAAGCAATGAAGTTGAAAAGTGTTCTGAAAACAATTCTTAGGGCCCCTTGGTGTGTAGTTAATCCAAAAATTAGATTCAATGCCATAACATAGCAGGCATCTACTCTAAATATAGAGATTAAAATTTGTTTTAACCAACAGCAGTTTTGCTACTGTTCTGGTAAGACTCTTAAACAGCTGGTTGAAGGTTATAAACTGCAAAGTAATTTGGTATTTTTCCATTTGAGCTCTATTCTTTGGGCAAGGAAAAGTTCTTTTAAGATTGCACAATGTGGAATGGCAAAAATCAGAGAACATTGGCAGCTATATTCTGCTTTGGGAATTAAGTTTCCAATTGGAAGTAAACAAGCTAACTAGCTAAATACTGTTTTGGTTTAAAGCCCTTAGGTTACATTCTTACTGGCCCATTCCCACAGTTGCCATGATAGAGAGGAGATTCAGTGTGATCCTTATTGTCCTTGAAGCTCAGGGGATTTGGAGACAAGGATAAATGTTTTGTGAGTATGAGCAGATAACGCGTGTGGCTTTTAGCCTCTAATTTGTTTGCTCTAGCTTACTATTTAGCCAACCAGTCTCTCCAGCTACTGGACAAGTTGCTACATTTTTTCTTGAAGCTGAATTGAAGAGAAGCTTCAAATAACAAGCTTCTGATTTGCTCAGTGTGGGTGATACACTATGTTTCTGAATAATTATTTGCCTTGCTTTTATATGACTGTGTATATTTTGCTCACTTTTTTCAATCTGGTCATGGAATAAAATGCACAGCTTTGGAGTTGGATATTACAGAAAAGCCCTGTAGAAAGAGGGACCCACACAAATGAAAAAGGACAACACTTCTAGATAGAATTAACCTGCACAAGACAAGCATTCAAGAGCACCGTCGACAGCAACAATATATTCTACCTTCACCAGATAAACATTCTTCTTTTCAATGACTTATTTTGTAGGTCTACACAACATTAATAGCAGTCATATTTTCATCTCCCCACCCCTTTTTAAAAAGAGACACAACTTGCCTACTTCAAGAGAAAAAACTAAATATTTCGGAAAACGTATTGATCAAACAAAACTCCTTTTTGTATTATCGCCAGAATTTTATGCATTTGCCTCCATCAAAGCAGGGACATGCAGCATGGCGACTGCTTGGCTGTTTAAATTAGCTTTTTGGGTGTTTAGACTCCAGAATGAAATATGATGAGAAGACAAATCAACTCGGCTCAATCAACAAGTAGGTTTTCGTATGTGAAAACCCACCATGATATTACGGACTCCTGTGACCAGGGCAACAGTATGCATAAAAAGCAGTTCCTGGCGCTCTGCAAAGGAGCCGAGTGCACAAAACAGCCATTAGTGCCACAAACAGATTCATCCCAAGCTTCTTTTCACTCCACAAAAGGGTGTTTTGGGTTCAGAAAGCCCCGTCCCTCCATTCTTAAGCCACCGGCCACTACTCCGATTATTCTGCATAGCTATTCACCTGAACCGTACATCTTACCTTCCCTGGAAAGGCCAGGTTCCCATGCCCATGACACCCTTCAAGATGCAGACTATAGTATTTCTGAATGGATATTAGAGGAATCCTAAAAGTACATCAGCGCTCCTATGCTTTATTTCTGCACTTCCATTGCAATGCTTTCGGCCAAGGGATATTAAAATACCCAGCAAGCATCTATTCTACAACAGCAACACAAGCTAAGCAAACTGCCATGTTGTTGCAACACTTCATCATCAAGAAAGCCCAGAACATTTGAATGACTTTTGGGCCACATGAAACTATTCCTTGCCTCTCACTGCCTCAACAGACAGGTCCCTTCCAAAAATGAGTGCAGCATCCACTAGAAATACTTGTCTCATTGTTTGTCTAATATTCATCCATATAAAGAAAGGAACCCGGCCCCCTCCAAAAATCAAAGTCCCTCTTCTTCCTTGTAAAATGCAATGGCAAAACCAGTTAGTTGCACAACACTGACTTGAGGCATCTTGCTAGAATTACGGGCCAACGACTGGTAAGTGCAGAAAAGAGTTCCAGGGTTAGCTTCAGAAGAAGCAGCAAAGGGTTTTATCTCATGCCAGTGGCATGCCACGTTTCAGTTCCTACATATCATGCAAGAAGAGACAAGAGCCCTCCCTAATTAACATGCCACCATTAATCACAAGCCCAGTCCTCAAAACAGAACTTTTGGATTCTGCATTATTTAATTCCATTATGAAGGTTCCTCATGGATGTCTTTAGTGCCTGAATGCACATGCTGTTATATGCAAAGAATAATTCTATTTCTATACAGCTCTGAATGCATGTGGAACTTTTTAGTCTTGCACAAGGAGGGGCTTATTTGTTTTTTGAATCGCCGCCTAGTCCTTCCTCAGCTGTGTGGCCATTTCTCGAACTGCTCAATTCGCTTTCCTTCCGCTTTTTCAAGCAGCTGTGGGGCCCTTTCCCTTCAAACGAGGACGGGTGTTTGTAGGAGCCCCCGATTCGATCCCAGAGCGTGAAATACTGGCCATAGTTGTAGTCAAAGTACAAGTGGTGGTCAGTGTGATGGGCAGCCCCGTTGATAATCTGCTTCAATATATCAGGAACACGGTAATCCCCATCGTGAATGGAGATGGTCCAGATGTTAACAAAGATATACAGGGCCAGGTAGGTCACCTTGTGCAGAGGAAAAAAGAAAGGATAGATGTGATACGGGGTGCCTTGAAGGAACCCGTCCACCGGATGGAAAGCGTGGCTTGCAAACGGCGTTGGGACCTTCCATAAGTGGTGGGGCTTGTGGAAACGCTGCGGAGGAAATGAGAACAAAAGAACGTGAGAAGAGCCCTCCTGGACCAGGTCCAGCATCCGTCTCGTTCGCCACTCTCTTCACAGATAGGACCGGAGGAAAACAGCACCCCGCCACCCATGCTCCCCAGCAACTGGGGTCACAATGCCTCTGATACTGAAAGCGGCATGCAGCCATCCCGCCTAGGAGCCACGGATAGCTTTCCCCTCCACCAAGGTATCTCGTTTCCCTTTAAAACCATCCCAAGTGGCTACATCCTGCAGAAGCGAATTTCATAGTTTGGCCACGTGATGTACGACAAGGTATTTTCTCTAAGCTGCCCCGGATTTCTCATTGATCCACTTCATGGCATGTTTTCACTGGGTTCTTGCATTGTGAGAGTGAGAAAACAACTCCCTTCACTCACCTTCTTCAGAACTAAACAGTCCCCACTATTGCAACCTTTCCTCATTCAACCAGCCCTGGATCATTTCAGCTATTCTTCTCTTCCCCTTTTCCAAGTCTACAAAGAATTAGTCACTCAGAAGGAAACATGCCAGAGGACTACACCCAGGTAGAAGGTGGGTTGCTGTGTTTTTTCTTTGGCTTTCCTTCAGGCCATCCTAATGACGCACATTTGTTTTATTTTAATATGAACACCCAATAAGCAAAGTTCTTCAAGTCATTCGCAAAAGCTAACCTCTTGGAATACCAGTGATGGTTTTCCACTGCTTTTCGTCTCCAGCATAAACACAGAAAGCACAAGTTTCCAAATGAAATAACCTCATTGCATCTGACGCATGGACTGTGCCTGTTAGACTGGGCACACAGTCTTCCAAGGATGAGCTACTACTTGATGACTGATCAGACTTACCTTATACAGAAGTTTATGGTGAAGAAACCGATGGATCCAGTAAATGCACATGTCAGTGAAGAAGAGAAAAGAGAACATGCTGCCAATGACACCCAGCCAACCTAGCAGAGAGGAGGAAAAAGACACAGCTGGGCAGACTTGCATGACTGACGGAAGCTGCTCATCACCACGAGTCCACCTATGCCTCTCCCTGCCATGCCAGAGCCAAGGGCACCAGCACACTGTGAACCTGCTCCTTCAGGGGGCATGCGCTCCCTGCCAGAACACGCTGGACGTCACGTAGCCGGGCAGGCAAGACACCTCGTGCCTCCTTTCCTGCCCGGATCAAGTCCCCCTTATTGATTGGGCCTCCTCCCGTGCAGTACTAGGCCCACACACTGATTCAGAGCAAGCTGTGCCTCGCCTGACGTGGATGCAAAGGAGAAACGGGGGCTGGGGCCGCATTCCACACACTCGCTATAGCTCAGCCCTGAGACAAGAAAAAGACGCCAGGCATCCAACGCACGGCAAGCTAGATGCAGAAGACAAATGGGAGAGACGCAGCAGGAAGCCAGGCTGCTTCCTCACCATAGGGAGAGTCGCCAACGTGATCATACAGCTTGCTGTACCCTCTGACTTCGGCAAAGAAGATGGCAACCGTGGGGATGCTAATCCATGGCAGTGACTTGAGGGTGTGCTTTATCTCGCGCTGCACTTGATTCTGAATACAAAAGCAGACGTGTCATAACAGAGAAATATTCCCACACTTTGTAGCACTTTAAAATGTTCAAAGCAGGCATGATCTCAGCGGTCCCTCCCACAAGCTGCCAAGCCGAGTGGTGCCGTGAATCCCGGAAAAGAGGGACTGCCCAACACCCGGAAGTTTGGGTGAGTCCTGACTTCCATCTCAGTGCTTATAGCCAGTACACACTGCCTTGGAAGTCTGCTTTTTTTTAGGAAGAGACGCAATCTAATCTGCTACAAAGCAGCCAATGGGGTATTTGTTCTTCTGTGTGAGGAACTGGTAGGAAGGCTTTATCAGGCAGCTTAGGCTTATTAGATCTGAAAAGGGAGAAGGAAACCTTCACCCCACCACTGTTTGGGGTCAGGTTGGCTGAGAGATCCCCTCCACCTGTTCAAGCACATTTTGTTAACTACCCATGAGACAGTGCAGCTGTTTTCTTAGGGCTGTTGTCGTGCTTTGGGACTGCTCCTACAGGGAATGGATTTATACCATCGCAAAGCTGTGGGACCCTGGTTTCCCCCTTTGATCCTTAGAGGTGCATGAACTTTTCAAATGAGGGTTTCTGTAGGAGGTCTACCAGAGTGCCCAATCCCAGCTGCTAAGACAGTCTTCAGAAGCTCTTCTCAGAGACCACTGAGCACACTGGTTAAACACACTTAACCTAAATGGATTACACTAAGTTTAAATCGATTACAGTTGAAACATTCAGAGTTCAATGCTGAGTTCAACTTGACTATGTTGGACAGGATGCAAAGAGCTTTAAATTGGCTCTTCCCCACAGCAAGTTTCCTGCCAAGCCATTTATAAGGATCCAGCGATCCCCCAACACAGCATATGATGGTACAGGATGCTGTGGCTGGAAGATAAAATTCAGAAAAACCTACCTATATACAGAAATTTAAGGAGGCATGTGCTGGACCCTTTGGATCCTGCCCATATGTCACAACCATAAATCATATGAGTAAGAAGCATTGTACTGGCATATTATATTGTACTTTATGAGCTGGGGCACCCCAGCTCTAGCTGTGGAGGAGGACTGAACTATTAACAGCAGCAGCAACAACAGGGTACAGTAACCTATTTTTCCGCATGTGAGTTTCTGCTCTTCATCAGACATGGATACTTCGGTTCACCTGAGTGCTGAACTGAGAAATCAGAAGGTTGTTTACTTACCTCTAAAAACTGGGGGTGTTCCTTCAGTGAGTGATCAAAAATGAAGTAGTAGCTAAAGCTACCAACCAGAAAGTAAATAACAAGGGCACCTAGGTTTGTTACGACAAACAGACTAATAATCTGTCGGAAAGGGTCATCTTCTGGCCATGTGGCTGGATAAACATATGGCGTCAAAACAGAGCGATCTGCATAAGCCAGGACAAGATCCATTGTTGTACCTGCACAAGATTGCCAAGAAAGAGAAAGGGGGATACATTAAACTACAGTGAAGACACAAGTGGGAGCCACAAAAATGTAGATAAACTCCTGGCTCAGTTTCCGAGTGCATTTCAAGTTCACAAACTTTGCTTCAGTAGGTAGAGTTTTCAACAACAACAGGAACAGCCATAGCTTTGCAAATAAAACCACTGCCAATCTTTTGAGAAAGACAAAATTATTTCCCCCATAAACAAGTGTGGCTAATAAGCAGAGGCAAGGAAGCTACTGAAAGCAAGAAGCCTTTCTTTCCAAACACGACCCGTCATTTAAATGAGGGAAGAAAAGGCTGAGCATAAAATTCTTGCAAAACGAATTTTACTGAATGGTCAAGCAAACGTGGGGAAGTGGAGAGAGAGAAACAGACTGCTAACAACATTAAAGCAAGCAAGATAAATTTGCATGCACCAAGAAGCAGAAAACCAGCGGTTGGGGGGGGGGGTCCAGATCAAGCTCGCAACGCACGCAGCTGTGCTGTCCCTGCACAGCCGCTCCTCTGGGAACAAGCCCCCCGGGGGCGAAGCGGCGCTCCCTTTCCCGGACCAGAGCTGCACCAGGCGGCCCCCGCACGGCCCGCGTCGGGACGGAAAGGGCGCGCCCGCCCCTCGCAGCGAAGCCCGTCCCGCGACACGCGACGGCACACGTACCTGCGGCGCACGTCCGAGGGGGCGACTCAAGGGCGGGGGGCCAGGAGGACGACTAGCAGGAGGCGTCCGCCCGGGGCATTCTGGGACGCTCGCTCGCCCGCCTCCCTCGCAAAAGAGCCCAGGGGACGCCAGTCCCGAGAGGCGCAGGAGCGCGAGCCAGGTACGGCGGGGGCGCGGCCTCGCGGGAGGGTCGCCGCCGGCTCTCGCCCAATGGCCGAGGAGGAAAGGCGGGACTAGGGCGGAGCCGAGCTTGTAGCCTGATGAAACGTCACCTTTGCCCAGCGCGGAATCGCGCGACGCTGTAGCTTGGAAGGCGCCCCGCGGTTGGACGAGGGCTGCAGGGCGGGGCGGGGCCGCGGGCGGGGGGAGGGTGGGATGAGCCAGTGGGGTGAGGATGAGGGGCGGGGGCTTCGCAGGAGTCGCCGAGGGGGCGCCCGCGGGCCCCTCCAAGGCGGGCGCCAGGATGCGGGATGCAGTCCCAAGACACAAACTTATTTTTTGCACAGAAAAGGGGTGGGGGGAGCAGCTCTGCAACACCTGGCAGGTCCCAGCAAAATATGCACAGGACTCTGCGCGAAATCACTGCTAGGATCACATGCGCCTCTTGTGCACGCGCAAAGGAGGTGAAGGAAACATTGTTCCAGGTTGAGGAGAAGCCAGGTGTGCTGCATGGCATTGTGCGCCCCCTGAATTCCGGTGCTCCCCTCCCTCATGGTCTTCACATCTCATGGGAGCATTAAAGTGCCTTTTGGCAGCTTAGAGCGCGAAATTATGCATATTTAGAAAGAAAGTCATCCTACAATTCCTAGCATTCCCCAGACAGCCAGACTATAAGATTTCCATCTTTTTTCCATTTAAATAGGATTGCTTGCAAGCCCTATTAATCCTTTTCCCATTTCAATTAACATTTAATTAATATTTTCCTTTCTACTGGATTTGAACACTTAGAGAGATCCCTCTAAAAAGTTAGGAAGGAAATGATTACAGTAGAATTAGCTCCTGGTAAGAGTACATGGGCACACAGCCTAAATTAATAGTAAACTTTTTACATGCAATGGAGGCATGACCCATAAGTATAACATACAGGGCTTTCATTCTGTCTTCATAGACTATTTTACAAACCAGCAGGAAAAGATCGAAAGCAAATATTCACAGAGAGCTCATGACAGGATTGGAATTTTAAACATCTTGGCTGTTTCCTTAAGAACAGGACTTTCCACCCATCAAAGGCATGTACAACAATAACAACACAGAATAACACTGAGAAATCATGGAGCTGGCAGTTATTACTTTCATGATTCATTTATATACCTTCTCATAGCTGGAGGAGGGCTTTCTCTGTGGTGGCGCCCCATCTGTGGAATGCATTCCCCAGAGAGGTACGCCTGGCACTGTCGTCATTTGTTTTTCGGCGCCAGGCTAAGACCTTTTTATTTAAAAAATATTTTAATAATGCTTAATATCTGTAGGTTTTAATTGTGCAGCCAGGGTGTTTCCGGATGTTAATTGTATTGATTTTATTTTGTACTATATTTATTCATGTGAGCCATCCCAAGGCTATAAGCGATGGGATGGCATACATACACTCTAAATAAAATAAAATTAAATAATAGCCAAGCTTTCTGGATGGCTTACAACAACTAAAATGGAGACCTGACTTGCAAGGTGAGATTTACTCATTTTCAGCCAATAGAATCTGTTGGTGAATAAGCCTGGATAAAATTGGCTGGTGGATAAAAGTCCCAAAGGTAATCAGTTTCCCCAGCCGTTTAGGACTTTAAAGGGAAGAGCATCAGCAGCTTGAATTTGGCTTGGAAACAAACATGGATCTATCTATCTATCTATCTATCTATCTATCTATTTATTTATTAAAACATTTCTATGCCGCCCCTTGCCAACATCTAATTCGACCTAGATTACTGAAAGATGGCTCCATCTTGCTGGTCAGAAATCTTGCAGTCAGAAATCTAGGAGTCAGATTCTGCACTAAGATAGTGACTAATGGGTCATTGTTCAATTTAAGGGGGAAGGTTTGTGAAGGTAGAAGATAAGCAGAGCCAAGAAGAAACTCTGTCATTCTCTACCTGCCCACCAGAGCAAATGCTTTCCAATAATTATTTTTAAAATTTTTGAAGGGGGCACTGTCATGGAGGTATGCCACACTGCACTCAGATTGGGGATCTCTATATTATAGAATATGCTTATTTGACCCCCATAGTTATTCAAGATTCATTGGCCAAATTATAGAACCATAAACACCCTACCTGCCCGATAATTCACTGAGCGGTCCTGCTTTTTAATATAATTGTATACAAGAATCCAAAACGACACACAAGCTTTTGATTTTTGGACACAAGCAAGATTTCTAACACAGCTGGTAACACGGGATTGAAAAGCTTGACCTTTCCAGCATCTGCGCTGTTGCAGAAAATCTTGCTCATGAAATATAACAGGAGATGCTTAGCTTTTGCTCAGCCGAAGTATGTACTGTTGCATTACACTTACAGGCAGGGGCAGTATTAGGAGCCAGGGCAGCGGGAGATGAAGTGGAGGTGGACAAAAAGCCAGCTAGCCAAGTGAGATGGGATGACAGAGAGATTACCTGGGCTCCTAAACCTTTCTTTGCAAATATGCTCATGACCAGCATGATTGTGGACCAGGTGGACCCTTCCCCCGCTTGAGATTCAGGGCTCCAGCCCTAGTGGGATCTCCCCTAGCTCTGGCTCTGATTGTGTGTGCCGCCTATGACTTCTTTGCACAAAAACCATGAGCTTGCGAGGCCTGCCCTGGGGGAATCTGGCAGTAGAAGTCCCCCCCTGCAGTGAACCCCACTCACCTCTCAACCAAAGCAGCGAGAGGAGTGCAGGCAGGCTGGGATCACGCAGTTCTCCTGGATTCTGCGCCGTGTGGGGTGGAGCTGGAACTGGAGCTGCGAGTTGCTGACGCAGCTGCTTGTAGGCCACCGGGAGAGGTGAAGTCCAAGTCAGAAGGCAGGAAAGATGCCAGAGCTGGAGGAGAGAAAGGAAGTGGCTCTGAGTGCAGAATAAGAACCGACGGCAGGCCAGCCGACCGCTGCTCACACATAGTCCAGAGCCACCCTATTCTGTTGCGCATAGATTTCCATGTGTTGCATCTCTCCAGCCAGCTCCCCAGTGTTTGCATAGTAGCGTTCCCAAGAGCCACTATGGCACAGGCAGTTTGCTCCTGAAAAGGTGCTGGGCTTAAGTGGGTAGACACTGCAAAGGAGGCTATTCCAATCCCTATCACCCCTCCTTTAGTTGGGCTTGTTAGTTCCTTTCCCACACGGCATTTCTTGAGTTACCTGCATGTCTCTGGCACGCCTCTGTGAAAAATGATCCTGGCAGGGTACCGCTCCTAACTTTATTATTCCTACTGCCACTCCTGCACCTTCCTTATGAACTGGAGAATCTCTCCCACATTCCTAATCAAGAAAAAGATATTCAGGAAGGGTTACACACCCGTCCTTACATACACAGGTGCCAACCCAGTGTAGCACGACTGCTTTCCAGTATCCATTGGGCCTCCTCTTGTGACCTGAGATATATCACGCTTCCTCCCAGTCATGTTAACCAGTCCATGCCAAAAGCGCACCCAAGAGAAACGCCTTGTTGAACTTGCGTGCTTCAAACCCATTGCTTGCCTTGGTTAAAGCAAAATGTGCCTTCTGATGGCGTTTGTCCAGTGAGAACATGGTATCACACAAATATTTACAGAGATGGTACCCCCTCCCCCACATACATAAATACAAAAATGTCCCAAATCCATTACATATACGTGCAATTTGAACTAGCACCCTTTACAATCAAACAATCAATGCTTATTCATCTTGATGAGCATGACTGCTTATGCTCACAGCAAGAAAAATTAAAAAAAAAACCCTGGCCATTTCATGGGGCTAGCAAATGGGCTTAGCCACCCCCCCCCCACAAACATTAGGTTGCTGTAAGGAAAACTCTCCTTAGCACCATCAATATTCCTTTCTTGTACAAAACACTCTCCATAGCTATCTTTCCTTGTAAAATTTAGAGCCTGATCAAAATACTTGGCAACATTGCAAAAAGGAAAAGGGACACCAAAAAAACCCCAAAAAAACTCCTGGTAGTCACCACAAACAATTAATGCATCCCTACAATACCGTTTCTGGAAGGTTTCCTTCCCTTAAAAAAATCCCCCTAGCCTCCCCATTGAGAGTGCTCAAGGATCCTTTGTTTCAACTCAATCCCTTCCCATGCAGAATTTTTCCTTGAGGCAATACAGGCTTTGAACACTCAAAGAACCTCCAATCTCTCACCTCAGTTGCAATACCTTACTGTCCCCCTCCCTTTAAGATTTAACCCCCCCCCCCGATATTCCCTTTTAGAGTTTTCTAGACAATCCAGATCCCATCCAGAAAAGCAGTGCAAGCCTGTCCCCAACTTGTGGCTGGAAGCAGCACTGCCCCAAAGCACTTTGAACTCTACACATGCTCAGAGACTCCTGTGTGAGTGCTCCCTCTGCAATACTCACAAAATGGTGGTATCTTTTGCCAGAGCATTCCCCTTTCTTGGCTGTGTGGGGATGGCCAAGCCCACAGAGTCAAAAGTCAAGCTTGCTTATTTGTAAGCAGGAAGCCACTCAGTTAACATCCAGCCATTTTGCCTATGTGCCGGCTCTCTCGCACTCTGCCTGCCCCCCCCCCCACTTCTTTTCTTGTTGAAAAGGGAGTTTTCTCCCTTTTTTCTCTTTCATTCCCCTCGTTCCAAATCACCCCCCCCTTTCCTATCAACACACCATGTTCTTGGTATCCCCCCAAATTGTTCCTATTCTTGAGTCATTTATGCATGCCATATCTCATTTTCACATTTCATGGTCTGAAAGAGACTAACAATAATAGAAGCATTAACTCATAACAGCAACATGGTAATCCAGGATAAACTAAAAATAGATAGCTACAGAAGGAGTTTGAAGCATAAAAGACCATTATACCAAAAGTTACAGATTCTCCCTAAAAGCCTCAGTGAACTAGAAGGTTTTAACCTAATGCCTAAAGAACAGTAATTGCTGGAAACCGCTTACCTTGCCTGAGAAGGACTTCCTATAAACAGGGGCCAACACCAAGAAGTCTTCCTCCCTTCATGATCAGAATTATCCACACAAACCATCTCTCAAAGCCATGCACCACCTCCTTCAGAATGAAATGTCCTCCTTGGTCCAGTTATGATGCATTTTTCTGTGTTCTTTAAATATTTTTAAGCCTTTTCAATTCACTATTGAGATGGTTGATTGCTTGGTCAAAATGGCCTATGGATTCTGCTCCAGGCTTTGATTTGATTCTTTTCCGCAGATTTCTGAAGCGTTGCAAATGCATTTACGGAACAGCTGAGTTACCATGTAACAAAACACTCAGCCTAGCAACAAGAAGGGAGTGAAAGAGCTTTCACCGAAAAGGACTGTATTCTTTCTTTCTTGATTCAGGTTGAACGGCATTTTATTCTCTATAGTTCTTCTCGGATCTTATGACCCTGAGAAGACCCCTAGTTTGCTTCCCGCTGTGCCAGTTGGATAATCCTTAAAACACCAGGCGCAAGGAGCTGTGGCCACAGTGTTTACTGAAGCCCTGGCCACTTTTCTTAAGGTATGAGGCAGCCAGCTGGTCTCCCCTCCTGGTCTCCCCACCCGCCCTCCTTTCTGTATCCTGCTACCCACTCAAAGGCAATGCATCTTTTGCAAAGTGCTTCCTGTCTTCAATTATTTGTGTGCGTTTTCATGGCAATCGTTCAGGGGCATTTGCCATGGTTTCCTTCAATTTCCTACTTCGAGGGGGCTGGAAAATCATCTTAACAGTTTAAACAGTGTTGGCCACCACTGTGGAAAGTTGCAGTAGAATCGGTAGTCCAACTAGGGAGTTTTAGACCCTCAGCGTCCTGACCTGGGGTGGGGTCTTTATACGGCCTTGTGTGATAATTTGGTTGAGAAACACATGCTATTTCTCTTCCTATCCAATTGCTGTTCTGTACTCTATAAGGCATGCTAGGGAAAGGTGAAGGCATATGAAGAAGGGGAAGGCCAATTATGGGGTGGATTGATCCTATAAAGGGAGCGGCAGACCTGAGTTTACAAGGGCTGAGCAGGGCTGTCCAGGACAGGACCCTTCGGGGACAGTAGGTTCACCATAAGTTGGAGATAACTTCACAGCACGTGCCACCAGCAACTTCCCTTATATGTTAGAATGCTTGCAAAATAACAAACAAAAACTCTGCAGGTGCAATCACACATGTAGTTGTTGTTAGTCACGAAGTGTCCGACCCATCGCGACCCCATAGACAACATTCCTCCAGGCCTTCCTGTCCTCCACCATCCCCTGGAGTCCACTTAAGCTCACAAATCGCACATTTAAGTCCTCTTCAATGAACAGCACCTGTGTGGTGACTGGAACAATTAAGGATTTATTTCTGCTACCCGAAGGCACTTTCTGGGTCGTTATTTTGATTTCCCCTGACCTTTGGCATCCTGGTCTTTCCCGCTTATGTCAGAGCCTAGCAGGACACGGAATGGCCCGTTTATTGCCATTTATTTTCACAGAAGGATCTGCGTACTGTACCTGTCACGAGGAGGGAAAATGCTGCACCTTTCCTGGGAGAAATTAAAGCGTGCTTTTTAATAAGCACACTGCAATGGGTCAGTTACAGAAAGAGCTGAGCTTTGAGGACTACACAGTGCATAATGTTGGGACCACTCTCAGCGATGCTCAGAGCAGTCTTACTGAAATCTCACTTCAGTGAGTGCTTTCTAAGAATGACCAACTTGCTAACTAGGCTACTGTTGCAACAGTACTTGTACAAGAGGAGTTCACAAGCGCTCTGCCCAGAAAAGCACAGGCTTTTTGGTGTTTTTCAGAGCCCTCTAGATCAAGACCAAAGGGTGAAGCTTATAACTTCCTTTTCCCAGGCCTTCCAGTTATGGAGAACCTCCCTCCACCCTCACTGGGCTTGTTGTCAGTAACAGCAAGAAGGAATCTGTCTAGGGATGTGGTCAGAACTGCTGTGACGGATTTTGCCGATGAGTACCTCTACAGTGCTGCTGTTTTCAACAGCATGGATGAAATAGTGACCGAAGTAATCCATGCAGCATTGCCAGACCTGGTGAGTGAGAGAATGGACGTTCTTCTCTATGGAAATGTTTGGAAGAAATACAAGCCTACTGTATTCCTCTGATACTCTGTGCCCATTTCCTGTTGGTTCAGATCCAAGAAGCACAACAAGAACTGGACCGGGAGGAGATCCTTGATGAAATCGTCTCATGCGTTGTTGAACAGGAAGCAAAAGCTGTCGTTCTGTCTGCCCTTCGCGAATGTCATGCTGACATATTTAAGTTACAGGAGCAAGAGGTAAATCGAGAGCCTAGGAAGAGCGGTGCTGAATCAGATCCATGTTGGAAGCTTCTTGGAAGCTCACAAGCAGATGGAGGGAACTTCTGAACGTGTATATTTGCTTTAGTCCAGCTCAGCCTTCCCATAAGCTGTCCTGCTTTGGGCAGCAGACTTAGGCTGTTACAGGGGCTGGCAAAGAGGTATTTAATTCCTCGTATTGCCAGGAGAGATGGGATTTTCTGTCTTAGATGGGAAGGTAACTTGGCTGGCCTTGGATACTCTGCTCTTTGGCTGGATTGGGTGTGAGAATAGCTTCATGCTCAAACTGCAAAACAACCAAGAGCACACACTTAGAAATAACTCCAGGGATGCAGTGGCCTGGGACTTGGCTGGCACTGCATCAGCCGTGATGATTTGGACAGGGCAAGTGTCCCCATGAAGATGGTACATGCTGGATAAAATCTGAGACTCACCCCCAGCATGGAAAAAGGCCAAATGAGCAGTGCAAGTAATAATTCTCCCATACTACCTTCTGGAGTCAGCCATCCAAATATGAGTGGGACCCCTGCAGTGCAAGCCTTTCAACTCCCAACCCAGGCAGCTTATCCAGAAGGAGACCATGGTTTGGTGGTATTGAAAGATGCTGACCGGTCCAGGAGAATCAACAGTGTCCCTCTTCCATCTAAGGTCATCTAACAGGGCAACCAAGGCAGTCTCTGATCTGACCAAGGGAATGTTGGCTACTGGCCTATTGTTGCTTTCAGTCAGCTCAAGAGTAGGCTTTTAAATAAATGGCTTAATTACCTTTGAAGAGGCTGTCTCCTCTTCCTGCCCACCACCATCTTCAGAAGCACTAGCCTTTGGGCGCAATTTCACTATCAGGGTTCAGCCCAGACTCTTGTCCTTCATGTTCTAAGACCCTGGAGAGAGAGGCGGGGGGGGGGGGGGAGAGATTGCTGTCATAGTCAGGCACAAGGCAGAGGTCTGCCTCTGCTGATTTGTATAAGAGACATAAGTTGCATAAGTTTCCCTCATTTGCCAGGGTGATTGCTATAAATTAGCATCTTTGCATTATGTCGATGATGAGCTACACAACATTGCAATGCAGGCATCCTTGTTGTTGCTGTTGTTGTTAGTCGCGAAGCCGTGTCCCACCCATCGCGACCCCATGGACAGCATTCCTCCAGGCCTTTCTGTCCTCCACCATCCCCCAGAGTCCACTTAAGCTCACGCCGACTGCCCCAGTGACTCCATCCAGCCACCTCATCCTCTGCCGTCCCCTCCTCCTTTTGCCATCTATTGTTCCCAGCATTAGGCTCTTCTCCAGGGAGTCCTTCCTTCTCATTAGGTGGTCAAAGTATTTGAGTTTCATCTTCAGTACCTGGCCTTCTAAAGAGCAGTCAGGGTTGATCTGTTCTAAAACTGACTGGTTTGATCACCTTGTGGTCCAAGGGACTCGCAGGAGTCTCCTCCAGCACCACAATTCAAGGGCCTCAATCCTTCGGCGCTCAGCCTTCCTTATGGTCCAGCTTTCGCAGCCATACATTGCAACTGGGAAAACCATAGCCTTGACTATACGCACTTTTGTTGGCAGGGTGATGTCTCTGCTTTTTAGTGTGCTGTCTAGATTTGCCATAGCTTTCCTCCCCAGGAGCAAGCATCTTTTAATTTCTTGGCTGCAGTCCCCGTCTGCTGTGATCTTGGAACCCAGGAAAATAAAATCTGTCACTACCTCCATTTCTTCCCCATTTATTTGCCAGGAAGTGAGAGGACTGGATGCCATGATCTTAGTTTTCTTAATATTGAGTTTCAAGCCAGCTTTTGCGCTCTCCTCCTTCACCTGCATCAAGAGGCTCTTTAGTTCCTCTTCGCTTTCTGCCATGAGAGTGGTATCATCTGCATATCTGAGGTTGTTGATATTTCTCCCTGCAATCTTAATTCCAACTGGTGATTCATCTAGCCCCACCTTTCTCATGATGTGCTCTGCATATAAGTTAAATAGGCAGGGTGACAATATACAGCCTTGCCAAACTCCTTTCTCAATTTTGAATCAATCAGTGGTTCCATGTCCAGCTCTCACTGGTGCTTCTTGACCCACATATAGGTTTCTCAAGAGACAAATAAGAAGGTCTGGGACTCCCATCTCTTTTAGAACTTGCCACAATTTGTTGTGATCCACACAATCAATCAATCAATCAATCAATCAATACACACACACACACACGCATATAATTATAATATTATTATAATCTGCTTCATTCTTTGGCCTGAGTTATAGATAAATGATGGCTTGCAACTTAATTTTAAGGTGTGTGTGTTTCTGATCATTAGCAAATTCCATAACTCCCATTTGGAAGTGAGATGGAGGCTGAATTAGTTCAGTGGAGGTGGAATGGGGTGGAAAAAGCTTTTGGGGTCCAGAGCCTCACAAACAGGTGGCTGGGTACAGCATAAAGGATTTACAAATGAGAAAACGGTAAAAACAATGTTGTGTTTCATATTTTTGTAAAATTTGAGGTGGACATCTGATAGCATTGTCATTGGAGCTTTATTATAAGAAACTTATTTGCAACTTTTTTAGGGGGCCCAGCTCCCATCCTGTGTGTATTTAAGCCCCCTGGAGACAGCTTATTATTATTTTCCCTATCATTGCCAGCTCTCCCAACTTCAGTTGCTTCAGGCTGCTGAAGTGGCACAAACTGGTAAAGAAATTATGTTATACTCACTGTTGCAAATTATCTTTGCTGAACCTTTGAACCATCATTGAGCATTCTTGGAGGAAGTGAACAACCACTCTTGGAAAGCGTTGGTCTCATCTCTTAGTGAAATTAGTCCTTTCTGAATCTGACATGACGAGATTGAGGAAGAAACTTGCTAAAAGGTTTTCGAGGCAGATTGTTTGGCATCTCCCTCCAGATGGACAGAACTAGATCCGATTTCTACAACAGCGCTGTAGTATAACAATTTCCCGTCCATGCCTCCTGTCCTACCTTGTCATTTAAAGAAATGGCAGAAATTCAGGGGTGAGGTGAACTTTACCAAAACTTGGGTAAGCCTTGATGGCTTCAGTTGCATTAGAAAGCAGATACATTTTGAGCGTACCTGTCCTTGTGGTTTAAAACAGGTCAAAGATCTTGCAACATGTTCCCATTTATATGTGATGCTAAAAGCTCGATCCTGTGCATGTTTAGGCAGAAAAGAAGATCTACAACTCCTTGGATTCCACAGCCGGAATGCCTGGTGGGAGATTGGTCTTCCATCTTTGGAGGCCAGCTGTGCCAGATGCAAGGGCAGAGCGGGGAATCCCTGAAGGCAATGTCAGGAGGCTGTAGAACTGCACCTTATAAATTCAAATTTATACATGCTTGAATTTTCAATGAGAGAGAAGTCGAACCTTGCACAATCTGCTGAGCGTTTGCTTTTACTTGAACAGATTGGGTGTCATGTATCAGGTTAAGTGTGAGTCACTTCTTAGTCAAATATATCACATGTCACAGTTAAATGACCCATTAATACTGACCAAGAATGCTTATAATTATGGCCAGTGATTTCAGCTGAATTTAGAGGCACCTAGTTTGTGCTGAGCTGCGGTTATTATTAGTGCTCGATTTTAGCTGCAAACTGCAGTCAGTTCCAGAGGGAAATCAACCCATCCCAAATGCATGCCATATGCGTGAAATATAATTTTTGTTTCCTAACAATTCTCAGGAAACTGACACATTTCTGTTATGATTTTTTAAAAACCTGAAACATTATCAAAACTCACGCTGGTGCTAGCAGTCAGAACTTGCATTTGGCTTTCCAACCAAGTGCAGCCACTGGAGTGGTGGATGGGGGAATTTTATTCACAGGGAAAGGTTTATACTCTATAAAAATAAAATGGGGTGCCTCTTTCTTTTCCCACCCTCTTTTGTGCCACAGGTTGCAACATCTGCTGCTAAACAGCTTCTTGACATTTTTCTCCTGGAGTGTGCAATAGGGAAGATGAGCTTGCGGGCTTCTACATTCTCTGGGAAAGAGCACTCATGCGTGGTTTTGGATAGTAAGTGTTGAGCACCCATGGGGGATGGGGATGGAGGCTCAAGTGCCTGTAACTTTATGTATTTTATTATTTTATTTAAAATTTCTCTATGCTGTCCATTACGAAAAAAAAGTCTCTGGATGGCTTACAAGGAACAAAAAAAACAAGAAACAAAAACTCTGCAGGAAGCCATTCTGACTTGGATTTATGTAATCCTGGAAGCAAGCACTCAGTAGCTGGTGGAGATGTGAGCTTTGATTACATTCCTGAAGAAGGTTGCAAAGGCATGAGTTATACTGGCTGGGCTTGCACAGAGCTAATGGCCGTATTTATGGTACAGACTTGAAGCAGCATAATAATGAGTTTGCTTAGTGGCTGTCGATGAAATGATGAAAAAGAGGGCATCGCTTCGCATCAAATGTGTATCTGTTGATCTATATGCATGGATGTACACTTAAAGATAATTAGTATAATTTAAATAGAACTGCGGTATCTCCCAGCACCGTACAGAAGACTGGTCAGGTGGCATGCATGCTTACTTTGCCTGTTCGGTTATCCAGGATCAACTGTGGATTGGTGGTCCAAAGTCCTCTTCTTCTTATGGCTCTTGATGTTTAAACCAGACTTGGACAGGACTGCCCAAGTCTGGTTTATATTGCTGTGGAGCCGGCCACTTCAGACCTGTGGGCACAATTAGGAATTTATGAAAATGCTGTGGGTATGTACCACCACAGAAGGTTAATTGGTAGATAGCCACTTGTGTTCCTAGAGGAGATCAACCCTGACTGCTCTTGAGAAGGCCAGATCCTGAAGATGAAACTCAAACACTTTGGCCACCTAAAGAGAAGGAAGGACTCCCTGGAGAAGAGCCTAATGCTGGGAACAATAGATGGCAAAAGAAGAAGGGGACGGCAGAGGATGAGGTGGCTGGATGGAGTCACAGAAGCAGTCGGTGTGAGCTTAAGTGGACTCCAGGGGATGGTGGAAGACAGGAAGGCCTGGAGGAGTGTTGTCTATGGGGTCGTGATGGGTCGGATACGACTTCGCGACTAACAACAACAGCCACTTGTGTATCTACCTCTTGTATCTCAGGCCCTGTGTAATTCAGCAAAATGTTTGTTCTATATCTACTGGACACTGAAATGTCTCTTTCATAAGGGATTGTCCAATTTCGCTTAACTGCTGCTGGTGCAATCCCATTAATGCTTCTTGGAACATGTGTTTTTCTCAATAGTTGCCTCTTTTGGGGAGGAGGTTATTACGGCAATAAATGCTGTGTGGGAACAGTCTCACATATACACTGATGTGCATGCTCTTTTAGATTATTTACCTGCTTCATGGGAAGTAAGAAACAGGCATTGTAAATGGAATCCCCACGCAATGTTGCGAACTAAAAGGCTGGTACTATAACATTGGGAAGATAAAACGCTCACTCCCTATAATACAATGGGCGTGGGGAGATCTGCAGTTCAGTCCCCGCGTGGCCACGATGCTCCTTGGGCAACTCTGGGCCAGTCGCTGCCTCCTAGCCTCACTGGGAGGCTTGTTGTGAAGGGAGCATGGAGAGGGGTCGGACAGCCACTCCTCCTTGCGCTCCTTGGAGGAAAGGGCAAGATACGCATGGAAATAACCACATTCATGGCTCTCAGAGCCATTTGCCCCCACTGTGCATGGCAGGTGGAGACTGGGAAGAGAGTTTCCAACTGGGACCGTGCTGGGACCAACGATCCAACACACACCATGCTCCTGAGCTGCCCCACCCCTCATGCAAGTTGTTCCTTCCGACTCACCAGCCAAACGAAGTACTTGCCTGTGTTTCCCTCCAGGTTTGATGCTTGGTATTCTCCTCAAGCAGTTCTTTAGTATTCAGCAGCACCAGCGAGCAACCTCTGAGAACATTCCCTTGGGAGATTTCCATCTGAAAGCTTTCACCAAGGTGGTAAGTAGGCTCATATTTTCTAAAAGCTGGGTTGCTTGGTTTGCCTTGGATCTTCCCTGCCCAGTGACATCCTCTGCAGGAAAGCGCATCCACATGGCTTTGCACCAGGGCAGGAGCGGTGCCAGTAAAGGCCGGGTGCAACAGGTAGCAAGTGCTGGAGAGACGCAGCCCGTGACCATGGGTAGCTGCATTCATTTCCCTCTCTTTACTAAGCAGAGACGATTGCATCTTCTTACATTAAAGCCGATCTCTGTTGATGGTTTTGAATTCTTCTTAAACTTCGTAGTGCTGAAGATTAGCCAGACATTCCACTTCTGGCCACTGGTTTTAGGCAGGAGCACAAAACCAGGTGTCCATGAGGCATGCAGGGAGGAGAGGTTCAGATACTTACCCTCCATAGGGTTGCTGCTGCATCTATCTAGTAAAACCCAACAACCGTCTTGCCCTCAGGACCAATCTCTTGCTACTGGAAGCAAGTTCTATTCCAGTAAGTAGAATCCAGATTGCGATCTCACATCCTGCTGGACTTGCCGGGGCTTACTTCTGATTATGCAGCTGCAGGATTGCACTGTACTTTCCAAAGAAATACGGAAGCCTCTGCATCCCCTGCCACCATAACCTCCAGACTGGAAATGCCGGGAGTTGAACCTGGGGACTTCTGCGTCCAAAGTACCCACAAACAGTGGCCTTTTCCCAGTGCACCATACCATTCATTATTATTATTATTATTATTATTATTATTATTATTATTATTATTATCATCATTATTATTATTATAACATTTCTATGCCGCCCCTTGCCGAAACCTCGGGGTGGCTTATCACTACTGTTATTTCTTTTGTCTCTTTTTCTTAATTCTGTACCATCCATTAGCCACAGCTCTTTGGCTGGTCCACAGAAATCATAAAGCACAGGCCAAATTTAAACCAATTTAAATAGTTGAAATAATTTCAGTTAGATATTAGACCTGATCAGTGCTGCTGCTTTAACTGACCTATCATAGGCTTTAGGAGGGGAGAACAGGTTTAACCTGGTGCTGGAAGGAGAACAGCATTGGCGCCCGACAGGTGGGTAGACTCTTCTAGGACTGGGGGGCAGGGGGCCAACACACAGAAGGCCCTTTTCCTTTCTGTCCCCTTCTGGGACTGTTGCCCTGAGCCCTGCATGGTTTTATGGGTTAAAACATGCAGGCAATGTGCATTGCCAAGACGGGAATGAGAAAACAGGTCTGGGGTGCAACAACGGACCGCCCTAGTTCAAAGTGCAGGAGTCATGGGTGAATCCTCCCTGGATGTAGAAACTAGACCACCAAGGAGTAGGAAGAGTTAGAAACGTTCTTCATGATATACTCATTTTTAATTGCATGGGGTTTTTACCCAGAGGAGCAGGCAAAACTGGTATAATGCAACCACTCTGATTTCTGCTACTGCCTCAGTTGAGCAGGATGATGACTTTGGACTGAGGAGGAGCATGTTTGCACTATTTCTCCCCAGAATGGTTGCCCTCTTGCTGTGTTGACTTTTATGCTCAGTAGTTTACCCCTTAGAGTAAATATGCAACCACCAGGTGGGGAACGCTAGTTATTCTAGTTGTCCCTACAAAAGGACAACATGGAATTAACTGGTAAGCCTTCAGAAACCCCTGAAGTCCCATTCTGGGTTCCTGGGTAGCAAAACTGCAGTGCCTGAAGGAGGGGGAATGTCCTTACAAGTCTTTGAAATGACCTTTCCAAATCCCAGTGTTCCTTGGCAACCATCCCAAATGGAATTCCAAGTGCCTGCGCAGCTTTGCCCACCTGGCCTGAAGGAAGGGGATTTTTTAAAGGTTTTTAAAAGAGGTCAGTGCAGCTTACCCCTGTGGGCATCCAAGGAGCCATGTATATGATCATGAGAGAAAAACAAGGCAGTGGGAACCGGGGATCTGTAAACTGAACCTGTCAGTAGATGGCAGCAAATCAGCAAGTTTGAAATTTACTTCATGCTGCATTTTTTATTTTTTGGGGATGGGGACCTGATGGGATATTGCTTTGTCTCAAATTACAAGTTGCTGTCACTGCTTTTGTCATGAAAACAACAGTCCTGTTCCCAGCAAATCAACCCCCCCCCCCCACTCCTCATTTGTGGATGAAACCTCTGGGACTCAGCTACACTTGCGTGGGGGTCTTAATAAAATTAAGCTTATTTTTTCCATTTCTGCCTGCAGTTTCCCTTTTTCATCTAAAATTTGGGGACGGCTCTCTTGTGTGTTTCAGGCTTTAGATGTTATCTTGACGGAGCTGAATAAAGTGATAGAGGAAGACATGGAAGATCTGTTGGAATATGAAAGAGAAGTTGAGCTTGAAAGGATGTGTGAAGTCGAGGGACGTCTTTCTTACACACATTTTCGGGAATAGGCCACAGTATGGGAAGATTGTAAAGGGAAGAACATGACTAGCGTTTTGCACTAAATCAGGCCAAAACTTGTTTTGTTCAGCTTCCACTTTCCCCAAAGGCACTTGCTGATGCTCACAGGAATACTGCCTTTGAACATGGAGGTTCCATTCAGGCCTAACAACCATTGAGAGACTTCCAAATAAATTTGCTCAATCCTCTTTTAAAGCTGTTAGCCATCATTGTAACTAGAATCATGGAACAGCAGAGTTGGAAGGGGCCAGAAGGCCATTGGGTCCACCCCGCTGCTGTTGCAGGATGCCATACATGTGAGCTGAGCACATGCGCAAGGCCAACAGGACCGAAATTAAGTCCCTCCCACAAGTGCTCAGGTGCTTCCTGGCTGCATTGGGTACACATTATAGCAAGGACATTAAGCCTGGCACTTGACTGGCCTGGGAGGGATGGCCGGAGCCCTTGATGAGGGTGCTGGGCAGTCCAAGAAAAACTGGGTGGAACCCCTGCATAGCCTTCAGGAAGATGTACCACTTATAGGACATCTAAAATCTAGTATGAGAGGCGGCCTGGATTTGCTCCAGCTGGCTGCCTTAAGAAATCCAGGTGGTTCTCTGTCTGGGTTGCAACAACCCAGATGCAGGCTAGATATCAGGAAAAGTTTCCTCACTGTCAGAGCAATACGACAGTGGGACCAGCTGCCTGGAGAGGTGGGGGGCTCTCCCACACTGGAGGCTTTCGGAAAGAAACTGGATGGTCATCTGAGTGGGATGGTGTGACTGGGTGTCCAGCAAAAGCAGGGCTTGGGACCCGATGGCCTTCATGGCCCGTTCCAACTCTAGTATTCTATGGTTCTATGATTCTAGTTTGTTCTCCAGGTTGTTCTCTAGGTTTGTGCTCACCTTTGCTCCACCGCACGGAGCACAAGCAGAAGGCTGAGAGACTGTACAGCCTTCCCCAGCCCAATGCCCTCCAAATGCTTTGCTGGCTTGGAATGCGGGGAGCTGAAGTCCAACAAATTGGGAGGGCACCAGGCTTAGGAAAGATGTGCTAATATTTTACCCAGGCCCAGCCAGTCCTGGGATTCCCTGCTGCCTGCCATCCTCAGGGGCTGATATTGTATCCCACATTGCCTTCTGGGCAGAACTGGGCAGACATTTAAGGACTGAGCTCAGCAGGCCCCAGGCAAGTTCAACTTCAGACTGTGTGTGTCTGATATTTTGGTCTTTGCATTGCTGTGCCATGTTGAATGCAGATACCCTTTTGATAAGCTGCACAGCTTTGGTGTTCTGCTGCATTTGGCCTGTTAAAACTCAGGATTTTGCACTGAGAAGTATTAACAGAAACTAGAGTAGAAGATCTGCACCTCTCCCTGAAGTACATTAATTCTCTGCTGTTATGAGAGGGCTTGTTTTCACAGTGTGCACGCATACGATCAATTCTCTGGAGATAATGTTTGACTCATGCTTTCTCTCTGATATGCTTAATCTAGAGGAACGAACGTATTTAACAGAAGCCTCTGCAAGCCGAAAGAGGCATGGTTAATACGATGCAAGGTCATGATACAGTGGTGCCTCAGACTTCGAACGTAACGCATTTCAGGAGGCTGTTTGAACTCTGAATTGTTTGAAGTCCAAAGCAATGTTCCCCATTAGAAATAATGGAAAGTGAATTAATCCATTTCCAGACCCTGATCAATAACCATCTCAATAAACTTAAACAGCAAAGATGCATAATTTAAGATAAAAATAACACAATTAAATGCCAAATTTATCAATTAAAACTTGAATATAATTAATAAAGTATGTAAATATGTACAGTACTGTGTAATCAAATGAAAATTGCATTTACTGCCTGAAAGATAAAAAAGGCACCCTCTGAAAAGACACTGAAAACAATCGAAAAGTCATTCACTGAAAAGGCACCAAGAACAATAAAAAAGGCACTGAAAACGGATCGAAACAGCACTGAAAACTATCAAAGAGGCCCACACTGAAAAGGCACTGAGAACAATCGAAAAGGCACTGAAAATGAATTGAAAAAGCACTGGAGCATTTTTTTCACTGTGCCCACAGTTCGAACTGAGACGCACCCGTCAACCTTTGGAACCATCTTATCTAGATTTTAGTGCTCAAACTCTAGAACGTTCAAACTTGGGGACATTCACAGTTCGAGGCATCACTATTTCAGAAGGGAGTCACTCCTCATGACCATTTGCATGGTATTCGGTTACATGGCATTGACTTGGTTGTTTTGTCAACCGGCTGGGTGTGTAGAGCAGTGCAGCCCAGAACATCTGGAAGATACCAAGTCATAATTTTCCTTATATTTCTAAAAATAAACTTACATCTAGTATTATCAAAAGTTTCTCAAAAAAGAAGAAAGAGAAGACAGTTGCCCTTTCATAATTGCAGGCTTTTGACCTGCCTGTGTTTCATCTCAGGAATACATGTGTGATTATTCTGAATATTGTTTTATGTTGATCTCAATTCCCCATTAGATGGAAGAACAGACAACAAAAGTATCTGAACACCATGCTTTATTTATGAATAATCCATGTTTAAATTATTTGGCTGAATGTATAATAAAAAGGGATGGAGGACTCACCAAGACTGGATCAAAGGGAGAAAAACGACATTCCAGCTGACCAGAGCTCCTCTGTGAGCCATTTACTGAGTTCAAAGGCAACATGTGAGCATAATTAAAGCAGACCGTAGCTCAGACTAAAACACAGGCCCTGTTGGGCATCCACTTTCATGCATGGCTTCTCCCCAAAGAATACAGGGACCTGCAACTTGGTGAGATGCTGAGAATCTTAGCCATGCGCCCGTCACAGAACTATCATTCCCAGGTGTCCCTCAAAAGAAGGGATGTCTGCTCAACCCAAGCACGTCTGTAGCAGGGAGGGGAAAGACGCAGTTGGAGTTGTGCAACAGTGTCAAGAAAAAAACCACAAGGTATGCAAGGGGGCCATGCTTTGTTGTAATGCAAAACTACACTCCCTCTATTTCTTGTCTTAAATAGAAAATGCACCTCGTTTGCTGCTGAATTGAGGCTGAAATGCACCAGCAATTTGGCAGTGGTGTTTGCAATACGGGTGGCAGGAGTGTAGCTTCCGGGTGGGGGGAAAGGACCCCTGGATGCTCCCAAGGTGCTCACTCCTGGTCTGTAGCATGGAAAGACTGCAGTTCGCAGTTCATCAAGGTTTTTGACTGACTTTGTGGTGGATGCCCTGCTTCTGATGGATTTATTTCCACAGTACAGTGTTATACCTGAATACACAAGGATCTGTTTCTAGAAGTCCTCAGTCGAAGGAAGGCTTCCTGAGTAGAAGGCTACCAGGAAACTAGGCTGAGCACCTAGTGTTTAGTCTTAAATCCATTCCGTGTGAACCAATGCTTGCTCGTATAAAACTGAACTTGTGAATGCTCACAATGGTAGCTGTAACACAGACTGGAACAGCTTCACCTAATGTTGACTGGTCTCTGGGAACATCTTTCAAGGTGGGCAAAGGGATTGCCGATCTATTGATCCTTTGAGACCACTGGTGTGAAAGCCACATTTCGGTTGGTCATTGTAGGAAGGAATTAACCGGAGGGCCCACAAAACTCATGGCCACTCATATACAAAGGAAATAAAGAAATGGCTACAGCGCGATCTAGATCTTAGAGAAAAGGAGGAATGTAAAAGCAGTAATTCTGAAATACTATAACAGCAGACTCATGACTACCAAGGACCTGTGGCCCAATATTTCCCTTTTCTTTCATGAACCTGTTGTAATCAAGCAAGCAAAACCTTTCCCCTTCACATTTAAACACTGAGAAGGAATAGAGGTTCCTTTACAAATGAAGACTAAAAAGAATATCAAAACAAGAAGAAACAACATTGGCTATTTGCTACGCTTCATGTTGGTTACATCCCTGATGGTTTAGGAGAGTTGGGTGCCCTGTTAAACTTTTCCAGCTTTGTGAAGACCATTTAAACAGGTGAACAACTCCAGTGCAGCCACAAACACAAAGGTTGTCATTGGTGGCAAAGAGTGACAACAGCAAATTGGTTGCAGGTTTAGCATTGCATGTGGTTTATCCTTACAGGGAGTTAGAGTGATCAAAGTTCAGTACTTTAAATGGATGCCGTGGGATAATTATGAGGTTGGGTTTGATTTATAGAGAATGTACCATGATGAGAACTGGAGGACCAGAAGTGGAAACAGCCTGGCTTGAGGTCCAGTTGAAGAGCTGGTTGCTAAAGGGAAAAAGGGAGGGAGATGAACACACAAGCCACAATAGACTAGCCATATTTGATCCATTGACAGCAACACAGTGGCCCCAAGACGCCAGTGGGACTGTCTGGATTCCCAGGGGCAAGGTCAGAAAAAGCTCTAATCTTGCAGCTGGGGAGCCACACTCCAATTGTTCCCCACCACCTGCAGCCGGTGTGGAAAGAGATGCATCTCTGAGCTCCTCAGAGCAACCCTGGAGCAAGGAAGAAGGGGGCATTCTGGGGGCAGGGCAGGAAGGAGAGCAACTCTGCCAGGGTGGGAAGTAGCAAAGTGGACATGTGTCACTCCTGCAGTTTCCCAGCATTGTCCAGAATAGTGTTTGCAACCTTTCCACAGCTGGGGACTGGCAAAAATGGGAAAACCATCTCAGGGACCACTGAGGCAGAAACAAGAAGCGCCATACACATAACATTGTATTCTATGCACTAGTTTCTAAACGCAATACCCAAAGGATGAAAAGTCTCCAAAACAACCAGAAACCAGGCAACAAAAAATGCCAACAAAAGAACAAAATACCAACATCGGCACAGCGTGGCTCCCACCGAGCCATCTCTCCCCTCTCTGGTCCCCGCAGAGGCAGCAGCACCCCGCCCCACAAACAGGATGCCAATGGAGGAAGAGGTGGTAGAGCACGGCCAGCCCTCACACCAGTCTGTGGCAAGCAGACAGGAAATCTCCCGCAGGAAATCTCCCGCAGACTGGCACTGGTCCACAGACTGGTGGCTGAAAACCACTGGCTTAGAAGAGCCATAGGGTCATTCATAGCCTGACCTCAGGGCTGGGACCTCCACACCCTTTGCAGCCAGCATGGAAACAACTATGCCAGCTACCTCTCCAAGGTTAGAAATCAACCGCAAAGGGTGTGCCAGGGAGCAAGGAGGGGAGGAATCGGGCTGACAGCTGACACCACTGCATGTCATCCAGGTGGCTGTAAGCAACTCTCACCAGCCAAGGGAGAGCGATAAGCCAACACTTCTTCCCATCCCAGCTCAACATACACATATAGGAAAAGGATGTGGCATGTTGAGAAAGCAAGTCACGTGCCAAAGCAGGTTAAAGAAACTTGAAGGGTCATGACTCAACAGCAGGGATGTATGGATTTTGCTAATTCTGTTCCACCTGTGTTTTAAGGACTGCGAGCTATCTTTTGTTCTGTCATTCACTTATCAACAGAATTGGATTTCTTTTACTGGAGTTTTGTTCTCCTTGTGCTAATGCACATTAACAAACACAAGTTAAAGCATTTGTACAAGTGCACACTAAGTGTGCAAGTGCCTGCCAAACTGGGAAAAAACAAGCCTTAATGTCTTCCGAATGTGAGTGACATGGGCAAAGCCAAGCAGCTGCAAAATCCACAGCCTACATCATAGACAGCTTATTTAGCCCACTGCAGATTTCTCTGGCATGTGTCCTCAGCACTAGAGTATCTACTTCATGTGCAAAAGGTTCCTGCTTTAAGTGTTGGAAAGTTGCTGCCATAAGTAGACAACTCTGGGCACATGGACCAATGACCAGATTAAGCAACTTCACGTCACAACAGAGTTCTAACGAAGGGAGGCGTGGTGGAGGCATGGGTTCAGTACATCAAAGGCAAAAGACGGGTTGAGGTGTGTTAAGAGTTAGGGCATCCCAACACTGTAGTAATGCCTCCATCTCTCACCCCGAAAGTTCTTAAGAGAATATTTGAAGAACGCCTTGATACGTCACCTCGGCAGCTCTTGCCATCTTCTTGCAGGGTCCCGGTGACACAACTGCACAGGGGCCCATCCACCTGGCTTGTGCATATCTGCTCACAGCCTCCATTGTCTTCACACCAGTCTAGGCCTAAAAGACAAGCAGTAGACAAATAATGGGAGAACCACCAGTAGGTTTTGGTCTGTGTAGGGATGATGATGCAAGAAAAGAAAAAGTGCAAGTGAAGAAAAAGTGAGCAAATCATCCATCTTAAAGCTCACAAGAACATTGGCTTGTGGCCAGCCAAATTCCCAGTTTCCATTCCATCTCGGTTTCCTTGGAGACCAGAGAAGGACTATTTTAAGAAACAACTGTGAGACAACTGCTCCCAGATTTCTACATGGCCATGCAGTTAAGCAAATCCAATATCTGTGCTGAAACTATGGAGAAATATCACACTTACGCTTTCTCCGGATGGGTCCCACAGAGATGATCTGCTCGTTGAGCTCTTTGGTATAGTCACTGGCCCTCCGGCTGTTCTGAGGACAGTTCTGACCAAGCCAGGAGAGAAAGAGAAGAGTGTCCTCAGTGAGTGGACTTCAGAACTGAAACTAAAGCCCCGGAGGCTTGAACCAAGGGGAGCTCACAGGCTCTGGCATTCGAGAGTTTTGAGGTCACCACTGAGGAGACTCATCCTCAGGACTCATGCAGTGGTTCCTAAGGAGAGTTTGGGCTTTGCAAAGCTATGGGGCCTGGGTGTAAGTTTCCACAACACTCACTATTTTGCAAGAATATCTTTCTGAGTCACAAAGGGAGACCGCACAGTGGAGGTGAACTTCATCATAATCCCCAATGAATTTGAAGACAGTGACGTGGAAACGGCAGGTGAGCGAAACTCCATTCTCTTCGATCCCAATCGTGTTGTCCTTTATATTCTGGCAGCTGCAACACACCAAAGTTTCACAGGTGTGAGACACCTGCGAGGGCTTTGCAGACAACACCTTTCTCAATCTCAGAGAGAGGGAGGAAGGCAAACGGAAGTCACTCACCCTTCTTCAATGATGAAGTACCGGAGCTTGTCGTTGCTGTCGCGGGAAGGTGTTGCGTAACATTTGTTCAGCATTAGGATGAGATGGGTGGAATCTGCGCCGAGGACAAAGACCCCCACGTACAACACATCACGGGTGGTCAATACCACTTCCCCTTGCCGGTAGGGGTGCTTGTAAGAGGAGTTTTTGTACAGCGCCATCTTGGTTGTGAAACTCCCTTCTTGTGTTGGCACTGTCAGGTTAATCACACTATAAGGGAGCGGAGGGTGGGGGAGAGAAAGAGAGAGGAGCTTATGAAGAATGGATGGAAAAGACTGGTTGAAAAAGCGTGCTTTTTGAGAAATGCAGGTCGAAATCTGCCTCAGGTTTTTATTAGTATTTTAAGTGCATACACTGCCTTTCAAATAGATTATCCGGGCAGCTTACAGCAAAATATTAAAAACACCATAAAATAACTAATACATTAAAGAAAGTTCAAAACAGCAACTCTGTCAAACAGCTTTCAGATAAAACAGATCAATACAACCCTTTTGGATATCACCTACTTTATTAAATTTGACAAAGGAGGTCACTATTTATTATTAGTGATATCAAGCAGTTTTTTAAAATATTTTTGAAAACTCGGTTGTATTTGTCAATGAAATGTTTTGACTGCCGGGATGTTTTTGTATTTTTCAAGCATGTAGCAAGGACTAGGTTCTGTTTTCTCCAAATGATATTTGAATGTTGCTAGTTGTTCTAGAAGGCCTAGATATGAGAAGTTCTTCTGCATGAAGGTCAAGCCCTTCTGAAATTTTGCCTGCAAAGCAAGAGACTCCGGGATTGTTTGGTGCAAAAAGGAAAGGATACCTCAGATGATTCAGGAGCTGAAGCAAGTTCCCTTACAAGGAATGGGCAGAGCGGCACAGCTTGTTTGGCTTAGAACAGAAGCAGGGAGACGCATGATGGGAGTATACAAAAGGGTGCATGCGGCAAAGAAACCGGAGAGGGAGAAAAATGGCTCCCTCTCAAAGAATTCTTGCGTTCTGACTGGTGGGGCAGTGGCTGGGCTAATTCACACACCATGTGGGGGTGTATTTTAACAAACACAGGAGAGTTCCCTGAGATTTCACAGAAACAGGAACTGAACAAGCCAGAAGGGGTCTCCTGGGCCATCTAGTCTGACCCCCAGCTCCAGCCGGCTCCACTCATGAGATGCACAGGAACAACATAATTTGTTATATGGAATTTTAATCCTACTTAGAATTGCTTCATTCATTTCAATGGCCAGCTCTCAGCAGGACTAACTTTCGATACAACCGAATGGGTGAACCTGGAGCACGTGAACCGGGGTGGATTTATAGCCCGGTTCCTGACATTTCTGCTCTGCAACACGTTGCATCACTTCCAGGGATGCAGGCATGGGGATGGCATCCACGCCCACAGGACTGCATCCCAGTCTACTCTGCGAACAGGCTCCAAGGTGGATGTCACCTCAGGAGACCCCGTACCCCTCAGATTACCCCAGCGAGATGGGATGCCATCCTGCATCCCAGCAACTGACCTTTCCATATGCACAAGGACCCAGGTGTTTCTCTTACCTGAGCATTGGCCTCACAACGGAATCCAGTGAAATTTTGATGTCAAGCTCGTAGGCACAGGAGAATTCGACATTGATGGTCCGGTCACGGGTGATTATGTTTCCTGTGTTGTTTGCGCTTTCGATCCAGACCGTGTTTTTGTACATGATGTGGGTGCTGTTGGACTGTGGAGGGGGGAAAAGACACCGGTGCTAGGGGAAAAAAATTCCGCATGATGCACGCACCTCTCAGGGCTGGGATGGTCCTATCTGCTAACGTGCATACCGATGCTGCAACACAATCCTATTCGTATCTGCTCAGAGGGAAGCCCCACCACGATCAATGGAGGAAGGGTGTTGCACCAATGCAGTCAAATGGGATGGAGGCAGCTGCTCAACATGGCGCTTTAACGGGTTGGTTGCAGGACCAACCACTTCCTGCGGATGGATAACCAGAGAGGAGTGGAAATGGGCCACGCACGCTTGCTAAGACCCCCAGCCTCAGGATGCAAAGGGGAAATGTCCCCAGATCACCTGCACTGCCACGACGCTCAGGCAGGAATTCACTGGCCTGTATGGAAGAAACAAGAAGCTTCTCCCCACTAGCAGTTTCCACATGAAGGATAAATTGATTCTAAAAAATAAAGAAGTGGGGATGTAAACTTCAATCTGCTGAAAGTGTAATTAACTATCACTGGAATTGCTGTTCCTTATGCGTGGAATAATCTCCAATGTCTCTGGGATGTCCTTCCTGCCTACCTGCCTGCCTGCCTGCCTGCCTCAATACCCAGTTCTTCCCATACTGAATAGCCCTAATTCCCCTACTCTGCTTCAGCCTTCTCAACCTGGTGGCTTCCAGAAGACTACACCCTGGGAGGGGAATGCTGGGAGTTGTAGGCCTCTCCTCTGTCTAAACTTGCATGGCAGGAAAGGATGCTGGGGTGCCATCTGGACATGGAGCCAGCCATCGGTACAGCGCCTCCCTCTCCCTGCCCCCGGTGTGCCCCTTCCCCTCATCTCTGCGCCCAATCTGCTTCCTCAGAAAGGCAGCTTACACAGTTCTCCCCACACTGGCTTTCCACCAGGTAGGGCAGAGTCTCTGTGTGCAGAGTCCCAGGGTCGAAGGATCCCAGAGCCAAGACTCAGATAAGCCTGTGTCTCCCCAGAACATGCCACGAGGCCATGGGGCTGCACTCTCAACTCTTAAACAGGTCAGCTGGAAGTTCCTCGAACAGCTTTACGTGTGAGAGACAAATGGAGGAACAGGCAGGGCCCCTCTTTACATTAGGTCCTCAGGACAGCTTGATAATAAAATTCTCATAATCTACTTTGCAACATAATTTACCCCAGAACAGGGACCTGCCTATATTATTGCTTATGAAACCCTGTAAAATGCCATATGCACATTATAGATAAATAAATAGCATTAAAAGGCTCGCAATACTTTCTTGATGGCAGTGATGCAAAGCATTTTTGACCGGGATGTCAGTGAAGCAAACCCAGAAGATGTTACGAAGTGAAGAGCACCATGGGGAGGACAGGCGAGCCCAGAGCTCCTCCAGCGCCCTGACCTGCACGATGTTCCCGCAGTTGCCCTTGGTGTTATTGATCTGGAAGGAGATGAAATCTTCGCCCTCGATGCCGGGACAGTGGCGGTCGTTGATGCGCACGCCTTCTCTCTCAAAGCCCAGCTGGAACAGCTTGCACTTGGAGATGGACACCTCCATCTGGGCCGCTTTGCAGGTCACTTCGGCATCCAAGATATCGTGTGTGTCTGGAAGGGAGCGCAGAGTCGTTAGTCTACCCCAAAAGAGATCCGTGGCTGCTTGCTACCTGGTGGCTATTTGCTGCTTTGGGTGCCAGAAGTGGTTCATTTGTGTGATCCAGTGGCTGGGCGAGGTGGGCAAGAGTGTGCTGTTGGACTCGTGAGATATAAGAAGAGCCCTGCTGGATCGGCCACGGGTTCCTCTAGTGTGGCATGCAGACCACACAGTGGCCAGTTAGCTGGGAAGCCCACCAGTGGTCCAATCCGTGGAAGAGAAGGCAGAGGGAGTTTGCCTACTGTATGCATACCAGGTGCCGGGGGACATGAGTGGGAAGGTACCTTTGCACCCTTGTCCTGCTTGTGGGCTTCCCATGGGCAGGTGGTGAATGCTGGACTAGATGGTCCTGCAGCCTGATCCAATATGACTCTCATGTGTTGATAAGACGTGGGCAGCCACTGAGATGCACAACTGTGGAGTGTTTAGGAGGCCATGAGAGGCCAGGACCTTGGCAAAACTGGACCTCAAAGATGTGGCCATGAGCAATTCAGGTGCACCCAATCCTGATGGCCCGCCATTTATGTCTGCCCACCACCTTCATGCAAGACTAAGGGAATTGGGTTAATTGCAAGTTGGTTCATTAAGGTGGCAGTGTCTGTGCATGTATTATTTAAACAGAGGTACTGGGTGGAACTGCCTGAAACTACACGGCATACTAACAAATACGTGCAGAGAAGAAGTGACTCTGCTTTAACTGCAGGTCAAATTCAGGTGCAATGCCGAATTCTTTAAGCAAGAAGTAGGTGAGCCATTGCCCTCCAGATATTTTGGACTGCAATTCCTATGATCCCTGGCCATTTCCCATACTGGCTGGGACTGATGAGGGTTGTAGTCCAGAATAATGGGGAATGTTGCTACCAGGCAACAATGGGGACCAGGTTGCCCTACAGCCTGAAACAGCATCCTGACAAAGTGAAGGTTTTGATGTGTTGCAAGCTTTGGATAACCTTCTAAGTTTGCAGACCATGTTTGATTCACCAGCAAAAAGGCCACTTGTCAGTTCCGCTTTCCAGATGTGATCTCTCAGGACAGAGCTTGTCCTTTAACCAGGACCAGAAGGCCCGAGGATGATTTTCTGCTCCGTGTGGATGGCACAACAACCCTGGTGTCCCCCTGCCTATCATGGCTATTGTGAATAAAGCAGGAATGTGCCGGATCCCCTCTGGCTGATACAAATGGGAGGAACTCAACAGCCTAGGGATTCTAGAACATTGCTGGAGACACAGCCTGGGATTAGAACCCAGGGTGAGAGCACACTTAGGTTGTCTGGCTCCGCCCACTTGTAGCAGAAGAGATCAGTCAATGGGATCCAGTAGGATCACTTACTCCTGCTTATCTTCAGAACAAGTCAGACCTCAAAATAGCTCTGGGTTGCTGTAACATCTGAAAGGAGTCTTTTGTGCTGCTTTAATACATAAATCCTTCTCCTCTAGTCACTCCAGGCTTGATGGATGGATCCAAGTGGTATTTTCCAGTGTTGACAAACTGAAGCTACAAGCAATTGGCATTCACCATTAGCCAGGAAGAGAGCAGTGCAAAATTGATTTTTGGTGTGTGTGTGTTAATGTGTATCCATTTGTATGGAAATCAGATTACACGCAGGGGCTCAGGGCAAGCTAGAAAGAAAGGCTAGATGAGATGGTACTACAGGAAACAAAGGGAGAAACATAGATTAATGGGCCTTTTTTCAAGTTCCAAGGGACTGATCCAGCACTGAATTAAACTGGCTTAGTGCAGGCAAACTGCAGTTGTCAGAACTCGAACAAATATATCTCTGCAGAAGACCTGCTTCAAACGATCGAAGGCCATGAATGTTCTGCCCTGGCCATTCAAAACAAGAATCTTTGTCTTATCATTCCCACAGTTTTGGTATCATGTTGTTTCTCAATCAAATAGTATATCTCATGAACAAAACCAAGTTGAGTGTCCTGCAGAAGGATCTCTGAATGTTTAGAAAATAGGGACTGAAAAGATGGAAACTATATCTCAAGGATATGCAGAATTAGCAGCCACGGGAAGAATAAAACTACAGGTTCTTCCGTAGATTTATGGGATACTGCGTGAAGAAATCCTATCTTTTATCTATCCCAAACCTCTCACCAATCCATGTCATGGGATGACCCCCAACTTTATGAAGGAGAAGGAAAAATGTCTCCCAATCCATGTCCTCCAGACCATGCCTGCATGTTATTTATTTATTAAAATTCTATCCCACCCATTGGGATGACTAATTGTTACTAAATCTGGATGCTTCAATACTCCCCATCACTTGAAAGTGCTTGCCGTGAGGATGTCCATGACCTAGACATCTTGGCTCATAAAATGTGAACAAGCGTGATGTTCAGGGGCTGGGGCCCTTGGCAAATGGAGAGTGAGTACAGCAGCAGATGGTCTCTCTGGCTCCTCTGAATGCGTGTCCAATCCCTCTTTAGCTGACTGGAGCTGACTTTCCCAGTTGCTCACCCCCCTTGGCAGCTGTTGTCGTGGGCACTCACTGTTTCCGTACGGAGGGGGTTCAATGCAACCGCACAGCTCTCCACCGTTATCCACCTCACAAGTCCTGTTGGGACAGTCTGCCCCTACACAGGGATCTTCAACCACTCCTGCTAAAAAGGAAAACAAACAAACAAGGACAACCAATTTACTTTGAAACCAGTTGGCTGAATGGCTGTTCGCTGCTTAGACAGGCAATGATCACCCAGGAGAAAACCTCTCTTGGTCAAGGACACTAAAAGGGAGGGAACACAGGCAAGAAAAAGGGTTTGATGTCTGCTGGCGTTATGAAGAAAAGGATGCCGATCCAACAGGGCTCTTCTTATATCCTCCATGGTCATTTCCATGGCTACAACAACCTTCTCTGTTGTTGTTGTTGTTATTATTATTATTTATGCTGTGAGAAGGTTTTACATGTTCCATCTTAGCTCCCAGGGAGTTGGGTTGGCTTTGTCGAAAATTGCAGTAACATGTCGTAAGCCAAATCCAACAGCTGATGCAGCCAGTGGATCAACCCAACTAGGAACCAACACAACTGGGTCGTTTTCCTGTGTCAACTAGCCACTGCTGGGGTCAGTCGGATGCATGTGTGGAATAATCTGTCATTTAACATGACCAAAGCTAATCAACACTGGCGGGATTATGTTAGGTCTTTGCATTAGGCCTTGCAAGCAAGGTTGTGATCCAGAGGCACACTGCAGGGTAACTCAAAAGGCTATGGCAGATACTGCTTTCTTTGCATATCGGTCCAGTAAACCAAATTCTATAGCTACTCTTCTGGGGTTTCCTGCAAGGTCATCCCCGCTTCCTCTTCCCTACATGCTTTCCTCTGCTTGTTCAGTAGTTCCTCAGACTTTGCAGCATTTTCCCCCTGTCCTGAAAGATTGCAATGCCCTGGTTAATGCTAAGTTTCTGGCAGCAAGAGCATAACGCAACAATGGGTGGTGCTTGTGGCCCCATGCCTTTTGCGTTCACATTGCCATGAGCATTGGCACACACACTGGAATGCAGCCTGGGCAGACTTCTCCCAAATGGAATCCGGCCGTCTGGCCGAAAGCAGCTCAGCAGCCTGATCAAAGCGTACAACTCCATGTGTGCTTTCCGGCAATCTCTCCTTTGCTCTCTGCATAAAAAGCTATGCCCCGACTGTTGCATTATGTGTGCTGCGTAAGGAGTGATGAATCCGTGATGACTGCCTAAGAGCAGGCGCCATCACACCAAAACTGCGTTGTGTTTTCTCTGTTTCCCACCCTTGCCATGAGAACTTGAGCAGGTATTTTCTTGACTTAGGGAAGCTCAAGACGACCAACCCAGGGAAGCGCTTGGGAGGAAGGAGAACAAGCAAAGCCTCTCTCGCTTACAGCAATTCTCCTTCTCGATCCATTCGGTGCTGAGGATGCCGAAGGACCGGCAGGCCTCCCCGTAGGCTGCCAGCGAGCCACAGAGCTGGTGCTTCTTCTGGTTGTAGCAGCCATCCAGAAAGCAGGATTCGTAGAAGGGCAGCGGGTCCAGCAGCCCGTAACAGGGCTGGAAGAAGCCTTTCATGTCGGTCAGCTTGAGGCAGTAGCTGTCGCTCTGCAGCACCTGGATCTGCACGTTGTCACAGGCCGAGGCGTACTGTGCATACTGGAGCTCGTTGCAGCTGGAAGCACAGAGAAAGCTCCAGCGTTACCGGGAAGGTGGAGGGACGTGTGGGGACCATGGGGGGAGGGCCATGGTGAAGGGCACCCTTGGGACCCACAGCCTGTCACTAGGAACGACATAAACATCTCTGGGGGCAAAGAGCTCCCCAAGTGGTGGGGTGTCTCCACCCACTTGGGCCAGCCCATCAACAGGAAGGGCTGCAAAACTCCCTCTTTGATATGACAAAAAAGCCAGCATCTTCAAAGTGCTCCTTGTGACGCTGTCCTTAAGGGAGGCTTGCCAGGTGCCTACGCTCTGTCCTTTCCTCTGTTCTGGATTATAGCTCCCACCAGCCAGATTGGCCAATGGTCGGGGAGATGGGAGTGGTAGTCCAAACACTGGAGGGTACCCAATTGCTTTCTATCATGAAGACAACCTCATCCTTTGGAGCAGGAAAGCAGGGCTTGGCCTACAGCATTTTGTCACATGAATAGGTGGATTCTACTCCCATTTCACATACAGAAGCCAACAGCTAAACTTGTCTTTGATTTCTGGCAAGGGGACAATATCCTCCACCTCACCCGAAGCAGCAGACTAAATTAGCGGGTGTGGAGCAGGTGCAGTGGGAGTTCCACAGAGGTGCAGTGAAACCACTGCTCGCAGGGACGAAGCCCTGGGACCCTGGGTGTCGGGATGGCAGCATCACTGGCCACATCCTCTCGCCAGTCCCTCCAAGCTTAGCTGCAATTCTCGCAGCAGCTGGGAGTGAAATGCATCACTGCATCTTTGTGAGTTATCCCTGCATATCATGATGGGGTGGCATGGGCTGGAATGGGCAGTTAAGACTCATTGATTGACAAAAATCTCCTGGTGGAGAGAAAATCTGCTAGGATGGGGTAGGTGACCCGGAGGGAAATGTTCCTTCCTCGTGCTAGGAAGGAAACTCAAGAAAGTCTTGAGCTGGCATGTGCGTGTATAATATGGGCTCATAGAATCAAAGAAGAGTAGAGTTGGAAGGGGCCATGGAGGCCATCGAGGCCAATGCCCTGCTGTTGCAGGAGGCCATGTCGCACCATCCCAAAAGAAGACACCGTAATGACAGAGCTGGCCCTAATGCGGAGCAAGTGTACTGGTTGCAGAATACGCCCCCCGCCCCTGCCCTGTTCAACCTCACCTTTTTTGCATGCCGTTGGTCTTCCAACTCTGGGCCAGGAAGACGCTGCTCACAGCCGGTTTCCCTCTCAGGGTGACGTAATCATCCGTCCGGTCCCCGTTGAAGTTCCCGCAGAGGCCGCAGACTTTATTTTGCAGGCGCTCGCTGATGGCTATTTTGATGACGTTGTAGCCGTTATAGTGGATCTGTATGTCGGGGCTTGTGTCAATGACCAGGAAGCCCTCCATGCTGTAGATTTTGGTTGACAAACCGGTCACAAAGGGGATGTTTACCTGTGTCCCATTCACCTGATTGTGTAAATAAATTGCATTTTAGGCTAAGGTTGCTTGTTAGTTTTCCCTTTCGGATAAATCCAGAATTTAACAAGATCACTGGATTAGCATACACCATTTGAAAGGCCTTGCTCTTTAAGCTTGACATCGTACATCCAAAATTTACATGGTACATCTTTACTGAGCTGTTCATGTTATGCTTATTTCAAACTCAATACTTCAGATCAGCTGGTAGGCTTAGAGTATTTTGCAAAATTGGGGGATGTAAGGATATGAATTTTAGCTTTAAGGGCTCCAGATTCACAGCCAGAAATTTGGCATTCATATATTCTGAAATTTGAAATGCACAAGAGTGATAGGAGCTGTTGGTGTATTAGCAAGAGAATCTGACTTTCCCAGGTCATGGAGAGAGAGCCAGGCTTTTAAGCCCAAAATGTACAGTTTCAGATCCTGGTTAACATCAGTATGGGGTCTATAGGGTTAGATCTCCTCTGCTTAAAGCCCTCAGCCATATAATTATTAGGTGAAAAAGCTGGATTAAAAGTAAGTCAAAATTAACGATGGCAAGCATGTTGTTTTAAGCTTGGATTCCAATAGCAAACAAGTGAAAACGTAAGGTGTGTACTCTCCAAGGGAGTAGATGCTAATATTTGGCACAGAAGGCCTCTTAGCCTGAAAATATATGGGAAAGTCAAGTCATAAAGGGAAATTAATTGGGTCAATGGAACAAATCCATTTGGTATTGGTGATGAAATAATAATCATTGCAATGTAGGGGGAAAGGTGTAAATAGCTGCTAAACAACTACAATTGATTCTAGGCTGGATTGCAAAAGGTAGGAACTACAGAATTGGAATGGTTATTAATGGATTGCATTTCCCAGTTTTGGAATAGCATTTGTCCGTTTGTTTTGTGTGTTACCAAGACATGAGGCCATCATCTCAGAAGCAGAGGTGGAGGAAGGATTCACTCTCATCACCGCCACCCAATGGATGCACTTGCCCTGAAGCCCTGGAGCAGGAGGGACTACTCGGACTCCTCCTACCAAGCTCAGGTCCCCTTGGAGCTATCCAAGGTCCTGCTTGAGCTTTCAGTGGAGTCGCTCACACAGCCTTGCTCCCCATCCCGGCTATGCTCACTGTTTGGAACAGGACTCAGATGTGCATCCTGGTTCACAGGCAGCTCCTCGGAGGGCCACCATCACCAACAGATGAGGCTGGCCTCCATCGTGGAGGGATACCATACCTTGACTGTATTGCGATCACTGATGAGAATCTGCTCCTCGTTGATGTAGAAGTAAATGGGCGAGACGACCGTCAGGTTGGGGTAAGACCACTTGTCAAAGTTGATGATGAGCTGGAAGGAGACATCGGGGAGCTTCTGGCAGATGGTGGAGAGGACGAAAGCGCAGTTGGCAGGGAAACGGAGGAAGGCCCCGTCGAATGTGCGGAACACCCCTCCGCCTGCTGCGATGCAGTAGGAGCTCTTTGTGCTGAAGCAGCCGCGCACTCCGTTCTTCAGGGCGCACTCCTCGTCTGACTTGCACTGGCGCGGGTCGCACTGGATGAGGTTGCGACGGAAGCATCGGCATCGGCGGGTGCAGTCGCTGTTCCAGAACAGCTGCTTGGGCTGCAGGGAATGAACAAGGGAGAGGAGGAAATGCAACTGGAAAGGTTCTCCTGAAGGATGAAGGCGCAGGGGCTGAACCCACGGCCGTGCTGAATTCCCTGGAAAACTGGAACACAAATCCAAAGTGGTGCACTTTTGTGTAGCCTCTGAGTACCTGTTTGGTATCTTTGGACTGGAGAGTAGCATGAAGTGAATATAAGGAGCAGGGCCTTTTTGTCATGACCTCCACCCTATGCACAAACACAGATGCACATTTCATATGCATTTATTAAGTGATGCATGGAAATGCATGTAAAATATGTGATTTATTCACATTTATGTCAGAAAAGCTGTATTTTTCTGGGTTTGTTTTGTGGAAATACAAAATTAAAATAATAATATTAAAACCTCTAAAGAATGGCCTTTCCAGGAACCATGTCGGAATCCTGCATTGTCAGTCATTCAACTCCTGGCTAAGACTTGCAAATTCTTGGAGTTTGGGGGTGGCTTCTTGCCACTGTTAGTGGGCCTGTGCCCTTGTCTTGATTTGATTGCCTTGTTTTCTGCTTTCAGGAGGTTATCCCTTGTTCATTCAAAGCTTTGTTCTTTGCTGCCATGTCATTTTTCTTTTTTTCTATTGTGCAATGGTCGGGATTTATTTTACTACTGTCCTTGGCATGGATTGGGAGAGAAAGCAGGATGTAATTCAAAACATAAATAAAAATAAAATGATATTGTTACAGCCAATACCATTGCTCTTGTTCTCTCTCTCATTCTCTCATTCTGTGTGTGTGTGTGAGAGAGAGAGAGAGAGAGAGAGCGAGCGAGAGCGAGAGCGAGAGCGCGAGAGCGCACATGCTCTTTGATGTAATAAACAATCACTCCACTGGGCACAGGATTCTTTTTCCAAGCCCAGGTTATTCATATTTGCAGAGGAATGCATGATGGACCCTGAAGTCCACAGAGCAACGATGACTACAAGAGCTTATCAGCTTCAGCTAGCCCACAAGCCAATCACAAACCTTGCTCATTTCAAGACATTTGCCACAAGACACAACCTGAACTAGAGTTTTCCTTTTATCCAGCAGAGGGCAGATGGGTCCTGTCCTTCAAGTGACGACCATTCTTACACCCCAGTGCATCACCTGCTCCTGGCCTCTACCCCATCAAAATCAATACCAAGTCGTCTTCTCCACTACACATGCAAGCTTCTGTTCCAAAGGGCATTCCTGGACTCTGCTTGTGATGCTCACATGCACTTCCAAGCATGGCCAGAAAGTCCTTACAAGGTACCTGGGGATGCCTTTTTGGAAGCCACCACCCATACAATTAGATAATCAATCCTGCTTCTTCAGCATGGTAGGAAAACACCTGAGCAACCTGCCAGGCACATGCAAGCACGTGTGTTAATCCCTTGGTATCAGGGATGTATGATTCAGCTGCGAGAGGCCAGAGATGATGGACGGAGCCAATGTCTGAAGTGCGGAGGGTGTTGTGACATTCAGCTGTGGTTGCGCATGTGTGCAAGCAGAAGCTCTGCTCCTGTGTCGCATTGAGACCTGGACTGATATTGTGTCTGAACGCAGCCCTTGTTTGGGGGTTCCTCTGTGTGTGTCAGCTACTGAATGAGCTTTTTTATCCTGCTCCTCAGCTAAAGAGGCTTCTGGGATGCCATAAACACCATGAAAGGGGCATAACAGGAAAGTAGAAAAGGGGTGGGGAGGGAAGGGGGACAAGGAGAAAAGTAAGAGCATTTTCAGCAGGTCACACACACCACAATTCATGAAATGTCAGAGAAAGAGACATGGAAAAAGAGATTGCTCCAAATGCTATTTGTTCATTGGGAAGACGAGAGCTTCCAACCGATGGAGATGGCATGAAACAAGTCTCTAGATCCTGGCCCACTCCAGATGCATAGGACTACAGCTCTCATCATTCTCAGCTAGCAGAGAATAACTATGACGGTTGGGAATGACAGGAGCTGTAGTCCAGCACCGGTGCAGGGCACCAAAGTTGGGAAGGGCACTCCAGAGCACCTAAGGCCACAGTGAGGCTTTGCTATCATCCGGCGTTCCTCCTCTTTGCATTTTTGAAATTGCACATCCTCTCCCAAGGACTTTAATTCCAGTGGGCTAAGGGGGGTGTGGGACATTCCGAAGCGGAACCACTTGTCTAACACTGTGATCCCTCATAAAAGTGAGGAAATTCAGATTTACAGTTTCCACAGCAACCTCCCTGGTTCTTCCTTCTCGGCAGAGCACAACAAATATCCTGTTGACCACCAGTGTGTACCTGTACAGAGAACACAAATTACATTCCACCCCCTTGTTATCAGATTTACAGAATAATTGTGTGCATGAGCTGCTTCTCCACTGATAAGAGGCTCTAGCACCAGATTTTTTAGGCAGAAGAAAAGCAACCCACGGGAAAGCAAAGGGACAAAGGTGGGACTGTGGGAGACTCTTCCCAGTGTCCCAGGTGAAACCAGAGATACAGTTCTAATTCCCTGATTTATTGCTGTCCATGCTGCCTCCAGTAAGCACAGGGTACTGCTTTCTGTCTGGCCGGGCTATTCTAGCTGAACATTAAAGTCCGCGTCAGTGGACAGTCTGAAATCGAAACACCGGGAGCTCCAGGGAGGCATTCTTCGTTCTGATGGGCAACGGCCACCAAGAAACCCAAGCAGCAGCCTTCTGCATCAGCAGAGGGCAAAGCTGGGGCTGGACCAGGTCAGCCTGCATGCAAACCAGTTGCTCTCTCGCTGAGCTAAGGGTCTCTCCGTTCTGCAGCTGGGAGGACAAGGACAGCGTTCCGGGGACTTGGCTGGGCCAGGACCAAGGCAAGGTTGGTGGCAGGCAGCGTCAGCCCCAGGAGGTCCACTGACAAGGCAATTCACGTCCAGCGTTCTGGACCTAGAATAGAAGGTGCTCAAGCCTGAGGTCCCAGAACCCAGCTACAGGAGGACTGGTCTGCTCAGGATTGAAGTCTTATTCATTATCCCTTTACTCGAGCAGTCCTCATTCCTCAGGCAGGCCATCCTACATCTGAAAGCCCTCTGAAACCGTGCCTTGTGATCGGGCAGCCACTCACCGTGTGCTTCCAGGTCCAGGAGGGGCTCTGGGGAAGGTCCGATCCCTGAGGTCCTGCTCATTTGCCTCAAGGTCTGCAACGTTCAGCTCAAAGGACTCCAGGTCCTCCTCCAAACAGAGGTCTTCCAGAAGGGGCATGAGATTCCTCCAACAAAGCCTTTTTTAGAAGGCTTCATGCCTTTGTCCTTTCTGCAGTTTCCACCTACTGAACAGCCCATCCTTCACTACATACGGTGGTGTGGTGGACCCAGGGCTACCAGGGACAAAGCACTGGCATTCTTCCATTAGCAGGAATGCTGCTCTCCTCTCTCTCCTCCCTCTTGCCCCTGTTGTTTCTGAGCCTAGCTGCAATTCTCAGGGCAAGCAGTGGGAGATTACTTTTCCCAACAAGCTCTAGTTCCCTATTTCAATGCAGAGTGTTTTCAAGAGCCTTGGGGCTGAAAGAGCAGTGGACACCTGCCTGCTCCTGGCAGGAACTGCTGCTGGCCAAGACAGAAGAGTTAGAAGAGATTTGTTGGCATGGGCCGACACCAGAGCCTCTTTCCTTGGGAGAATGGTGGTCTGTCATGGTGCACCACTGGTCCCTGGTAGACATTCTAGGGGAACATGATTATACAAATAATTCTACTCACAAATCTAAATACAGACAGAAACTGCTCCTCCACGCCTGAGGTGTGTTCTTTCTGGAAAACGTTTCAAAATGTGTATGTGGCACACTTTGAATGACATACTTCCCCCCAGAATAGGCATTTTCACAGTTAATGGAGGAGGCAGTTAGGAAAAATATGCACAGAATTGTGCACTTTTTTCCCTGTTCGATCCAGCTGAAAAATGGGATGAAACCAAAACCAGGAATGAGCTGAAATGAGCTTCAAAGGGATTCTTGGAAAATTTAAGCCAACTGGAAAACCACTGATTCTCCCACCTATTTCACAGACATTCCACACACTAACACACAGTATCTTTATAATAGAATAAGATGTCCTTTTAAAAATCCCCCTTTGAGGCTTTTTCCTTGATCAATCAACCTCTTCCCTCTCCCTTCATTAGCACCGCTTCATGAATTGCAAGTGCAAAGTCTCTTTTGCCTGTGTTTATAACTTTCAGTGTTACAGGCAGAGAGTAAAACACTGGGATCCAGTCATTGCACTGGCATAAGGAACAGAGAAGGTTCTGCTTTAAGGCAGAGGAAGCCACCGAGTGATTACACTTTCCCTTCAATGCATCTCCCCGCTCCTCACTTCCACCCTGCACCCAAAAGCAAGCTGAAAATCACAGTCCCATTACCAGGAATTTGTGTCATTCCATTGTGTGGATTAAGCTGTTAATATTACATTGCACACGAAACTACGCCACCAAATACGCTGCCATTGTTCAATATTTTGGGATAACGGTGGTGAAGCAAAACTGGAGAGGCAAGGAAATAACGTTGCCTGCAGCACCCACAAATGATCTGCAGGAAAAATTTGCCCTTTTAAAGAAGCATGACAGAGTCCCCAAGGGCATTGTGTTTTCATCCTCCAAAATCAACCTATTAAGGCAAAGACACTGTCGGAAGCAGTGACGGGAGCAGATAGAAAGCATTCCATCTCCATGAGCTGGTTTCTTCTTATTTGGAAGCCATTTACTATCCAATTCCACAGGCCGCTTAGAGCAGGAAAACACCATAATTTGCGCACTATGTTCCCATTTTCTACAAGGTCGTTTAGTGTTGTTTTGCTGCTTGGATGAATATAGATGTGAATGACTCCTTGAAAACAACCTGTGTCACACTTGCTACTGAACAGCAGCCATTGGCCAGAGCAGCACCAGGGATGGCATGAAGACAAAGAAGCCCTAATTTCTTCCGAAAGCAACATGAAGAACCAAGAAAGCTACCTACAGACTGTTTTTCAAATTAGCAGCTGTTGGTTTAAAAATGCGTGCTTATGAACACACAGGAGCTTTTAAGCAATAATTAATTTCAGTGGTTTGTTTTTGTACCCTTTCCTTTGCCTGCTGTTTTTAGTCCTGACCCTTACAAAATAGTAATTCAAGTAACAGAAATAACAAGCTTTCCTTCCCACATGTGATAAGCCATTGTTTCTACTTTCAATTTTGTTACAGGACTAGGATCCAAGTGTAACACAGTGTTTCTTTTCTGCCACATAACCTCTAGGTGGCACGTAACCTCTATATAGCATATAGTACAATAACACAAGCAGAAAAAGCATCGTCTTTCATTGTGATCGATACTACTTCATTTTGCCTGTTCTAAACAATTCTCACCAAACATGCTGTTTACAGAGAGAAATGAAACTGGAAGGTAATAACAGTGCTGAAAGAATCTGTCAGCAACCATGAGTACAGGAGGACAAGCACACAATGAATGTCTTATTGAAAAAGCTCAATATATATTTAAACTAGGTTTTTAAATAAAAGTTTAAACCCAGAGAAAGGAAAGAATCCTCCGCAATACTTTCAATTTGAAATAATGTAAATTCAAAACTAGTTTCAGTACAGTTTAACTTTTAACTTGTGTCTTGCTTTCACAGGGAAGCTTAGCTCATTGAGAGGGAGGGAGGGAGGGAGGGAGGGAGGGAGGGAGAGCGAGATTCAAACAGTCTGTGTTTCATGCCTTACATAAGATCCACTGATCTGGATTTTAGCTTTTTATGACCTATTCTTAAGGCCATCCACAGGCAGAGTCTTAGATGGACTACTGCCCTCTACACAGTACCAGCTCCATGGCTGGATCCCTCTGGTTAATTGAGCAGCATTTCATAGGCCAGAGAGACAACTGGGCTGGCAAAGAGAACTTTGAAACCCATCAAAATCAGCTGCATATACCTCAAAGAACATATTGCTCTTTCAGAAATCTTATATGTGGGACCAGGTTCCGCCTCCTGCAAATTACATTTTTCTCCTGCCTTTCCCAAACACATGTGCACAATCTTTAGGACCACTTGACCATTCCAATGCCTGAAAGCCACATTTAAAAAAAATCACCCCACTGGACAGTTTATTATAATTTACTTAATAATGAAAATAGAGCTTGTAAAAATATCATTAGTGAGTTATAATTTTAATACAAATGTTTTGTTGTTATTTAAAATTAATTTAAAAGGAGTGGAATGTTAGTATTAAGATGCATAAATTAAAACAACTGTTCTATGAGTTTCCATTAAGTGCTAATTAATTTAACTGAGTGTAGAAGAGATAACAATTACTGGCTTCTTACTAAACTTTTCAAACCCGGTATTATATGTAATATCTGTGCAAGATCCGTTGGTAGCCTTTCTTTCTCTTGTTTCTATATTCTACTTTTTAATGAAAATAATAACAATTTAAAAGTTCAGTTACGGCCACTCCCAATGAGGCCGTTTGGATGCATCTTGGGGCCAGATTCAGCCAGAGTTACTCTTCCAGCCCGCCACGCTGAAGGTCACATCCCGTGGCAAGGCAGATGTTTACTCTGTTCCAAATGTTTACTCTGCATGCCATGTCGGGCAGAACCGGCCCTGTGGCACCGCGGCCAGGCAGGGACTGCCCCAGAAGACGCCAGCCGCCCGAGCATCTTTAGCTGAACCCTCCTCCGCGACCGGGGCTGGCAGCACAGGCGATGCCTGCAGCCCCCTCGCGCCGGTGCCTCACCTCGTAGTATTTGCCGTCGGCGTAGCAGCCGCAGTTGTGGGGTGTGATGCAGCTCTTGCCATTGAGGACGTAGCCTGGGTCACACTGGCAGCCCTCCACGCAGTAGTGGTTGCAGTCGCTTTTCAGCCGGATGGCGGCACAGCGGGGCTGGCAGACGCTCACGCAGCTCTCGTAGTGGCTGTTTGGGGGGCAGCTCACCGCTGGGGCAGAAGAGGAAGGGCCACTTAACATGGCGGCACAGCCCCACCAGAGTGCCCCCCACCAATCGATTACAGCACAGGCCTCCTGCTGCCTTGGAGGGAGCACCCAAAGGCCCAGCAGGAGCGAGATCTGGGAGAGGCACTGCTGCCGGGCATCGTTCTCAGGCACGTGCCCTCTTTTGGCAGTGATGCCTCCAGGAAGGAGCAGGAAAAGGCGTGACCTCCATAGCTCAGCACTCCTGCTGCCTGCGGGGACCCTGAAGGGCGGGGAGATGGTCCCTGCCGCCCTCTGCCTGAAGCATCAATGCCTCTGCGGCTGCTAGAGAGAAGGTGCGCCTCCCCACCTTTCCAGGCAGTCCTAAGGAAGAGAAGTGCCGAGGGTCCAGCCTTAGTCCCCCATGGGGCCTGCAGTGTCCCCGTGGGAAGGAGGATGGAAACTCCAGTCCAAGGCCAAATGATGCATCAGGGAAACAAGGGTGGCTGGACAGCCGGGGCCAAGCAGGCCGGCCATTGGACCTGGATGGAAGGCACTCGAATGGCTGGCCCTGGTCGAGTGCCCCCAAATGGGTTGGTCTACAGATCCCATCACCCCAGGCCTTGGCCAAGCAGCTAGGCTGATGGGAGTTGTGATGCAGCACACCCATAGGGCACCAGGGCGGGGAAGACAGAGAAACAGAGAAGGGGCAAGTACTGCTTGATTGGGGCGTTTTGGAGAAAGGGGACTTTGTTCTGGAAAGAAGATTCTGTTCCCGGTGTGTCTACAAACACCCCCTTTCTTCTTCCCATTGTGGGCCACATCCAGATTCCAGAGAGGGCCTTTGGCTGATCCTCCTGCCCCACTTCTGTCCAGCTCAGGGATGAAGGAGCAGCGTTTGAGGTAATGGGATTTGACCAGCGACTACCAGGAGAGTTTTTGCTGCCCTGACTCCTCTTTGAAAATATCCCTTCAGCAAAATAGCTGCTTTATTATCTCTGACCAAACAGGCTGTTGTACTACAGCCACTAAAACTATGACCAGAGGCGACAGCGGGACCAAAGAAATCCACGTGCAGCTGGGGGCAGCGAAATCTCCGCCAGACCCCCTTTGTGCTGCTCTGAAAAACTAGCTGCTTGCCTCCAGCCTTTGCATCCATTTGAAAAACTGTGGCTCCAGTGAGCCCTTCCAAATAACCAAACTGGAAGGGGGCAGAAATGGAGCTAATTCCCAGCTTGCCTTCCCTGTTTCTTCTCTGGCGGCTGTCACCGGGTCCTAGAATTTCAAGACCGAGGCTGATTTAGTCCATCAATTTGTGGATGGAAAATGATCCAGATTTAACTTTTGAATCTTATTAGTGATGAAAATGACTTTTCAATTGATTTGCCAGACAGTCGGCCTGCCCAAAGAGCTTTTGCATCTTCATTTAGGAGGAGAGTAATTGAACAGTGCGTTGTAATTTTATTGACCAAGGAGAGGCAGGTTCCTTGAGAACAAATGCATACCCTTTCCCTCATGTATATAAGCAAATTGCATTTGCATTTGAAAAATGAAAAAATGGCTGCCTCTGGAATGGCAGATTTAACCCACTGCTTTCTGGAGCACACCTGTGTGCACCTGCAAGAGTGAATTGGTTTCATGAAGCCTCCAGAGCATCCCTCGGAGAATCGGGCCCCTTTCCCCTGACCACTGCTTGGTTTGGCAGTTTGCTGGCTTCAGAGCTATTCCCCAGCCCCCATTCTGAACAGTGGACCTGCTTCTCCCATGTTTTCCTTGCTGGCTGCACTTGGAATGTGTGGGTATTCCTGGTATTTTGCCTCCCGTCCTTTGCCTTCCCTCCGGAACATCTCAGAAATGGAAAGTGTCCACAAGAGTCAAGCAGCCCTGGTTGAAGGAGGGGGTTCTTGGGCGCACTCCTAGCCATGAGGAAAGGCGCAGGACAGGTGTGTGGGGGGGTCCAAAAGCTGAGGCTGTTCCGCACCCTGAGCCCCCTTGGTGTCGGCTGTGCATGCCCCAATCTGCCCGCCCTACACACACACACACACACGCATGCACCTCTTGCCATCAGGCAGAGAAGGTGGCAGCAGAGAGGCTTTGGAAATAGCCTCACACTGAGGCAAGCCCTGCTCCACCTACTCCAGTGCTCTGGACACTGAAGAAAGCACATGGCAGGCCGTTGGCCCCTTCCGCCCAGAGCTGGGCTCTTTAATGCCTCGGGCTCTCCTGCCCCTTCCGCCTGACTTCCTTCCCCCGGGGATTGAATGCAGAGCATTCGGTGTGCAGAGCCCGCCCTCGGCTCTGGAGCTGCAGGGCCTCCTCCACAATGGCCCCACACTTGCTCCGCTGTAGCCAAATCTGGCCTGCAGGCCACTCCTGGTGATACAGGGATACCCATCCGTCTCAACCTCAGCAGCACCAGGCCCAGGGCATTCCGGCTTGCCGATGGCATGGCAGGTTTGCAGGAGGGAACTCGGGGCATCGCCAGAGCCAGACTGAGCTTTTGTATGAGTGCTTCAATATCTGTCAGGTTTCAGGAGCAAGCTATAATTCATCCTGCTGCAGGAACATTTCCTTATGAAGCAGGGGGCAGGAGAGAGAATCTCCTGTGACTCCCATGCTTGTCTCTTCCATGTTGAGGCATTTGTGGAGCTGTTCTTCTCTGCTGTCTCTTCTTATCTGTGTCATTTTTATCCCATACTTTCCAGTCTGAGCCTCCCTCCCTCTCTGCCTCCTGGAAGCACACGGCTCTCATTCTTTCTAACGCCTCTCGCCAGCACTTTTCGCTTCTTCTCCTCCTTGAGAAGTTCAGCGTCACATAGCTGCTCTCTCTCATGGAGGGAACCTGAGCTCTTCATCTGCTCTTCTTGCGTGTCTCTCAACACACAAGGCTCAAACGACACCATGAAGGTCAGAGGAAAAGTGTGATGCCCTACCTGGGGAACTGAGCTGATTCGGCCCTGGCAGAGTGGACCACAAAGGGCCCCGAATTGGGCCAAAGGACAATTGCCATGGGCAGGAATTCTGGAGTAGCGACAGACCATGCCCAGGGCAAAAGCTTCATCAGCCCTGTGAGCCAGCTACCCCTGCGCACTTGCTCTTGTGTTAAATCCAGCCTGCCGTATCGTGTGGCTTGTGAGCCATTTGCACGTTCTCCTCGAAGAAGCCAGGCATTTGTAAGCAGAATGTTATTCTAGTGGTGCTAAATCACGGGAGTGCTGTTTGCATGACCACAATAGTGTGAGTGTTCATTAGTGCTCACGTGGATCAGCAAAAATGTGCTAATCTGGGGTCGTTCATCTGCATTAGAGAATTAGCATGGGCACAAGTGTGAATTGGGGCATGCACACACACAAATAAAAGGCTGGTTTGCAAGTCTGCAGAATCCATGCAGTCCAGAATAAGCTGGCCCACTGTGGAATCTGCAGGTCAGATTCACAGAAAAGCCAAAGCAAAAAGAAGTGGAGCCATTTGCCAGGAATCCCCTTCATGTGCCATGATAGAAATGCAATTGCCCCTGCCCCTTCCCAACCCAAACCAAAATCCAAAACCAAAGCTCCACTTACAACACACCGTGAAGTTCCTCCAGCCCGTGATGGCAATCCCCTGGGTTTGGCAGGTGCTGGCATAGTTCTGCAGCCAGCTGCAAGCGGTTTGCACATCGCCCCCATCAATGCATGTGTCGAACAAGCAGTTCTTGTAGAAGAAGGTGGGGTTGACCTTACTGTGGCACTTGGAGAAGACGCCGCTCTTGCTAGGGATCAAACTGCAGAGCTGCTGAGGCTTCCAGAATCCTTCCACTTTACGACAGGCTGGGCAGCGGTCGCCACAGCCCACCTGGCAAAAGGGGTCCCTCTTGGCCCAGCTGTGGCCAAACTCATTGATGCTGGAGACTAGAACACCACCAGAGGTGTGGAGATCATCATCTGGATTGCTATTATACCGACCACAAAGCCCATAAGTATTGTTCTGTAAACTCCGTGGGATGGAAACAGAGAGGAATGTCTTCCAGTCATACACCACCTTCAGCCCAAAGTCAGTCTCTATGATGATGTGGAAACCAAAGGCAAAGATGTTCACTTTCCCCTGACTCAACTTTAAGGGCAGGTAAAGGCGCTCGTTGTTAACCTGCAAAGAGAGGCATGGAAGTCAGTTGAAGAAGGCAGCAGCTGTTTCGGTAGGTGAAGCTTCAGGAAAAGATGGACTGACATGTGGAAGCCAGATTCAGATCTGTGCTCAAGCTGGGACTGGACAAGTCAATACTTCTCTGCCTGACTTACTTGTAGGATCGTTGTCAGGCCAAAAATCTGCAGAGCTGCTTGTAAGATAGAGTGATGTAGTCAATAAATAAATGATGGATGATGTGTTGTTCAGGAAGAGGGACCCTGGAGGCCTCCAGATGTTCTTGGAATCCAACCTCCATCAGCTCCAGCCAGCAGGGCCAATGGTAAGGGATGACTGGAATTGCAGTCCACCAACATTTGGACCCCCCACAGCTTCCCCATTTCTGATCCAGGAGTGAGAAATATCACCCTGATTTATAATAGCCAAACACATCAGCCACAATCCAAGTCAAAATTAGGTGCATTGATCCATCCACATGGAGCATGGCCATCCAAAAGCAGGAGTTATTAAGACCTATATCAGTTCATGTGCCGAGCATGACAGGCCAAGTATTCATATAGAAATGAGCGGCTTAGAAGCAACCATCTTCTTTGGGACTGGATGAGATAGTCCTGACCTGGACTCAGCCGGCATTTCAGCACCCTGGAGAGTTCTGGGCGCACAATTCGCTCCAACAGCACCCGAAGGCTGCTTGAGGCTTCAGAAGCCCCTGTCCACATCGCAGGCTTCACTCCTGGCCAGTGGGTTGCACACCTCGTGCCCCACAGGCTACGTGTGGCCTTTGGGCACTTGTGATGTGGCCTGCAAAAAGCTCACTGGATCCCCCTGCCAGTTAATTCCCTTGGCCCTCCTGGGAGGGAAAATCTCTCATTTCCAGCCAGCAGTGAAAGGCAACTGCTCTTTTAATTTTTGTTTTAAGTTAAGAACATCAATTTGCAAATACAACAACAACCCAAAAGCAGAAGAAAAGGAAAGGAAAAAAGGGAGAAGAAACTAACACTTCCATTTCAAATGTATACATTAATATAAAGGTACCATAAAGCTTTATGACTTGATGTTTAAGCCAATCTTAAAGGAAATCAACCCTGACTTTAGAAGGTCAGATACTGGAGATGAAGCTCAAATACTTTGGCCACCTAATGAGAAGGAAGGACTGACTGGAGAAGAGCCCGATGCTGCGAACGACTGATGGCAAAAGGAGAAGGGACGGCAGAGGGTGAGGTGGCTGGATGGGGTCACTGGGGCGGTGGGTGTGGGCTTGGGTGGGGGATGGTGGAGCACAGGAATGCCTGAAGGAATGTTGTCCATGTCGTCATGGTGGGTTGGGCACAACTTTGCAACTGAACAGACAGAACAGACCATACAGCTAAGTAAATATCCATACGTAAGTGATGCCTATACAAGAGACCTTCAAATACAGTAGGAAATCAGAGACAGGGACAGCCAGCTGAGAGATCTGACCCACTGGAGAAACGGCATGTTGACTGACTATCCCACCATATCGATCACTGCACGGTTGCTTACCAGCACGGTGTGTTTGTAGGCTCGATGGATGACGATGTTGTAATTGAAGACTTCCACCTCCACCTGCTTCACCCACATGGCCAGGGAAGGGTCCCGATCCTCATTCTTGGCAGTGACTGTGAACTCAGGGAAGGTGTCTGAGCGCACGGCCCTTTGGCGGCCGATGGTTGTGCAAAGCACCAGGGGACAGCTGCTCTGAAAATCAAAAGCAAAGCCATCAAAGGTCAGGTAGTGTCCGTAGCCAGAGACGATGCAAGACGCATCGGTGCGGGGCTGGCAGTAGTAAAGGCCATTCTCTTCCAGGCAGTACTCATCCTCCTTGCACGGAATGTTCTCGCAGTGGACGCTGTTGTCCGAGCCGTTGCAGTAGCAGAAATACTGGCAGTCGATATCCATCCAGAAAGACTGGTTGGTGGAGAGCTGGTGCCCCTCGAAGCTGCAGCCGCACTCACTCTTGGGGATGCACCGGGGTCCCCAGAAGGCAAAGCCCTCGTCGCACTGGCAGCCCTCCGTGCAGCTGTCCGTGCACACGGGACCCCCACCCAGGCTTTGGCAGGACTCTGCGCAGGTCATGCACTCCTCGAAGTGGCTGTTTTCGGGGCATGTCAGAGCTGCAGCCAGAGAGAGAGAGAGAGAGAGAGAGAGAGGTCAGATCACCAGCGGTGGTGGCCCCCGCAGGCCAGATTCACCAGCCACACTGAACCTCAGCTCTGTGGCATAGCTCAGCCTGGAAAAGCAGCATTGGCCTGGGAAGGCAGACGTTCAGGTCCTGATTACCCCTCCGGATTTCACAGCTTCATCTAGATCAGGGATGGAGAATGTCTGGCCCAGGGGAAGATCAGCCCTGCCCTCTGAGTTTCCCTGGGTGCTCACATCCCCTTCCGCTGGTCCACCTGCTTGCTCATGAGTTTCTGCATTGTAAAGAGCTGAAAAGCCTCTCCTAAGACTCGCTGACTGTTTGCAATGTCAAACCACCCCGGTCAGTATTCTTGGCCCGGCCCATTTTGCCTTCAGCCACTCCCACTGCCAGAAGGTGGGTCTCAAGGGGTTCTCTGAAATGGGACTCAGCCCTCAGGCTGAACAGAAGCCCCACACACGGGAACATTTTGTTGCAGTTCCAGGACAGGCAACATTTTGTGGCAGGTCTGAGGTGGGATGGACCAAAAAGAAAAGAAAAAGACAGCTATGGAAAAGCCCAGGCACTACACAACTTCTGTGGAAGGCAGGGCAGCTGCTCAGGGGTCAGAGGGGTTCTTTGCTGACCACAGACCAGGGGGTGGCCTTGAGGTTTTCTGATAGCAAGGAAACTTCCACAGCAGCATGAGCAACCTTGGAATCCTAGCAGATCCTCAACACCGCCAGGGAAGGTGGAAGGACAATGGGAGGATTACGGAGGTGGAACAGCAACACTCTCCCCTCCTGGGGTGGGCTGGCATTGGCGTCTGCCTCTGGGCCCAGCTCCAAAATGATGTAATGGCAGGCCTCATCTCTGATTCTGCTTCCTTTCATTTCCATTAACTTGGCCAGGCCTTCTGTGCCTGCGTATGAATTAGCAACCTGGCCTGTCTGGGTTTCCCTTTGGATTAAGAGGATTCATATTCCTCGCAGCTGGAATATTACCACAGCTAAACAAAGCAAAGCCAAGCCAGACACCTCCCCCCCCCCGCCCCATCTCATTCAAATTAGCTGCCATTGTCACAGCTTCGAGTCAAAGTCTTGAAATTCAAGAACATTGCAAAATAAAACTCCGGATGTCTCCTCAAAGGCAGTCTATGAAATTACTTAATTAGGGAAGTACATCTGGAGGCCAAAAAAAGGAAGAGGAAAAAACAGCTGCTAAGAAAAGAGAAATCCCCCAGGCTCAAAGGTAATGCTTCCACAACCCCATTTTAATCTAGATTCCTTACAAAGGAATGAGATGTCTCAGGTGTGTGTGAGGGGTTTTTTAAGGCTGTGTGTGTATGTGTTTGTGTGATCTGTGGCAGGCTGAGTCTTTGGGACAGAACGGGGTATGAAGCTTCTGGAGATCCAGCAGCCCATCTTCAACATTGGGTCAAGAAGCGCAATGCAAAATTGCTATTGAATGTGCTGCTGTATTACTAAAGTGCCACCGAATATTGAGAATCTATCAGCAGAGGAGCAGGAAAGGGGGAAAGGGGAGAGTCAGTGATCTCCCTTTGGAAGTGTGCATTGGAGCATATTTCTCATTCTAAAGCAACTTGCACACATCTGAAAATCCACCTGGAACAAGGTATATACATCAGAGGGCTGTACCTAGGATATTGAAAATTTAAGCCAAACTTTTCAGCACTTTCCAGAGCATCCATCCACACTGGTAAAAGCTACCTCTGAAAGCCAGTGGAGCTTCCACAACTGGTGAACATCCTCCTGTTCACACAGGAGCCTTTTTGGCTGTCTGGATCTAAATAGCCCATAAGGCCTAGGAAGTGGCAGATGTTGAGAAGGTAGGGCTGAAATCTTAAGCTGCGCATGGCCCAAGAACTATACAGTGCTGGCTTCCTGCAAGAAGACACAACAGCCAAGACAAAATTCCCTCTGCTGCCTCCCGCCCAGCTCAGCCCAGCTGAATCCACCGCTCAACTCACGGCAAAAGTTGAAGCTCCTCCACTGCCCAATCTCTACTTCGGCGTTCTTGCAGGCGCTGGCGTAGCGAGCCACCGAGTCACAGAGCTCGGACTGGTTCCCTCCGCTCTGGCACAGGCGGAAGAGGCAGGTCCGGTAGTAGGCGGACACGTTCACCACGGAGTGGCACTCCAGGAAAGAGCTGTTGGTGGGATCGTTGATGACGCCACACTTCAAGCGGCTGCGGTAATCCTTCAGGAGCTCCGAGTCGTTGTTGCAGGCCTTCAGCAGGTTGCCACACTCCCCGTTGCAAATCTCGTTAAAGGTCGTCCAGCTCTCCAAGAAGACCACCAGGTTGTCTGTGCATTTCCCATTCAGGAAGCAGAATTCATCACTACTGTTGCCATTGAAAAAGCCACACAGGCCCCCGGTACAGTTGAAGTAGGCTGTGGAGAGACGTATCTCCAACCTGCCGGCATCCGAATACTGGATGTGCACGAGCCCTTCGGACTCAACCACAGTCCCGTTTTTACTTCTGTAGACTTCCAGGTGGCCAGAGGGGTGGAAATACGGCAGTTCTGTTTCATATCCATTTACCTGCAAATGGAAGACTGTGCATGAATGAATGAAGAGGGCGGTTGACGAGAAGAGCCACGGGCGCTGACGAGTTAGCCATCTTCTTTTGGCTCACAAGGGTTAAGAGAAGTGGGAAATGGAGGGCCGGTGGGGAAGAAATGAAGATATGGCATATTCAGGGCACAAAGCAAATGCCTAGACATGTGTTGCCTGAAGACCCACTGAAAGCAGAGGGAGATTGAATGTCCTTGTGATACAGGATCTTGGACAAGTTGGGGGTCAACATTCCAGTGTGGCATACTGGTGAGAGAGTTGAACTGGGAGTGGGGGAGACCCAGACCCAGATGCTCACTCAGCCAGGAAGCTCGCTGGGTGACCATGGGCCAGTCACTGGCTCTCAGCCTAGCCTACCTCACAGGGTTGTTGTGAGGATAGAATAGAGATGGGATTCTGTAGGCTGCCTGGGATTCCCTGGAGGGAAAAGACAGAATACAGTCGAAAAACAAGAACGAACCTTTCTGTTTGGTCCAGAGACCTTTCACACATTGTGCTGTGGAATGCCACTGAAAATCTATTCACGAGGGAGGCGCAGCCACTCCTGACTCGTTCATGCACGTGTCTGTATGACATACTTGTTGACACACATGCATAGAATCACGGAATCACAGAATAGTCGGGTTGGGGGTTTATTTGTGACAGGGCGCCAAGAAGGCCGACCAGGCCAATGCTGCCCATTTGCTCACAGTCTGTTCTTGATGGCACCAAGAACCACCAACAGGTACAGGTGATGTCTCAGGAGGCCCTTGCCAAGAAGTCAGGACCAGCCATGCCACGACTCCTCCAATCATCCTGCGTTTGGGTCTCCAGTGTGCTGTGTGCACCCACAGTCTCCTCTCTTGGTGCCCACGGGTCTCTCTCGCCATCCTGATTTGCTGTTTTGTCCCTTAAGAAGCTGCTTCTGGACACCCCATTTTATCTCTGAATGTAGAAGCTCCATATATTAAAGCCACTGATAGAGTTTCCTCTCTGAATTTGACAAATCCTCAAATGGGAGATTGGTTTAATAAAACAACACATTGTCACAAGGAAATGCCATGGCGCTTTTCATTGACCTGTCTGATTTTGTCTTAAACTGAGGCAAGTAATTTGCTCCTGCAGGTGTCCCAAGGCAATCATTCAGATTTTCACTCCTCTACTATTCAAGCAAATGCAAAAGCTGGGATAGTCACAGCAGAAATAGGACGGGTTAGAAGCACTTGATGGATGTCTGTGCGATATATTGATCTGTGAGCAGACAGCGCAAATACGCTTTTACTGAAAGCAGCCCACACCAGAAGCACTGGGGAGGGGATGCAACTGTTAAAAATGAGCTCATACAATCAGCATTTTAGCAAGATGTCTTCATAAAATGTCACCACAAGATTAACTAGAAAGTACATTTGATTGAAAAAGGTCTCTCCTCTGCTTTCGGTCACACATTAGTCATGTCTGTACATGCAATTAAATAACACTAGAGACGTTCAGAAGTGCTGTTAGCTATGAAAAGTGCTTGGAAATTGCTAACTATTGTTAAAGCAGTTCCAACAGCCAGGTGGCAGTCTTCGTGCAGGATCCTGACCGGGATACAAACCTCAACCAGCATATAGCCTAATTGTATGGGGTCTGTCATCATCAAAGGGGTCCAAGCCAAAGTGGTAGTCACGGATGCCTGACTTTTCAAACTCATCACATTCCTGTCCTGGCTCTCATTCCTTATTTGTTCAGATGGGAAATGGGTGCATTTCAAAAGAGTAAAATGTGCAACCCCCCCATTGGCTAAAGCATGAAAATGCACATCTGTTGTGAGAAAGTGTGCATCGTAAAGTGCACTTTTCCAAAAAACTGTATTTTTAAGTAATGCTATCTCAAACTTGGGAATGTGTGTGCCTTTAACAAAATGTGCTGCAGGTCAAGTTTGGGGCAGGGTTGGATGATTTTTGAACCAAAACGACATTCTCACATATCCCTGGAAAAGCAGTGAGTGTGCAGCTTTACCAGGAACAATGTCCTCAAACAGCAGCAACAGACTATTATGCTGCAATTGTTTCAAAAGACGACACTCCTTGGCAATTTTGAATTGATGAAGAGCAAGGAACAAATTAGACAAGACATGAATTGGATGAATGCAATTACATAAGATGGACATTTTCTTGTGGTGCCAGAAACAAGATGACTTGGAAAGGTGTGTGTGTGTGTGTGTGTGTGTGGAGGGGGGGCGGACTCAGCTCCTTCCTGCCACAATCTGAGCAAATCTCCCCCCGCACCCCATTTTTGCTCATCCCTCTTTCCAAAGGTTGCTCATCTTTCCCCACACTTGCTATTTACATAACGAAGCATGCATTTTAATTTCTTGAATGCAACTAACAGCTAGTTTTGCTCTAAGGTGTAGGGTAGTGGAATCAAAGCTCCCCTATGTAAACAACTCTGTAGGAGAAGCTTCCCCTCCATCAAAAGATCTGGCTTTGATTTAAAAAAAAAATTAAAAACCAAGCAAGCAAATTTCCTGCCTGCAAGAGACACATGATTAATTCAGTTGTCAGCAACACAGAATCAAACGGAGACTGTTTGATCACTCATCTAAACTCTTTTTGGGTCTTCCATCACTGGCATTACAATTGCCTGATAAAAGCTTATCTGGGCAAGAGGGGCAGGAGCTAATGGGATGGTCCAGTACCTGTCACTGCTGACCTTTGTCTCACCAGGATTAAGAAGAGAATCAAGACTCACTTCCCTGAAGTGCTTTTGACTTAGAGAGACTCAGAAATGGGTGGTGCATTGGGGTAGAACAGACTTTTCCTCAGCTCTTAGCTCTGCTTAGCACCTGAGGGCTGTGTTGGAACCCCGGCTCAGAAGGTGAGGGGGATATAAACAGACTCTCTCAAGAAAGAGTAAAAATGAGCCTCAACAGAGCGGAATAGTAAGAGTCTCAAGCTGAAATGCTGCTGTGTCTGGTCACTTGGCCCCACACCTTCTGCCCTTCCTACCACCGGAGCAGAGCCCCTGCAGCCCATTCCACTGAGGGATGCTGCAAGCAGCTCCACGTCCCTGCGATATGCCCCAGCAGGGATGCTGTGCGCACCTCTTTCCCCTTGCCTTCGCTTCTCCCCTCTCCTGCCCCAAGTATCCCTTCCCCCTTGTGTCCCACGGGAATCCTCCCCACCTTGATCTCTGAGCTGTCCATCCCTCCGATCTTGACCTCTTGGCTGGCAACCTGGATCCGCAACGTCCGCAGCAAGTCGGGGTTCGGCTCCAGCTTCTTTTTGCTGATGTCCACCTCCAGGTAGCTGGGTCTGTCTGGGCAGGTTTTGACCAGCGTGTAGGAGTTGTCCAGGGGGTACCCAAACGTGGCCCCGTCGAACGTCTGCAGCACTTGGTCCTGCGACACCAGGCACAGCGTCTCCCGCTTGGGGTAGCAGCCTTGGTAGCCGTTCTCCACGGCACAGACCTCCCCTTCCTGGCAGGTGGAGTTGAAGCAGCTGGCCTCCCCTCCGTCCTCGCACCAGCACTGCACCGTGCAGTCTGGCGAGGCCCAAAAGGCTTCCCCGACGGCGTGGTATCGCCCGTCCACGTCGCAGCCGCACTGGTGGACTGGGACGCAGAGGTCCGTGCTGAGCACGTAGCCTTCATCGCACTCGCAGCCCTCGGTGCACGGGGCGGTACAGGCCGAGGGGGCCGTGAGGTCGGAGCAGGTGGCTGGGCAGCTGCTGGTGCACACGGCGTAGTGGCTGAATTCCGGACACTGCACCACGGCGGCTGCAAAGGGCAGACAGACCATATTCTTTAGCATTGCCCCCGGACTTAGTGCCTTATAAAGAAGGAAGTCACTGGCCCCGCTTTACATGGGTTAGGATTCTTTTGATACAGCACAGTAGCCTGAGCTGGAGATCCAGTGTGGTGTGGCAGTGAAAATGTTGGCCTGGGACCTGGGAGAGCCGGGTTCAAGCAGCCGTGGAGCCTGCTGGGTGATTTGGGCCAGGCACAGCTTCCCAAGCTCACCTGCCTCACAGGGTTGTTGCGAGGATAAGCATGCAGTGGAGGAGAACGCTGCAAGTCGCCTCGGTTCCTTGCAAGAGGAGAAAATCAGGGCATGATTTAATGATAATTAATGATGATGCTGTGAGTTCTGGGATGCCTGCTGGTGTCCCTAACTGGCTCCTCTGCCGGAGCGCATCCCTTCGCATGCAGCCAACAGCCAGACATGTGCCTTTGGAAAGCTTCTATCAGGGAATGTAGACCACCCCTCCCTCCTCGAGGAGCGTTTCTGGAAGAGATGCAGAGTGAACAGTCTCATCTCTGCAACGCCTTTGCACTTACCGCACCCTGCCTGCATTCGCCAGTCTCCGATCGGGATCCCAAGGGCTTGGCAAACCAAGGCGTATGCCTGAATGGCTTGGCAGAGTCCTCCGGTGCCGTTATCTCGGATGCTGCACAAGTCGTACACGCAGCTGTGGACAAAGGCGGTGGGGTCGACAATGGCCCCGCACTCCCACAGGGGGCCTCTGGTCTTGTTGATGAAGCCGCAGTGCTCAGGACCAAAGTAGAGAGCTTCCATCGCCATGTCGCAGAGGCTGCAGTTGTCCAAGCAGCCCGGGGAGCACTTCCACTCGGGGTGGTAGACCCGCCAGCTCTCCCCCAGGTCCAGCACCGAGGTGGCCATTCTTCCATCCGACCGCAGCACGTCATCCTCGGGGTTCTTGTTGTAGTTTCCACAGAGCCCACATGTGGCGTTGATGTAGGAGCCCGGGACCGAGATGGCAGCGTAATGCTCTCCGTCGTACGTCACCAGAAGGCCGAAGTCGGTTTCTACGGCCGTCGACAAGCCGCTCTGATAGATCTTTATCGCCCCCAGTTCCAGGAAGACAGGGAGAGACATGACCAAGTCATCTATCTGTGGAATGGGTACAAAACACCTTTTTAAAAAGAAGAAAAATGAAGGGTGGATCCACAATATATTTATTTACGGTATTCATGACGAAGCTCTCTACTGCCTCTACGAACAAGAGCGTGAAGGCCTCCCACACACAGCGCCCAGGCCTGGAGATTCTGGCCTCACCTCGTCCATTGGGCAGAGAGCCTGAGGCCCCCTGGCTGGGGAAGCTGAGAGAAGCAGGGCGGTTGGTAGGATAGACTTTCAGGGGCGTAATAGCAATGTCCCAGTCCCTGGTGGAAGCCGTTCTGTTCTCACAGAGGATGGGTTCGGCAGAGAATGAAGGCCTCCTCCTGAGGCAGAGAAACAACCTGCACCATCGAAAGGAGTAAAGGCTTACCTTTGACTTGCAGCTCAAAATGGTTGTGAAAATACCCCTTTTCAGCTCAGCCCTTTGATTTAAGCTCAAGAAAGTGAAAATTTTGTAGCAGGGGTGCCATTACAAGGCCCAGAAAGGTGGACCGTGGTTGGCAAGATAATAGCCAAAAGACTATAGCACCCCTGGTGGATCTCCATGTATGGGCAGGAGGGGGCACTCCTTAGGTAGCCAGATCCTAAGCCATTAAACCTGAGTGCTGAATGATTGAAGTTCCCTTAAATTTCCTCACGAGTCAGTGAGTCATCAAATCTCACCATAATTTTCCCAAAGCTGCCTTTGGGGATGATTATCTTGTGTGAATAAACTTCAATGGAGATATCCTTCAGCCAGGAGACAGAAGAAGCACCCCGGTTTTCGTTCTTGGCTTCCACACTGAAGAACGGCAGGTTGGATTCGGGCCAGCACTGCCGGGCAAGAAGGTAGGAGCAGGAACCCTGGAAGTGGAAGAGAAAGCCGTCGAAGGTGTGATAATGTGGGTCCCCAAACACCACACAAGTGCTGCTCTCCACCGGCAGACATTGGTAGAACTTCTCCTTCAGCTCACAGATCTCATAGGGACCGCAGAACACCTCCTGGCAGAAGATCTCATTGTTGAAATCCAGGCAACGGCATTTGGTGGAGCAGTTTGCGCTTTCCCAGAATATCTCTCCTTGTCGTAAGAACTGCCCTAAAAGCAAAACAAAGCAGAAGGTTAGCCTTGTAGCGTTCAGAATACCTCATGAAAATCAGGCCATATTGGAATAAAATGCCCAACAGCTGCTTTTTTTGAGTCTGGAAACTCCGTGTCGCCATGGAAATGACATGTGGACCCAAGTGGCACAGATACCAGGTTTGGCTGTCCACCCTGCCCTTGCAGAAGGTAGACAGCAATGGCTAGAAAGGGGGCTTATGTGGTTCATCGATCAAACTGGAACTATGGAACCTTCTCTTTGAGGACATTAGAAAGAGTCTCTCTTTGACCAAGCCCTTTTCTTTCTCTCTTATTCTGGAGTTAAGTGCAGAGGTCCTTCTGGATCAGAAGCCTGCTGTCATGGGTAGGAGGAGCACTCCTACCCCTCACCCTTCCCTTCCCCCTTCTCTTTCTACTGCTTCCCACACTCCTGCCCCAATTCTTCACAACTAACAGAACACCCAATCGCGAAATGTCCAAGAACTCAGTGGGATCTAAGCTCACTAGTGTGTGTGTGTGTGGGGGGGGGGGAGGAACGGAAGCACGTGCAGCTCTCCGTGCATTGACCACAACTAAATAGCAGCGAAAGCAGATCACGAATGGCTGAGCCTGTGCCGCATGAATTATATCTCAAATCTGCTATCGCTGGTGCTGCAAGTGAATTCTAATAACAATGGGGGAGGTATGTTTGCAGCTCAAGGGGCATTAATTTGCGATTGCTTGGCTAGGCTCATTTTCCTGCAGCCTGAATTAGCAGTAATTAAACATCAAGCAGCATAATTTTGGAGCAAGAATGTTTTACAATAGTTACAGCGCTACTGAATGTAAACCTGGTAAAACGTACCCTATATAGCATGACTACCAGCAGCAATACTATTCAACATCACCGTCACCGTAGTGACTCCATGAGAAGGATAAAACCATTCAAAGTGTACAATAACTCCAGGGGTCTCCATTGCGCTGCTCAAGGGCCTGAATGTGTCTGCGGATATTTCTCCAGGCACCTCCTGGCTTCCTGCTGCTCCTGGATCTTATTTTGTTTTGGAGGATTTGTTTCAATTAAAACATGCAAGCAAACAAACTCCCAGGAAGCAAGCAAGCTGTGAGGTTCAGTCCTGCCCTTCAGGGCCTTCTTTCTTTGGGTTCAAGGGCAGGTTTGGAACTCAGACTCCCACCTTGTAGCTCGATCCTTGGGCAAAGGACTTCTCTTTCCTTCGGAATGATTTGGCTTCTGTGATTCGTGGCCAGCCTCACTCACCATGGCAACCACTTTATGAATGGGCAAGCCCCACCCCTGGGCAGCTATCAGTACTCCAACCAGGCTGGGAACGCCATAATTGTTTTCGGAATGCTGCATCTCAGCATGCCATTCCCAGAGCCCTCCAAAGAAGGGGCGAGAATCCACAGTGGACAAATGGTGCTGAAGCAGTGGAAGCTGGTGAGCATGGGGGTGGTTAAGGGGGAAATAAGTCCACCAGCTCTAGGGGTGGCGTATTCCCCCCGACCACCATCCTAAGAGCACACTGGGGGAGTGAAAGGATTGGGCCTCTGGGGATCCGAATCCTGCCCAGACCGACTCCCACCATCCATGCATTTTGCCAGTACTGACACTGGAGCACTGATGGTGGAGAAGCGGGGGCAATAGAGTTCCCACAACGACTGGAGGGCTTTGTTAGCTTCACTAGTTCCAGCCTGTCCAGTTTAAGCCTGAGTCAACAAGCTGGCCTTGAAATCTGAAGCTCCTTAGTCCAGCAGGGGGCAGAAAGCAGACCAAGATCTTCTGGGTGATTTGCGGTAAATGGACAGTGGCCTTTAGCCACCAGGTATTTGGACATAGTAGTGTTTAAGTCTCAATGAAACTTGCAATTTTGCATCTGTAGCAAGCCAGATGTCAGGTTGTCTTTGCAGACCATCTGGAGGTGTGGAGATGGACAGGTGAACAGCAACGGTGGAACCCAAGAACATTTTCAGTTGCAGAGAGACCTGTTCTCCAAGCTTGGAAGGAAAAACACACCACCCACCCCACATTTGAGCAAATTGCTTGCAACTGCCAAAGTCATTGAGGTGTTTTCTAGATATATGGATAACTTATATTAACATATATATTTGAAATGGAAATGCTAATCCTTTTTTCTTCTGCTTTTTCTGTTTCCTTCTCTCTCTTTATTCCTTCTCCTGTACCAAGGGAGATATTACTGTCCTGATTAATGTAGAGTGACATGTTTCATTAAATGAATTCTTTTTTTTCTTCCTTCCTCTTCTTCTTGGCTTGTTCGATTTTGCTTTATTCTTTTGTTGTGATCATGCTGCTGCAAATAAAAGGATTCTTAAAGAATCCCAGTGCAGGGCTCTCAAGGCGCTGCAGACCAGGGAGAAAACTGGGTGATGTCTGTCAGCTCCCATCTGCAACCCAGATGTCTTTTTCAGTGCTCAGTGAAGTGCCTCCCTTCGCACTCTTTAATTAACACACTTTATTAGAAGCACCTGGAATGGCTGTGCAGCAGCAACCTGCAGCAGCTGAACACTGGGGGTTCCAAGAGCCTGTGCAATATCCTGCGGATCGCTTCTGCCTTGCGGTCAGGCCTTCAGGCCAGTGACTTGTAAGCCCATGCTAGCCATTCTGTGGGGTGCCCAGGAAAGGTTTTCAAATTGCCAGATGGGCGCTTGAAGCCCCAGTGGTGTGGGTGTTCAAGGACAGGCTGGACATGCACATGGTAGGCATGTCATGAGCAGAGGTGGCTGGAGCCAGGGTCAGACTAGATGGCCCAGGAGGTCCCTTCTGACTTGCTCTGTTTCTATGTTTCTATCACCTGCAAATTTTTGCCTACCCCCATGCTGGCTCCTGGATTTGAAGCTCCGCAGCCCTGAAACTGAGGATGTCTTCAGACAAAGACATATAAAATAGGATGCCTGACAGATTTGCCAAAACCAAACCATGATTCAATCCCTAAAGTGTGCAGACTGCTGACGGAAAATATATTTGTCCACAGTGGAAAAGATCTCAGGGGAGGAAAGGAGCTTCATTAAATTTCTAAACCGTTAATGCTATATAATCTCTCTGCAGTTCCATTCCTGTGGGACCACGGCGATTGCTCAAATAGAGTTACAGGGAGATTCACACAAGCGTTACCTAGGAATAGGAGAATGGATGAGCCCTGCAATGCATCTTAAATCCATAATTCAGGAGACAGGGAAATTGCGATCAGCCATTGTATCTTTTTTACTGCATGGCATTTCCAAGGGAGCTGGCTCGTTAGAAAGTTGCATGGGGAAAGATAAGATTAGATTAATAGGATTCCTATCTGGGCTGGTATTTTAAAAAGCAAACACAGGAGACTCTTAACTTGGTGGAGGGGCAGCAGTGAAAGCCATGGCCTTGTCTGCTTTTTTGAATGACTCTGTGACTTGCAAATTTCTGGGTGTGGGGTGTGTATGTTGCAATTGATGGGAGCATGGAACCTCTCTGGAGGCACAGCACCTCAGACCTGAGGCTGAAGGGGGCCTGCCTCAGATCCCAATCTGGCCCACTTGGGTTCTTGCTGAGAGCTCTCCCCCGAGAGCTCATGGTAGGGTGGTTTCCAGGGCTGGGTGTTCTTCCCTCCAGCCTTAAGGGTTGAAATGCCTCTGCTGAGGTTTAGCTACTGGCAGTAAAAGCTTTAAGTACAGTATGTTGGTATCTTGCCCCACTGCTTGGCCTTTGGCCCTGCCCATCCTGAGAGCTTCTGCGAAACTGGATTCAGCCCTCAGGCTTGAAGCCTCCCTGTTTTGAGAAAGTTTTCAAGGAAAGGCTGGAGTGATGAGGTAGCCAAGCTCAAATACACGAGAAAACTTGCTCCTGTTGAGCTTGGACTCAACAGGAATGAGGGAGGGTGTTGGTCAGTCGCAAAGCGATGCTCCCACTTCAGGTGTTCGTGGGCAGAGAGCTTGAGGCCCTCCAAATGCTGCCGGATTACAACTCTCATCAGCCCCACCCACTGACCATACTGACTATGGTGGATAGGAGGAGGAGTCCAACAGCTTCTGGTTGCCAAGATTGGGAAAGGCTGCATTTCCTGTTGTATTAGTGCATTGCCACCCATGTAGAGAGACAATGTGGAGTAGTGATTTTGGTGCTGGACTAGGACTGGGGAAACCTGGGTTTCAATCTCCACTCAGCCTGAATGCAAAAGGCTGGTCCAGTCGCTACGGCTCAGCCGAAACGACCTCTCAGTAAGTTTATCCCTTTTGTTATGAGAAGCAAGCACTGATTCAGGCTACAGGTGGTATTCTCATGAAGTCCAAAGAGACACATATTCCAGGAAGGCTTTGTGTAACACAGAAGCTTGTGCATGTTGCTTAGCTTCCTGGTCAGAGCACCATGAGAGAGAGTTGTCAAGGACCTACTTGGTCTACTGGAATCTACCCCCTCAAGCTGAGCAAGATCCCAAGTGCCACCTTCAAGGCAGGCCTTTCTGTAGGGTCGTCTTCCCAGCTGCAAGTCTCTTTGAGTGCCACATGACACAGTGCTCCCCTTCACTTTTCATCTGACTCTTGGGGTCTGATATTCTCACCCTTCCCACAATCCTCTTCATTAGGAGTTGGCAAACCCAGAGAGCCCAACTTGGCTATCTTTTGAAAGATTAGATGGAGGATGGGTCTCCTCCTAGCTTCCTCCACTCTTCCTGCCCACGCACCTGTCTCCACACACTTGGATCATGGACAACCCCCTCCCCCTTCACCTCCCTGCCTGTCTCGAAATCCCTTCCTGTGTCTTCCTGGAGTGCACCTGAGGAGGCCGGGCTTAATCCCGCCACTGAGCATCTTTCAAGAAGGTCTGAGTTACAGGCAATAAACATTTACTTGGGACGGGGTCTGTCCACTCCATCTGGATCTTAGATGCATCAGTGCATAAAGCTTATTTCCCACTCTTAAGAGTGTGTCTGCACTTTCCAAACGGGAAAAAACACGTTGCACATCGGATGGCTTGTGAAAGCTCATGCTGCAATGTATTTATTAACCCCACAGGAACGTTTGCTGTTCCTCCAGCAGCAGACTAATAGTTCTACCTCTCTGGCATCTGTAGATATTACACCACAGATAAGAATAGAAGCTACTGAGCACAATATAAGCTGCTCGCATTAAGTGAGATCAGTTCTGAGTGTGGAAATCTCTTCACTGTCTCCATTCCGTTTGTCCTTTATTATCACGCAGGCCAAGATAAGGCTCTTTGTACTAATTAATAGCAGCAATTAATAACATGAATATATTATGATATTACACTACAAATTGTCATGGCTGGTCCCTCTCCTCTTTTCCTCTTTCCTCCAGAATTCCCTCCCAGAATCTGAAGGATACCATTAAGACGGCCACCATGGGAAATTCTCCCATAGACGTTCACAATCTATTTGAAGGGCACTTGAAACTCTGTAGCTGCTTTGCCAGTGCAGGAGCTTCCAAATTCTCCTTAAGCTTCCTGTTTAACGTGAGATCCAACTACAAAGCTTTTTTCAGTGCTGAACAGGGAAAAACATCTTCTGCCCGTCAGCTGCTGACCAGGGATAAGAGCTTTACCTTGCAGGACAGGGGAACAATCTGCCTGGCCCCTTATAGAACCTGCACAGTTCTCATCAGGGCTGGAAATTTCCCATCCTTTGCCTGGAAATTTCCCATCCTTGTTCTGACTAAATGGAAGGCAGTTTCTTACCTCTAAAACTGCATCCATTGGCTGGGTCGATTTCTCTTCCATCCACTTTGAACACCCAGCGGCCTGGCATGTTGACATTGGTTGTGTCTTTGATGCTGACTATGTCCGGGGTTCTCGAACCAGGGATGCTGAAGTAGTTGGTGCTGTTTCCCCCATTGAAGCCTGCCTGCAAGACAGAAATGGACAGGCTCTGAGGCAGAGACCCAGGCACGTCCCTCTTAGCCACTCTCCCATCTGGCATCTCAGGCAAAGCCAGCAAAGACTGGTGGCACCTTGAAGCCTTACACATTTACTGTGAGGTAGGCTTTAATGGACTTCATCAGGCCAGTGGTTGTCTTTAGTGTGTGTGTGTGTGCGCACAGGGGAGAAACGACTATAATAAATGGAGTTAAATGGAAATGAAATGCAAGAAGCTCCATCTCCCACAGTGCAATGAGAGCACAGGAAAGGAAGGGAAAGGAGTCCCTGCATTAGTCATTAGCCCTTGCGGGGCAGCGCTCATCTCCATTTCAAAGGTCAAGAGCCAGCACTGTCCACAGGTGTTCCCTGGTTACGCGGCTGGCATGGCATCACAGGCTGCTGTTTCCTCCCCACCAAATTGATACCTATTCAGCTGCTTGAATCACATGCTTTTGAATTGCCAGGTTGGCCAGCACTAGGGACAAGGCAGTGGAAGTTCATCCTCTCTCGTGGCTTCAAACTGCCAGCCTTTCATTCAGCAGCCCAGAGGTTCAGCGGTTTAAGTGTGTCCCCTTTTCTAATTAGAGTGCAGAAGCATGCAAAATAATCACAATAGCAATTAGTGATTATTTCTGTGCATCTGATGAAGTGGGCGCTAGGCCTTCAGCCAGGAGGGTTGTGAGGAGGCAGGACTACATCCACAAGTTTTCTAATGGATGCTCTGTGCTGTAATGGTCATGTGAGAAGAAGAGCTAAAGATCCTACCTGGGCCATCACTCCACCAAGACCAGTGAGCGGATCACCTCCACTTGCAGTCCCAGTGGTCCAGTTAATTTCTTCATAGTTGAACATGGTAAAAGAGGATGTTCCATCTGAGATTAGAAGAGCCTGGAAGGTGTTCACCTATTCAAAGCACAAATGCTTCTTGTTCAGACAGCAAGACCATTGCTCTTTGGCCAACGTTTCCTCCAAAACATTTCTTTTAATTAAATATTCTTTTAAATAAGCAATTTATTTATGAACGTAAAGGTAGCACATTTTATTTATGTACTTACATGTATTTATAGGCTGCCTATAATTGCTGAGGCCTTCCTAGACAGCCTATAAATACATATTATGAACCAAGATTCAGAAATTCAATACTTTTTACAGCATCGTAAAAATAACCTTAATTTTTGTAAGAAAGACTGAAGTAAAAGTGGTTGCCTCTCCCTCAAAGGCACACAACAAATTGTGGTTCCAGTTAGAGAGCCAATCTCAACAGATGTTACTCAAATGGAAATACCTCACTTTACGTGTCTTGCACTGCGTATGTCCTACAGATGGCAGTGTTAGAATAAGCACTGGAATTCATCAGTAGCAGATTGCTTGAACTTCAGATCGAGGCCTTTCCATCATTACACCTGAATCTATCCTCATGTTGACTTCCTTGGTTACTGTCCCTAACGTATTACTACAACCTGTAACTTTTGTAGATTAACAGGCGTTTTCATGGAAAGCTGTGCTTTTACAATCAGCAAAGCTGTGAGATCCACAACATTGTCTTGCTATGTTTTTCTTTCATTTTGTCAAACTTCTCTCTTTGGGGCAGGGAAAACTAAATGTTTATAATGATGATGTGTAGGATGATGGAGGTGGCAGTCCAAAACCTATGGAGATGCTACAATATAGGGAGATGACTATCCCAGTAGAAAGGAAACAGGTTGTAACTAGCACAATCCTGAGATTAGGTAGTCATGATTTCACTGTGGTTGAAAGAAGCCCCTTGCTGTGGGATCTGTTTTGCCCTCTAGTGTGTTATAAGACTGTGATTTGAGCAATTAAAAGGTGGCAACACTAAATATAGCAGTCTGGATCTGTTCCCGCAGGACGTGTCTCACTGGGATGCCGAGAGGCCAAGCGAACAAATCAATGCCTATAAAGCAGTTTTAAAGTCTCCTCATGAAACTGGAAGTTCAAAATATGAATCACAGAATATTAAAATAGTCCAGCCAACAATACATCAAACAGCAGCCGCTTGGAGCTGTATACTCAGCCCAAGTTTAAATAGCTCGGCTTCTGAGAATTAAATGCAAGAAATTCCAATTTAGATCAAGTCAGGATATGGCCTCCTGTCTGGAAAAAGCCCAATTCCAAAGCAATTTTGGTGGCATGTAACTTCCTTTTTATGGCCTTTCCATGGCAGGTGTTTTATAGAACCTCCTATTTCAACCACCTTAAAACTGGGCCCAAGAGACCAGCTTTCTTCTCCAGCTGACCGAGTTCTTTAATTCCCCTGACTCTAATGGAATGATTAAACCAGGGATCAGTTTGGTCGAATAAATCTAAACTTCCCTATCCAGTGAAGCAAAAGCTCATCTTAACTTGATGCCATTTTTCTCCCCTCTGATTTTTATTTTTAGGTAGATGGGTCAGAAAGCGTTGGTTGTCTGAATTTTACAGATCATCAATTTTTATTTTGTTCTTAAAATTTGTTTTTCAACCCAGGCAATGTGTACATGAATGTTTGTCCACCCAGTTTCCAAGTAGAGGAGATGGAAAATAGAAACAAAGCAGAAAAGAAAGAAGCAGAGGGCATTTAAGAAGCGTTAGGAACAAGGTGAGTTTAGGACAAGGTGAGATGCTTGCAGCTGATGCTTTTAGCCAGAGTTCTCTTGAGTTGCATGATTTCAAAGGGAAATGGAAAGCTGTGCAAGACATGCTTACTCTGACGTAACCCTCATGGTGTTCAGTGGGTATTACTCTTCCAAGTAAGGATGCACAAGGTTACAGACTTATTTTATTGCTAATCCCATGTATTGATAGCTCATCTTTTTCCTCAGTGGTCCCAGAATGTTTCCTTTTTGTTCCCCAGGATGGAACAAATACCCTGGAGCTATCTGCGTGGACATGCACGGGGTAGTAAAGAACCTATTCTATGGACATTTAGAGAGAGAGAAAGCCCCCGAACTCCCCAAATCCCCCAGCCAGTAGCATCTGGGATTCGTAGGACTAACTTATAAGGTCACTCATGGTTCCTCCTCCTTTTTTAAAATTAAATTTAAAATTCTGGGGGAATTTAATCTGGCACCAGGCTTCACCACCATGGCTCCAGTTCTTCTTGGTCTGCTTCCCATGGGGACTGACAGAAAAGAGCGAAGAAGTTCCAAAAACCAAGAATTTTCTGGGGACTTGAAGATCACCTTTCCCCCCTGCTGCCTTTCTAATCTAAGTACAGGATTGCACAGGCCTCCTGGAGATTGAAAAGGGTCGGACTTTTCACTCATTGGCTTCTCCCAGAGTGGACACAGGGTGAGCTTTAAGATCCCAATTTGCCTTCTATATGTTTGCACTATTTGCTTTCAAAAACAAAACAAAAAACCCATAAAGCTGAGCTATTTAAAGTCTGGGTCTGGGTGACAGTGCTACCGAAAGAAGTGATGCATAATAGAATTGTGTCATTTTCTCCATCACAGCATTAAGTATCAATCCACTTTCTTTATTATGCATGTAAATCTTAGTGCTCCTTGCCATTTTGTGTGAAGGATGGAGCCAGCCAAAATAAATTGCATTTTGGCAGTAAATGTAATTTCCTCCCCTTGACAAAAAACGAGTGGGGGGAGGCAAAATCCAGGACAAAGCCATGTTTCTGCAAGGTCACAACCTCCTCTAAATATTTTGAAATGAGGGGAAATGAGGCTGGAAATGGTTGTTATTTTTCAAGAAAGTTTAAGGAACAGGGTGGAGCTGTTTTGAAAGACAACTCCTGAAAAGCAAGGGGATATTTCAGTTTTCAGTGGGAGTGGCTTGGGGGAAAAAATGCAGAACGTCTGTAAACTGTAACTGGTCCGGGGCTGCAGGATCGTTGTTAACAGGGGCAAGATAGAAGGAATAATCAATCCATCATATAGAAACAGTGCCCTGCAAAACTTGTCCAGCCTGAACATCACTTATTGGGTGGTTCCCTGGCTTCTGTGAATTTCTAAAAGGCTGAAATACTTCCCCTGAGGCAACTGGCGGGCAGAGCCTGACCCTGGCCTCGGATACCATTTTTCACACCTGGGCCTTGCCTCTTTTCCTTCACACCTGCCCACTTCTGCTGTGTGGCCCCAACAGCTTCTCCAGTGGCACTGGAAGAGTTTTAGCATCTCTCAGCCAGGTGAAAGGAAGGTCTAGCCCAGAATATTGTCTCCCAAGGTTTTTGCTACAGGGCCTTGCTTTTTAAAAGAGCTGCTGTTTGTGGTTAAGACACATTTTAATAAAACAGGCAGCAGCAGACATCTGCAAAGCCTTGGGCCAGAATCCAGTGTATCAACGCCCAGCCATGATGTGACCCTAACTCTGACATCTATGATGTGGATGAAAGTTACTGGCCTCTTCGCTCCAGTGAGCCCAGAAATGTGCAGACCCCAAGAATACATCTCCGGTTTTATTTATCTTCTGTTTCTAGCATTTTTATATCACTGTTCTGTGGCAAACATCCGGCAGGGCACGACAAATATACAGTCCTCTTAGATAGCTAAGCCTTAAACCATTGAGGGCTTTAAAAGTTTTAAGACCAATGCCTTGAAATGAGTCTGGAAAGCAGTTTGGCAATGAGTGCAGTCCGTTCAAGACTGAAGAAAATGATCGCGAAACCATGTTTAGTGCACTAGCTGGAGCTCCAAGATGCTCTTCAGGGATTATTCCATCCTGAGACACCTTGTATAGATTTTAGCCTTCTCTAAACTATGGTGGATTGATTAATGTTCCTTATGACAAATTGAGATATTCCCCTTTTACCAAACCAGGATTGTTTGTGGTGAGAATGTTGCAAGAAATCTCCTTCATTTGCGTTTGGACACTTTGGGGCATCCTCTTGAGATTGCTGTGTGAACGTGTGCGCATCTTAGATACACCACTCACCTCCCATTTCTTAAATAGCCCACCTTCCGCACCCACTCAGATTAACATAATCATACATGAGAAGTAATTCCATCTGTGTGCTTACACTTAAAAGCCATAACATTCTGGGAACTGGAACAGTCAAATGATTCCTTTTATTTATTTACTTTAAGGGACTGTATTTTTTTCATTCCACAATGAGCGGGTGGATGGCCACCAAAGATTAATTTATTGTGGCAAAGAGGGTGTTGGGAGTTTTTTGCTTGTGTTCTTTAAAACACACAACCTTTCATTTATAGGCTGTATCAGGAAGATCTCTCTTGGCTCAATTTAATAGATCGATCTAGGACTTGAGAACTGTGGAAGTTACCAGGTCACGTAATGCTCCTATTCACTAAGAGCCTCTGAAAAACATCCTTGCCCCTTTCCTCCCTGAATTATACATTTTATGTGGAGTCCTGCTAGAGGAATCCCTCCATCAAGTTTTGAGGCTGGAGGTACACAGACATGCCAGAATCAGAGGAAAAGACATTAAGTGAATGGAATCTAAGAAAGCAAAGGAGCCTCATGCCAGATTTCTGCAACAGTTTAAACAGAATTCACTATTTTGTTTTCATCACCAATTTGGTTATTATGGTGTGAGTTGTGTTGTTGCAGGCTGCCTTGAGAGAGAAAGGCAGTTGAGAAATATTGCATGTGAAGTCTGTAAAATATTAAGGAACATAAAAAACAAAAACTGAGATAAGAACTCTCTGTATATCTAAACATGAAACTGCTTAGCTCTTCTGACCACACACCCAGGCACAAAATCTTCTCCATATGCAAGAGTAGCAAATCTATCCATATACGTCTTGATTGTACACTGACTGCTACATAGAAGTTTACTCTATTTGGAAGTTTACCTTGCAGTCTGGGCCCAATTCAAGGACTACACTCTAGCATTAAGTATGGGTCCAGTTACAAATTGTTTCAAGTACATCTTTCGTACACCTCATAAACCAGCCTTCATCCATCTGCCTTCCAGATGTTGGACTGCAACTCCAGCATGGCATGGCTGGCTGGCTGGCTGGGGGAGTATGGGACCTGTATTCTAACCTACCTGGGAGCCATCAAGTCAGTCAAATCTGCTCTTACCGGGGTTGTACCACTGCCTCCATAGAAGGTGACTTCTTCCCAGGTAGCAATGAAAACAGACACCGCATTGAATGACGGAAGGTTCTTAAAATGTTTGCGGATATCTTTGGAGACTTTCTTTAGGAGAGCAGGATCGGTGCTTTCGCGGTAGTAGATTTCACCTCGAATGCCGTTGTGGACGTCTGCCCAAAAGGGGGCGATGAAAGCCCTTCCATCAGCCAGGGGGAAGGACTCTGGTGTGAACTGGCTGACCAACACATTAAAGGAAATGACCCCGTTGTTGTTGACCTGCAGGGAAAGAGGGAAGTTTGATTTAAGCCTTGGCAGCAGGAGGCAAAAATGTCAGCTTAAAAGTGTACTTATGTTGGAGGCATCAGTGGTGGACAGCAGACTATTCCTTAGTGGTTGTAAATGGACTGTGTTTCTACATTCTTCTGTGCCCCTAATCTCACCCTAAAGCTGGGCGGAATTAAGATCCAAAGCTCCATTAGCCTCCCTCCAAAGCTTTGCATGTTTCTTACAATCTCCTTCTCCCTGAGATGTTATTTTTGCATGAGCAGGGCATTTGCCGTGGGGAAATAATCCAAAGTTGCACTCCCTGCTCCCTCAAATACACACCAAAGTAGCTGCAGTCTAGAGTGGAATCGTTTCCCCATGGGTGTCTTCTTACAGCTGAAGTGCATATGCAGAATTGTCACTTGCTAAACCCTTTTGGGGCACTACCCTAAGAGACTACGCATTGGGGTTCTCCTGGTTGAACATGCCCACATGAAATAAAAACATTAATTTAGCCTGGCAACAGTGGAGACTGGCCACTCCAGTGCCGGTGGGGCAACGTGTCTACTCTTGGCCACCACAGCGCAAACTTCAAAGGAGTTGTCCATGGTACTGAACCTAAAAGGGGCATTAAGAGCTCCTTTAGGGTTCAGGCCAAAGTTCATGCTGCATAAATTACCTTCTGGCCATTCTTCCCACTGGTAGGGAGAAGGATTCAACCTCATCTGTTCACCGTGAGACTGACTTGGGATGCACTCAGAATCTTTATATATATTTTTGTAGAAGAATAGCCACCACCTCCAGTCTAAATGTTCAAACCCAGAACAACAACAGCGCAACGTGCAATTTTTCTGAGTCAGTCAGTCAGCATAACTGCATGTGGTTATGAAATGTGGTCTAGACCAGGGTCCTCAAACTTGAAAAACGGGGCCAGTTGAAAGGTGCTGGTGCTGGCGGCGGGGGCAGGGCGGGGCAGGCGGGGGCACGCGGGGAGGGGCGGGGGCAGGCGGGGGTGGGGCAGGCAACAGGAGGTGGGGGGCGGGGCGGGCGAAGGGGGGCGGGGCGGGGCAGGGGCGCGAGGCAGTGGCTTGCTCGCTTGGGGACCGCTTTCTCTGAGCAAGCCCAGGTCGACCTCCGCGCGAGGCAGTGGCTGGCTCCCCATGCGCGGGGCAGGCAGGGGCAGGCGGGCGCGGCGAGTCCCAGGCCTCTCCGGCGGGCCGGATGAATGGGCTTGGCGGGCCGTAGGTTGGGGACCCACGACTGCCGGCAGAGCTTGCCAGCATTCAGAGCAGACACTGTTGCCGCAGAAATGAAGCTGGGGGGAAGCATCCTGATCTTTGTTCGAGTCGCTCGCCTGTGGGTGCAAGGCCACTTGGCGTCTGCGCATGTTATAGAGTTACTGCACAATCTTCTTGTCTGACGAACTTTCTAAATGCTCTGAATTTGACATCTGGGGGTCATTTTGCCTCTCCGTATTTTTGTACAGCGTGTGTGTGGGGTACATAAACAGACGGAACGGCTCCATCTTCTACAGCAGGGGACTGAAACTACTGAGAAGCCTGTAGGGCTACATTATTTGGGCTCAAGAACTGTGGTGAAATTGTGGAGCTAAAAGACTGACCTTCTGAAACCCGTTTGGGTATTTGAGCTTCAAGTTCCTATTGCTCAGTTACTGAGCCTTTCACCCTATTTGGAAGGAGGTGGGGGAGCCATGCAAAAGCCGGGGAACAACGGAACGGCTGGCAGACGGGGAGAAGGGCAGGCCCACCGGAGGGAACTGTGGCCCAGAGAGCAGCACTTGAAGGCATGGCCGCTCTGCCCTTGAGCTTAGATCCCTGGCCAGCAACTAGTTCAATGGCAGCACCACCTGGGAAAAGGAATGGGACATGTTGTGTCAGTTGTTGCCACAATCCAGCCACCTCTCCCCTAACCTTTGTTTTGTCTGTCTTGGCCTGGCAGCCAGTCAGGGTTGCTTTGGTAGGCAGTTTCCCTCCCGGGGCTCCAAAATACTGATCCCCACTGAAGGTGAGCTGTAATTTTATCTGGCCAGGGCGACTTATTTTATATTGTTATTTTTTGCATTTTAACTTAATGTTTGTATTTTACAAACATTTCAACTTAATGTTATGTTAATGTTTTAACTTAATGTTTGTATTTTAACGTAATGTTGTGAGCTGCCCCGAGGCTTTGGCAAATGGGGCGGCATAGAAATGTTTTAATAAATAAATAAAATAATTAATTCCATCACTTCTGAGCAAATTTGCATATCCTGTGGGACAGATCTATCTACCTACCTACCTACCTACCTACCTACCTTTCCTCTCTCCACAGTCACATTTTCTATTCTTTTCCTCCCTTTTCTAAGTTCATGATGTGTTGTGTTACATTCTTTTAATAATTGAGGTTTTACATTGTTATTTTATATTGTGCAAGCCATCCTGAGCACTTAGCGGAAGGACCGGATATAAATGCTTGTAATAAATAAATAAATGAATAAGGTGGGGTGTTGTGGCAGAAAAAACGTGTTCCAGATTTGGGACATAATTTAGAAATAAAGCAAGTCAGAAGGGGTCTCCTAGGTGCGCTTCCAGGTATCCTGGTCCCAAGATGTTTACAGCTTTGCACACTGGTCCCAGAACCTTAAGCCTGGTTCAATAACTCATAGGCAGTCAGTGCAGTTCCCGCAGCAGGAGAGTTTCATGTTGAAAGGGGGCAGCCCTTACCTACCGCATTCTGGTATTAATATTACTATTACTAGCATGAATATCCCAACACAAGTTAATAATGTGATGCGTGCAACTGACTGCCCTCGCTTTTGTTTTAGAAAACCTGAACACATCTCAGCTGAGGGCAGAAACCTGTGCACTGCTATTCTTCTTTTTAGAAGACTAAGATGTTTAGAGAGGATCCAAATGTCATAAGCAGTGGCTACTTCTCTTTCCAGCTGATAAGATTGCCTGGGAAGTTTAGCAAGGGTTTTTGTAGCAATCTGGCGGTGCATATCAAAAGACAGAGAAGGTGAGCCTGGATTCTGAGTTGAAGTACAGCGAGTAGTTAAAGGAGGTTTCAGAGCAGCTGCTCTCCATAGAAGAACCTCTCCAAAGGGGTCAGAGCCCCGCTTTTTTGCTCTTGAACTTTTGGAAAGTTGATGCCTGTCACAGTAGACCAGCAGTTGGCAACCTGATGCCCTCCAGATGTTTGGGAGCCCGACTTGCACCACCCCATCCATTACCCATGCTGGCCAGGACTAGTGGGAATCGGACCCCAAAATATCCGGAGGGCATGCTGGTTGCCTACCCATGGAGGAGACACTGCTGGCCTAGATGGACCAGTAGTCTGACTTGAAATGTGGCAGTTTGTAGCCTAAGACTCTCCTTGCCCCATTTTGCTGCTGAAGCGTTTGCTTTCCTCCCGATCCTGCCTTGAAATAGTAATTCTATCCTTCCAAGCACCAACATGGGAGATCAAATAAATGGAACAACCCCTCTGCAAAAATTCCTGAAGCAGGAACAAAATAATTCATTATTTTCTGTCAGCTCCTTCCATATTCTTGTTTCTTGTCATGCCACTGGAATAACGTCAAGGTCCAAGCATTGCTATGGTGTTTAATCACCTGCAAAAGGCAATTTATTGCCTTTTATATTCCTGCCCCGTGAACGTTAGCCCATTAAATATACCTTTGACTTTCTTAATCATAAAACCTATCAGTTCATGAAATCTAGGAACTTGTCAGGTAAGGATCCCATAAATCTTCCTCGTCTTTGAAATGCCGGAGGTGAGCTGTGTTTAAAATGCAGACACTAATGGTGGGGAAATGAGTAATAGGGTCCGGCTGCAGCTACAGACCCGGCCCCTTACTTACAAAAATGGTCCTATATGGGACTCCAAAGAAGATGAATGGGAAGGACAGCTTGATCTCTGGGGAGCTGCCGTCATCCACTTTGGGGGTTTTCGTGTCGTTTTGCCAGAACGGATACAGGATCGCCATGGACTGAGCTGCAAGAGGGATACATGCATTATTCAAATTATTCCAGCCGCACTGCGTGGGCAGCCACCCGGGACACAATCCGAGCCACCCCTCCTCCATCACCCCAAAAGCCGCCTCGTGCCATGCAGTGCTGCCGGAGAGAGTCGTGCCGCTCCTTCGTGGGGCTGGCGTTCACTGTGGCGCACAGCACCTGAAGGGGGAGAGCGGCCAGGGACGCCGGAGGGCCGGGCCACAGGTCCCACTTGGCCATGGAGCACGTGGCAGCCGGCCACTGACCCGCAACCCAGCTTGCCTCACGGGCTTTTTGCCGTACACTGCCTTGAGTCGCGGGAAGAAGTGGGGATATGCAAATGAAGTAATGAATCAGGCACAATCATCTAGGCAGGCTAGAGCATTGCGGCTGAAGGTCTGCTGGGTTACTCCAACTCATCACGTCCTTTGCCCCTCCTGCAGCTGTGTCCTAAGAGGGGCCTTCCTGGACAGCTGCTCCCCAGCATGCAAAGCCCCCACAAGTGCTCATCCCACCAGCGAAACAACACATGGATTGCCCTGTCCCTTGGCTCTACGGAGCATCTTCCATTTTCTTTGCCCCTCTTTTCCCAAACTCTTCTCTTTTCCTGCTTCTCTGCTCCTTGCTTTTACCCCTTCAGCTCCCTGCGACCGTCCTTGTGGCCAAAGCCAGGCTGGTCACGTGTTCTCTTCTTTTACTGAGGATAGTCCTCCTTTTGAAGAGGGGATTGTTGTCTCTTTTCAAGGCATTTTCAGCTTAAAGTGGCATCCGATTTAAAGATGAAAATTCACAATAAGAGCAGAGGCCTTGAATTTGCCACCAATGCTTAGCCTCTGGGCAGAAGGGCTGGATGGGCCAGCATACAGGTCCACCTGACCCAGCCACACACACAATGGGCAAATGTATTATCTAAATTACAGTCATGATTTTAACACTTGCACCGGTGGAGCAACCAAGTCCCCTTTTTGCTGATGGCCTTCCTCTTGTGCTGAGGTGCTTAAGGGGTGATGCTCTTAGCCAGCACACTGCTGCCTGCTTCTTCTAACCCAGGCAGTCCCCAGATTTGCTGGGGGGTCCATCCATTCTCCTTCCCACAAGCTTGAAGCCAGGCAAGTTATGGCACCAGGCCTAGGAGCTCATTGCAGAGTGTGTGTTCGGGGGGTTGTGGGGAGGAGGCACTGGGAGTCAGTGTAACGTGGCAAAATCCTAGGTTTGTCTAGCATGATTCGAGTTATGAAAGTCATTCATTTAAATTTAGTTAGATACTTAAGAGCTCATCCAGGCTGAACATGGACTGATCACTTCCAAAACGGTGAGGGAATGCCTGTCAAGAAGAGTATTACCTGGGCAAACAACTGTTTCTTTCCACAAACAGAGAACTACGGTTTCACCAGCCATATTTCATCCAACTCCATGGAAGACAGCTGAGAGACCCCAAGCAAGCAGGCAGGCAGGGAGGCAAGCAGCTCCAGAATTAGGGCTATACTGTTCGAAGGCATCCTTCAATGAAGGAGACCCTTCAATAAAGAATCCTAAGAGAACTTGTCCTGGAACAATTTACTGTCCTTGCCTTCAGCACTATGGTGAGAAGGAGTACATTTCCGTTTCATTCCTAATTGACACGTAGAGTTATAAATTGGCACATGCACATTTTATGCAAGTGGATATCCTCCCCTGTCCTCATTTCCCATGATACTTTACTTGTTGAGGTGATTCATAGGTGGTGGGCTCTCCCACACTGAAGACATTCAAAAAGGAACTGGGCAGCCATCTGAGTGGGATGGTGTAACTGGTGTCCTGCAACAGCAGGGGTGAACTTTATGGCCTTCATGGCCCCTTCCAACTCTACTATTCTATGATTCTATGTTGATGGAATATCTCATAGGCAGGGAATTCTGCCTAGTGGAACTAATAATTCCCTCTCACCAGGACCATTTCAAATTTTAACCCTCTCTGAAAGTGTGAGTGATCTCAGACACAAAGCAATATCCATTGGTGTTATTTTGCAAACTTAGAGAGTGCCAAGGAGTGTGTCTTTCATGTAATTGCTTGCACATCAAGCATGTGCTACTGGCTGCAAAACCAGCTACATTTGCACAAACACAGTTTTACCTGGATTCTCCTTTTGCACACAGTTCAAAACCTAGTACCTGCTAGAGCAACATCACCTATGGTAGTGAAATTACACCATTAGATACTGCCCAGACAACCCTTACCAGACTAGTCCCCAGGATCCTTTGGAGAAAGCCATGACTTCCGTAATAAAATGAATATAAATTGGCAGATATTAGCCACAGGCTATGCTACTACTAATAAAATGGATATAAGTTTACAGGTATTAGCCCTGGGCTAAAACAGCACCACTGACAAAGGCAAAATGGATCCCCTTCCCTGAGACATTTCAATCACAAGCTGAACTGCACTTGGCCAGGTGATGCTACCTTCCAACAGGGCATTAGCTTTTTGCATGAGGAAACAGGCCATCTCGGGTAGAAAACAACCTCACTCTTCACATGGTATTCAGGGAGTGTGGATGGGAGCCACCTCGGGCAAAACAATCCTTCGTCTGTTTAAGACCTTTTACTGTATTTGTCTCCCGAGACTTAACCACATGGAAGCACCTGCCCTCTGGATCTTCCTGGATTCTTGAACAAACACAGGTATGCTGAATCCTCCTGCACTAGCTTGCATATTTCACATAAAACACCCAGGGCCAGAGCCCAGAAGCCATGCCTGGTCTGAGCATGCCCCTGAACCCAGCACCTTTCTGAATCACACACCGTACTTCCCCGCCTTTGCTGCAATTTCACAGGGAAGTGGAGGTGGCCCCATAACGAAAACATCTCCTAATTTGTTGGCACCACAGTGATGGTTGGGGCTGTGAGAGTCACACCCAGTTTCAAGGCTGAGGCTTCCTTCTCACAAGTTTCGGATGGCAGACTAGACAAATCCATTTTGGAAGCACATGGGAAGGAGGTGACTCGTTGCCTGGGTCATTGGTTGAGGCTGCGTTGTTCAGAAACCGAATAAATCACCCAGTGCAGCTCCAAGACTCCAGCCTCTGCTCTAACAGGAGCAGTTTGCAAGTTCCCGGTGCTTCCTGTGGCATCTCAGCTTTTACACCCCACAAAACCAGGGGGCAAGCTGCACCCAGCATTTTTTCTGGCATTGTAACGTCTGACTCTCCAGCATGTCATGTGATGCTCACCCCAACCCTTCTCCCTTGTGCTATTTCTGCCAATTTAGCCTGTGTTTCTTGAGACCCGTCACATCATTTTTAATATGCAAAATCATTCCCTTGGGATAATTATCAGCGTGAGCTCAACTTGTGGCACTTGAGTGGGGAAGGGGAAGAGTCCAGCAGCAATGCAGAGATTGTGCCCCCACTGAATTACCAATGCCACCTACTGCTCCTCTCTTCCCCTTTGAAAAAAGGAAGCTTGCAGTGGCTTCCTGGGTGTCTTCACTCTCCTGCCGCTCCAGAAACAACACGCTACTAAAGCACTGCTCCGTCCAGATAATCCACTCAGATTACCTCCAACACCCTTACTTACAAATCAATCACATTGACTTCAGTGGCCCTTACTCTTGGAAAGTCTGCATGGGAAGGGCCCGGACTGGTTTGCAGATTCTGGCTGCAGATCTCCCCAAGTTCATCCTGCAGATGTTGGAAGGGCAGCAGCAAATGCTTCTGCCCCATGATTTTCCCCCAGGAGAAGCTGTGATTCCCCCTCCTCAAAAATCGCTCTGCTCTTTTGCATCTTCATGTAGATTCTTGAGTTAAAAAGCAAACAAGCACAAAGACAAATGATCCTCCACCACAGACTGAACAAACACGCTCTTGTGCATTTTGGTTTGAAGGTGGAAAATACAAATGGCCTCCTTCCTTTCCGTGAATTGATACAGCACTTAACACACAAGGAACTATTTTTCCAGCTGCTCTAACGCTGTTCTCCTGCACAGCGGTTTCACTGGGGTGGGCGGGCTTGCTGAGGAAGGCTTCTTGGTGGAGGGTGCCACACATCAATTGGGCAAGGCAGAGGGAGTGAGCTGCAAGGTGTTTACTGGAAGCATCAAAACGTCTTCGGCTAAATTGGGAGTGCAGGCATGGGTTGCAGCACCATAATGATTCTGGTCTCCATGCCTGCCCAGGAGAGGCCAAAAAGCCAGGCAACTGTGCTGCTCTAACAATTCAGGTTGCAAAGCTAATGCAGACCACCCCCAAAATATTCATTTTCTCCCAGGGACTGTGAAGATTGCAGCTAGCTCAGCAAGAACCAGGAACTCTCTCTCTCTCTCTCTCTCTCTCTCTCTCTGTGTGTGTGTGTGTGTGTGTGTGTGTGTGTGTGTGCACGCACGCGTGCGTGAGAAAGAGAATGTCAGTGTCTTTGCTAATAAGAAAATGCCAGTGTTGCTTCTCTGAAAGCTACAGTTCTAGTACAACACTGGCCTTCAGCCAAAGGATGGGGCAGCAGATAAGGGAAGCTACAGGATGCCTGCACCTAGATTTCCCTCCTCCTAGTCAGCTGCCAAGAGGAGGTTAAAATGCAGGGCTTCATCTTTCGTCCTTGTTGTTTATACAGCACGGAGGAGACGGAGCTGGTGGGAGTTATAGCAGGTTTCCATATGTCTTCATCCAAAGAGTGAATGATGTCCAAAGACTAATGTCTCCGAGGACTGCAGGCTTCCGGGATGATGACTGCCTTAACATCCAGGTGAGCGTGCACGCACACATGCTGGAAGAGGGGCAGGCTGAATAAACATTGTGGACGGTGCCCAGAAGTCTCTACTGGCAGCCCTGCCAGCAATCTGTGCCCCATGCCACTGTGGCGCGATGACCAGAGGGACTGGAACTGGTCCTGGCCTGGGTTCAAATCCCCACTCAGCCACGAGCCTCACAAGTGAACCAAAATTCACTTACAGGGGTGTAGTGAAGATCAAATGGCAGGGTGTGGACGGATGCACTTTTCGAAGAAGGGCAAGGCTTCAAAAATGAAGAGAGTGGATAATCAGGTTGTTTCTGTTCTAGTCCTCCAAGGGGCCCCCCAAAATCCATCCCCCAACCCATAGCACTTAAAGCAGAGCATCCCTCTACCCCCTCACTGCCATATCATTCTGCGCTTTCGTGGTATCGGTTCCTTGCACCCCTAACACAAACAACACGTGCCCATTACGACTGGGTACCTGCAACATGAGGACCCAGTCTCAGGGCTGAGTGCGAGTTGAGCATGGGGTGATCTTGAGCCATGCTGAGGAAACTGAGCCATGCTAACAGATCTTCCAAAAAGCTCATGAAGAGAATCCAAGGTTTGTTGTTGCCTCATGAATGTTGGTTTGTGTGTGGTGAACAAACCATGGTTTGTTAGCCCAAAACAACAACCCATGTTTCAATGACAACCCTCATACATTACTTACCCTGCCCTGAGGATGGGTTGTTGCATTGTGGGAACCCAATAATTAACCGGATGAAAGTTTGTGTGAAATACATTGTCCCAAATACTCAGTGTTTTTATAAGCTTGCCCTAAACTGAAGAGATGGGCACGTGGCAAAACCAATCACAAAACCAAGATAGTCCTGCATATGGATACGGCCAACGTCAAGGGCTACAAACAACCATTCTTTTGTCAAGCCATTTGGCAAGATCATCGCACAGCCATGATGCAGAAGCTGGGCAATTACAGCTCAGCTATTTCATGTTGGATTGTTGAGCATTTTCTTTTTCAGGCATGGAATTCAGCCCAGCATTTCTCAGTAGGCAGTTTTAAGCTTTGTCTGTGAGCTATATGCTTGCAGGTGCAAGCTCATCATACTTCAAATATAATAAGAACGCCTTCAAATGGTTCACTGCAAGGCACTCCAATGATTCCTCTTATCTGTACAAAATTATTCAGGGTAGTTAAAAGTCGGCGGCAGATGAGTGGAAACTGTGATAAAACAGACACTTTAAAAACTTTCCAACTGGATAACCATTTGGAAAAGCGATTTTTCCAATATTCCCCCAAACCACTCTGATATTCAAGGAAACTAACTGCCTGTTTATCATTAAAGTATCTGTCCTGTTTTTGGATCCCTACAAATTGGAAGTACATCAACTTCCCCAAAAAGAAACTTAACAATATTGAACTCCAAAAGACGTCAATAAAACTCAAAACCCCCAAAGAAGTCAATGACATCTGCACACAAAACCATAGTTCAGTGAAGCCCTAGGATCTCTTAAATGGAACTGTATTTGCCCAAAGCCTAAAATAAAATAAAATGGTAAAACAGAACACTGAAATTAGCTTCCCTTAGAAGCAACTTCCATAACTTTACTGCCTGTACATCCAACTGAAGGACACCGTGGCACAAAACCTTTATACATGAGCTTGGTTTGCAGGAGAGGCCGTGAAAGCAATGGTGCCCGGGAAGGCTCGTGGTTGGAGGCAACAAAGGACTGCCTGTTGCTACAATTACAACTGTTGTGATTAAGCAGGCACACAGATATCTTGCTCCCATGGATCTCAGTGGCACACACTTCCAGCCTAAATGTGGTGCCCCTCACATGTGCTGTGGGCATTGCTTCCCCATGGAATGCGTCCACACAGTGTGGAATGCCTGTGAACGCCAGAACTGGGAGAGCAGGGTTGCTTGCACGAAAATGCCTCATCCTACCTGTCTGCTTGCTGGGGGTGCTTAGATGAGAAGATCCACACCACTGACCTTGCCCAACACGGCGGCCTCATTCACACACACTCTCCCACGCTGTCAGATCACCCTACAGGAAAACAACCTTCCCACTGCTGGACAGTGGCGGACAACTCATGCTCCCCAGATATTGCTGGAAAGCAACCAACTCGATGGCTTGGAAGAGGGCTAGATAGATTCAGAGGTACTATGGCTGCCAATGGCTACTGGTCCGCTGGCTAGGTGCTGCCTCCATTTTTAGAGACAGTCGAACCCGGTAGTCCGTTTGGGGAACACACTGCATTGCCATCTGCAATGCCAATGGGGGAATGTCAGCAGGAGGGTCTTGCTGCATATATGGCCTACTTGTGGCCTTTGCATAGATACCTGGCAAGCCATCAGCAGAATGAGAAGCCATTACCTATAGGAGACTGGTTCTTCTGCATCCCACCTTTGATCAAATGGATTTCTGTTATGAATGCGAGTATCAGTATCCCGACACTCAAAAGCTGAAATACTAACCTTGCTGTTGTACCATGAAGAAGGAAAAGGCCACCCAGCTTCTAAAGAATGATGGATAATTCATCCTAGCAGAAGAAAAAAACAAACAGTGTAACCAATAGAGCCATCCAGGAGGAATATGGTCTCCTATGTAAATGCCACTTTGAAGGTTATGTCAAGATTGCCTTAAAAGTGTTTGATTAGTCCAGACTGGAAGAATTTTTGAAAATTAAAACTCTTCATCTGTGCACACAAATGCAAAGCCTCTTAATTAAGTAGCAGTGAATGGTACCACCATTTTTTGAGAAAAGTAATATGCACAGTTGTAGTCATTGGGACAGACACAGGAGGATTAAGATCTTGGATGAGAGAGTCTTTCTAATGTCAGCCTTTCATAGGATTTAATAAGAAAATAGCTCAGGGAAATACTCCACCCCCTAATAACCCCAAACAATTCCTCCGTGATATCCACACGACAAGATTTCTGGCTGATCAGCTTCTCCTTATAAAACAACATGACACCCGATTATGTACTGCGGATGGAGAGCTCTCATCTTTGGAAGACTTAAGGGCTCTTTTAACTAATCCTGCTTCTTCTCATCCCCACTCCTCTTTCCTTTCTTTTCTTCTTTTCTTGTTTCTGGATCATCTGGTTGGGAACACTTAACAATTCTTGACTGCAAGAATGGAAGTGCAAACATTGACATAGGTGGCCATCTCTTGCATTACACAGATATCAATTTTTATGTAGAGTTTGGCAGGAAAGAGTGGGCACAGGGGTGGAGCGGAGATAAAAAGGAAGCAGCATCAATAATACATAAATCCTATGAGGGCATTTTAATTCCTTCCCTGCCTGGTGGAATTCGTTATACATTATTAATCCAGTACAAAGTAGTTCTCAAGGTAAAGAGCTCACTGTTTCATTATTTTTCTGTTCTGATTAAATCAGGGACAAAGTTTGTCTCTATGCCCAACACACTTGGGCAGGAAATGGGTGGTGTTTGATTTAAGAGGCTCAGAAACTTTCCTCCATGTAGTCTAGTGGAAGGCTCTGTTCCCAGGATTTTGTAAAGCTGACCCTTTATTGAAAAGGATTGTGTGGGGGTCTGATTCCAGGGCAAGGGGATGGCGTGCCACAGGACTACCATGAAATGGGTTACAATAAAAATATCTTATTCTACAAGGCTTTTAAGTCAGAGTCGACTTTAGTGCAAATATTGTGAGGATCTCCTTGACAGACATGAATGTGAATAGATGGGTAGACAAAATCCTAGCAGAGCATTACCTGGTTTAACTTTCTAAATACTGCAAAATTCAGGCGCACTTCATTGTAGCTATACTTCTATGGAGCTGATGCCTGCTGAATACTGAATTTATTGTTGTAAGCCGCCCCGAGGCTTCGGCGAATGGGGCGGCATAAAAATGGTTTTTTAATAAATAAATAAATAAATAAATAAATAAATAAATAAATAAATAAAATACTACCAGCCTTACGTCCATAAAAACATGCATAGGTGCAGGATAAGTTATGAACAACAGAAAGCAATGGAGCCAGTCCCCGATGATTAATTTAAATTGCATTGCATTCGCTTGATTTCAGCAGGACGTGGCTGGGACTGGACTTTCTTCAAGGTAGGACAATCAGCAGGGTGAGCTGTGTCTATGGATTCTACATATCCAATCTACTGCATTTGTAACATACACGACTCCCCAGATACCTCCGCTGTCTTTTTCCTGCAATATACAGCCATCAATCATATTTGCTGAAATTCCTTAACTCTATGGGTATCCTTGTCTAATCTTCACTTCCCACACGTGTGTGTGTGTGTGTGTGTGTGTGTGTGTGTGTACACACACATGTACTAACGCCTCTTCAGGTTTGTACAGATTCATTTTACTAAAACTTAGGTGTAAGACAGAAATATCTAATTATAAGATATAAAATTATAAAATATAAAAGAAGTATCTAATTATTTATAGGCACATTCTATGTAAGTTTAATGCATGCATGATAAGTGTGTCAGATAGTAGGCTGAAATTTCAACATTTATCTATATATAACCGGGAGTCGACACTGATAATAGCAAGTGCAACATGCTATTCCAAGTCCAACTAGCAAATAAATTCTGAGCTCCCATTATCCCGAACATATTTCTGCCTTACTGAAGGGATAGAAATCATTTTAGGTCCTTTTTTTGGTGGAGTCATAAATGCCAGACAAAAAGAATTAGCAAGCCAACCAGCTGTATATTCCACCAATCATCAATGAAATGCTATCATTGCAAAGCAAACTACAAAGAACTGTCCCAAAGGAAGTGCTAAAGAGAAGAGTTAAAAGAAAGCAAGCAAAGGAAAGGAAGAGAAATGCAACATCTAGGTAAATCTATCAATAAATGAAAAGTAATTACCAACCTGGTTTGTGGCAAGGAAGAGCAAAATTAAACCTGAAATTTAAAACCAAAACTTGAAGAACCCCTGGAGGAAATTATGTCAATGAAATACACATGCCAATATCTTCTTGCCAATTATATGAAAGATGTTCCTCAAAACTTCTTTTGGTCTTTCAATTGAAAAACAGAAGAGAACAGTTTTCCTTATGCAGCAGTGCTGAGCTTCAGTTGAGAAAAATAAATCCACTTTTCTTTGCTAGTGTTTACTAATAAGGTGGCTAATCAAATGCACCAAAAAAAGAAAAGGAAAAAAAGGACAGGGCTGGTAAGCTCAAGCGATCCCTTCTCTTTCTCTTTCCGAAAAGTTAAACCATCCAGGAGATTCAGAAGGGAAATGTCAGTGCAACAAGGAACTAGGTATGTGGCTGTTTTGATCAGAATCACTTTTCACTTAGGGGGGGAAAAGCCTACAAAAGGGGAAAAAAAGCAACCTTTCCTTCTTTGTGTTACTGAAAGAGGGTCTATATAGTGTTACAGAATTAGCATTAAGCGACATAGGAATTAAACAGGCTCACAAACGTGGACCTTTGCACTCACAATTTCTCTGGTTCATTTAATATTAAAATAGATGTTCAAGCAATTGGTGTAGAATTGGCCCTTACCAAATTCATATCCTGCCACTTAATCTATGGCAAAACAACAAGCAATGCAGAACACCCCCCTCCTCCCCACCCTGGCAGGGGGATGCAACTGGCAGGGCTACCTGAGAAATTCTCATGGGTTTGAGACAAGGATGTAAAAGCTGCAACCCACAGTCCAAATGTGGTCTGCTGGGCACCCCAATCTGGCCTGCAAGCCTTCCATAGGAAGGCACCAAGACAGAACGGAAGTTGCCAGCATATCAGGAGATAAAGCAGCCTCCACACCTTGTTCTGCAGTTTCTCATAGTGTGGAGATATGCAAGCATTCAGTACTGTGTATGTAGATTCAGCTGGTGTTACAGGAACAGTGCCTGGAGGGTTGAGAAGCTGGCAGCTCCCTTTGTGCTGGTTTGTCTTCCGAGCCGCATGCCCCTTCCAAGTTGTACGTACTCACTTAGTTTCTGAAAGAAACTGAGAATTTGACCTGTCAGAATGGGAGGAAACCAGGTATGCCCCACTGGAATAATTCAGTTGTATCCACAGCAAAATTCTCCAGCTGGTTAATTAACACAGGGCAAATTATATTTTTATGCCAATTGGCCTGGTGTCTCAAGTCTGTGGATTGGTATCTTGCTGCAAGTGGTTGCGTCCAAGTCCTGGTGCTCCCCAATGACCAGCCTGCCTCTTGCTCCTGAGTAGTGGCACAGTACTGTGGAGAATCCCTCTTCCAAAACTGTAGGATTGCCACCTTTCAGCAAAGAAGGGAGCTGCTATACTTTTAATGAGTGCGTCAGAAGAAAATCAACAGATAAGGTTTTTCCTGGCGGTGATTGGAAGGCATCTCTTGTTGATCTTTGGACTCTCGCACTGCAATTCAAAGCTCACATCCTCTGCCCACACAATGGGATCCTGACTCTTCGCACAGAACGTTGGCCTCTTTAGCAAGTCTGTTTTGCTGACGTTCTTTTCAGTCAGAAACGAGGCAGCAGGAAGGCTTAACGTTCTTCTCCGAAGACAACGAACCAGCAGGGACAAAGATGGACAAGCCTGTTCCAACCCAGACAAAACCTGTTCTAGAACTAGAAGCATTTCTCTCCTTGTCCAGCTGCAAAAGCTACATGATATATACATACTACCCAGCATCTGAAATCTGGAAGGAGAAAGGGTTAGCTTGAAGCTCTGAAAGCATCTTTAACAGCAAAGTAAAACCAAAACATAACACGGACAGCAAACCTGTTTTCCATATGAATTTAAAACAAGAACATTTTGTAGTATGCAAATATACCTGCTGCAGGATAATCCTTCCCAACTCACACTGATGGTTTCCAGTATGTAAGAGAGGGAATACTTCTGTGAATATCCTGTTTTTAAATGCATGTTTCACTCTGTCAGAAGTTTCTGAACTACATTCTTCCTCGAGCTGGAGGCTGCTTCAAGCGTTTGAGAAATGAATTGCACAGAGAAATATTCTGTCAGGTGCACCCGTTCTCTGTGCTGGGGAGCAGTATATGCCCTCTATTTCAAGGAACAGAACATGGATAAAAAATCGGGAATGCCTCCATTTCAGATATTTTCAACAACCTGGGTGAATTGGACTATTTGTTATACCTACAAACAAAACAGCCACAAACTTTAGCTATGAGGCAGAAGCGTTTGAATAGACAAAAGCAAAGCATCCCTCAAACCAGACACATTTTTCATCCACCCAGAGCAAGGGTATGGTTAGGACTTGGCCCTGGTCTGTCCCCTCCACCCAGCTCTTGGAGCCTTGGCTCTCCATTGCCACCAATGGACGTTTCCCTTCTCTTAGTTCAATTTTTTCTATTTGTTTGCAGAGTGCAAAATACTTGAAGACTCTGATGTTTGGATGACAAAATGGTTGCTTGGCGATGGCTCCTACGGCATTTAAATAAATTTATGGGCATGATTTGTGCCTTATGGATTTGGTTCCCAAATCTTTTACATTCTGAGCAACACCTGATCCAAAACATGTGGTTAAATTAAGATAAATACAATCCCGCTACCGCACTGACCATGGCACCTACAGCGATACAAGTAGTTAAAATGTCTAGCTAGAGCCATTCTATGGCTTGTGGCAGAGACAGAGCTAAGGAAAAGAAGCATTCGAACAAAACAGGCCCACGTTTTTTCAAAATCTAAAGTTTATTGAAATGATCCAGCTAATTGCCCTAAGCAACTTCTTGAACACTGCAATACAAGCAAATGATTCTTAGCCCGGAGAGATTAAGCCCTCCTCCCCTGCATTACAGTAGTCAGGAATCAATGTAGAACAAGGTGGATTTGAAGCACAGATATATTTAGGTTTTTTTAAAAAACAAAAATGCAAAGAAAAAAAATAGACCTTCATGTTTAAAGAGGAAAATATTCCTGTTGCAAAAGGGTCGATTCATCATTATCTTTGGGGATCCTCTGACAGGCATGCAGACAAAAGCTCAATCAAATGGTTGAATATTCTAAGGCAAGTGAGGACAAGCTTAAAGGATCTGCTTTGCTTTTTTGTTCTCATTAGAACCCCCAAAGCCACAAACTGGTGCTTGGTGCAAGAAACACACACTTAGAATTAATGAATTCTGAGCTCAGGAATTTGCTCTGAATTCCAGAACCATATTGAGCTCCCCAGCTTTCCACACAAAAACCTACCCCCTTGTCTCCACATGCTTTATTTCAAGTACAATTTAGGATAGAGGGTGGAGACTGTTCCATAATTACTCTCGAGAACCAGGAACCCTTGCTGAGATTTCTCAGTAGGTCCAGATCTACCTTCTGTTCACCCCTTTTCTAAGGCAACCACTCTCAAGCTTTGCATAGTGAGCCTATCTAGGTTGCTGGAGGGGGAAGGCCTTAGCAACAGCATACCTGCTTTGCACGGAGAAGATGCAAAGATGCAAAGAAGTAGATGCCACCAGTGTCAAAAACGCAAGGCTAGAGGAAACAAAGGCTTGACTCAGGCTAAGGCAGATCCTATGTGCTTTTCTTCCTAAGCCTGACCTAGCCTTCTCAAAGGTAGCCATCCATTTTGTCCTGCCAGTAACTGAAACAAAAATAAGACCTCTCCTGCTGCTAGAAGTCTAATGAATGCTCATCATATTCCTACTCTATATTAGGAAATATCTACTATACTGCACAGTTTGGTGCTTTTAGTCAGTTATGAAAAATCCACCAACAAAGTGGTTTCCTACTTGGTATTTCTGGATATTATGAGATGCTGCAGCAACTACCTCCTCCAGAATATATTACAGTAATACTTTTAGCTCTTCATCCTGACAATGTTAAGTTAAAGGAGAGGAAAACTGATTCCAGCCCACCAGCAAACAAATGTGTGCAGCAACCACTTTAATTCATGCATAAATAACATCAACTGGCAACTTTCTCAGAAACTGGGCCCCCTTTCAAGCCTCCAAGCCACACGCTCCAAGTCCATGACCAAGAATGGCTTTGGAAGCAGGATGATGACTTGGACTATCCTGGCTCCATGTTTTTGGTGGCTCCTAGGCATGACATCCTGAGAGGGGGTGTGCGTATGTGTGCCCATCCTGCCCAGGTCTGCTGCTGCTCCTCACCTACCAGGGAGAGCGTGCCAACAGGCCAGTGCATCAGCAAGCAACGTGTCGACCATTTCTGTCCACTAACTCGCTTCTTTTGTGCCAGAGAAGGGTGAGCAAGCAGGCAGCTGGTAATGGATTGGGTGGTAGTAGAGAATCAAAATCCTTTGCCCAGTTTAACGATAGAAACCAAATTAGATGCAGGCTAAACTATTTGCATAATTTATTCAGAATGCTAAATTTGGGTCTGGCATGCACAGAATCTGGTTTCCCTCAGTACTGCAAACCAACAGCTCTCCTTAAGCCATTCATAACTACAGGCACAAGGAGCCACAACAGGTCAGTAACCGTCTGCTATAGCTTGGGACACAGAAAGAAGCTCCCCAAATTTTGAAGCCTGTGCAGCCACATTCTACACCTTCAGTAAAGTGTTGCAGGTAAGTACACAACTATCTGAAGCAAATTCTCTGAGTTGGCCTGTCTCTGAATAGGAATACCTTTTTTATCAACCTTAAGTCATACAATGCCACCTGGGTTAAGCTGTGAACAGTAAAGGTAACTTCTGCTGACTGAAACCATTCCACCTTTACAGCATGGAGCTTTTTGCGGGCACCAAACACTGCTGAGGACTAGAAGCCTGCTTGCCTCAGAAAAGGAAGCTGCTGACTTTGAGGAAGGGCAGGGGGGATAACAATTATGCATCAACTGCCATCTTGGAAGCAAGGTTCAGAGTGCAGCCACCAAACAAACCACCACCTCTGTGTGTTTAGCTAGGCGATTGGACCCAAGTCAGCGCATGTTACCCGGTCTGGCGGTCAAGATGACTTGCATTTTATGGCCAAAGGAGCATTGTCCAAAGGCGCCCTCCCAAGTTCTGTTTCAAGCAACACCAGGCCTGGGCAAGCCCTTTTCATCTTCCCAGCCTCTCTCCTGTGGTCTCGTGGCTGCCTGTGGTGCTTTTGCAGTTCAGGAAAGATGAAACTCTAGGCATGTGTTCTTTAACCGCCGTTGACCAGAATCAGCTTCTGCTACAGAATTAGAACCAGAAACAATCTACTGTAACATCAGTGGCACATCACACAGTTGCAGCCAGACCTCCAGGAAGAAGTAGAACTTCTCTTGGTGCATATTTAGGGGAAAAGGGGCAAGGAGGCAAGTTTGGTCAATGCCATGTGCAAGATCTGAAGTTAGAAAACAGGGTTGCTAGTTGGTGCAGTTTTGCAGAGCGGGGTGCTTTACTAGCCGTAGCGTGTTGCTTCCTTGCTTATGTTACTTCTGCCTTGCAATTGCCTAACAAGTTAAACAACAAATCTTTAACAATATCCCTGCATCTCCTGATCCTGACAGGAGTTGCCTAGAGCTGTGCAGAACCTGCACAAAGGGAGAAAGCATGCACAACATGATACTGAGGTTGGAGTCTGGTTTCCCGAGGAAGGTTCCAGCTCTTACAGATGGAAAGAGGACTTGGAAGCGTGTGGTTAATGGAAGGGCAGAGAGTTGGCTGAGTAAAGCATCCAGTGACTAAGGTCAGGGTCAGGCCCTGCCTAACTGCCTCCCTTGCCTTTCCACCGCGACTAGAAGAATACTGCAAACATATGTAAAACTTTGCCTTGCATAAACGATGCAAGCTGCAGATTTCCAATTTTTAAAAATTCATATGTAGAGATTTTACAGGCTTAGGTTTGCTACCCACAATGTTCTGGATCTGACAGCGGCCCTCCTGCTTAAGAACACACACACAGGCCTCAGAAGGACTCTTGTCAAAGACTTTTAACGCGAAGAGAAATTCCTTCTGAGATGCTGATGCTTGCAGAGTGAACACAGCCAGCCAGCAGTTCAAATATCTTATTAAAAGTCTGTTACCACTGCTTAAATGCTAGAGAGGGGAGAAAGGTGAGACGTACCACTCTGCCGTTCCTTTGCACGCAAATCAGTCTTCTGGCCATGGATTCAGCACAGATGTGCTTTATACAGTAGTTCCGCAGAGGACAGAATAGTCTGATATTACACAACCTTATCTTTCAATAAAACTTTGCTTTATAATAAAATATCTTATTAACACGACCATTTTCCCATTATGCTTCAATATATATACACACACACCATCACACAGAAAATGCATTGGTGTGGAGCTCCACTGCGGGGTAGCAAAAAACATTTCACTACCCAACTAGACTGGTGAGGACATGAGCCACCATGGCTTTTAGAACCCAGAGCCGTTGCAGCAGAACACCCTGGAATGACGCCACATCTCTCACTGGAGTCAGTGAAATGAAGGGACCAGGCCACTGTGCTCCGTACACAATGCCTGGACTGAGCCCACTTTTAAAGGTACCTAGAGGAAAGCAGCAATTCAAATCTGGGGGAGACCTCACTTGATACTGCCTTGAATGGTATGTGCTCTCTCCCTCACTCTCCTTAGTGTACAGGTAGGACTTCTCCGGGGAATAAAAAAGCTGATTTTCCATACTACAGATGTTAGGAAGTAAGAGAAGGAAAGTGCACGAATTCACTCCATATATCCATCCCCATGAGGAAACTAAGGCATCACGGGAAAGGAGCCTCACATGTCGGGGCAGAAAAGGTACATGCCGGGGTCAAAAGTTTATAGGTAACTAGAGCCTGCTGGGGAGGGCACCCCCCACAACTCCTATTTTAAATGTACATGTGAAAACAACAGTTCTCCAGTTTTTAAGTGTTCAAACTGACTGTGGGGCAGAGATGGGCACTGCTAAGCCAAAACCCTGCCTGATGGATAAAGTAAACTTAAAGGGAGAGACAGTGAGTGGATTTCTCAAAAGCAAAAATGGAGTTCAGTTGCATAAAGTGACTCAGGAGGTGAGGCGGAAGGAGCAAAGAGTCTGGAAGAACCATGGGCAGCAATTTATACCCATAGTAGGTTCCAAAACACCTGGTAACTGAAACACATCCTCCCTCCCCAATTAATATTAGGGTATAAAAGAGAACCTCTCCCCCCATGCTATGGTTCCCTGACACTCATTGTTCCTGATGCACCTTTGGTGAGGAAGAAGACAAGCCTTCTGCAGCTAGGTCAGCCTTCTCCGGTCGTTCTATTGCCTCCCTGTGTTGGTTTAAAAGTGTGAGCGAGCATTTTTAGCAGCTGGGACTCTGGTTTCCACTGGGGTGCAGCAGCTGGTGGAGCAGGGCAAACCCGGTTTCCAGTTGGCCGGGAAGTCTGCCAGGGTGATCCTGAGCCACTCAGCCAGCCATATCTTGTGCGATTGTCAGGAGAAAATACAGGGGGCAGGGATGGGAACAAGTATGCCACTCTTTGCTCCTTTGGAGAAGGCAACCCTAAAAATATAACATGCACTATTAAATTAGAAAAAGACCCCAGACACAGAATATGAGGGCGCCAGAATCCTTCAGCACACAGCCTAGATGACCAGGGTCACGGGAGCCATTTGCAACTTGATCGCTGTTTCAGTCACCTTTGGAACCGTCGTAAAATAGTTTTTCTTGGCTGCCGACGGAATGGCCTGCGATTTGAAGTGCTACCTTTCGAACACCAGAGCTTCCTGCACTGAGCTGGCTCCTATGCTGCCCAGGAGAGCCTGGAAGCCAGAAAGGTTACCGACCTGATCACAACTGAGCAGGGGTCCCTGCAAGCTCTGCTCTGAGAGCTGCAAAGTGCGGGTGTGCGTGCGTGCGTGCGGCCGCCTGTGCCTCCGTGGGAATCGCTATCTCCTTTGGTTTACTGCTAATCTGGAAGGGCGCTGGATATGCGCAGCAGGGAAAAGCACAGCTTATGGAACATTTTCCTTCCAAATTAGCCCCAGGCAACAAAGCGACGGGCCACCCAGGTGAAAGGAGAGCGGCAGAGCAGCCATTTGTAATTGGAGTCCCACTGCTGAGTGAACAAAAGCCACACAGAAGCTTTGACACGTACCTCATGTATGGTCTGAAGGCTGAATTCCCTGGCTGAGCGACTGTATTAGCAACGCCCCAAGCTTTGAAGAAAGCCTTTCATGCTAATATACCAGAGCAGTGGGAAGAAACCAAAGGGGGGAAAAATGCACACAGACACCTGAAGTCCGTCACACCTCCTGTTAAAACCAACCATCCTAACAACCTGCGCTGGATCGTGGTGCTCATCTCACGGATCTGGGCCTGCTAACCTGGGCTGGAGAAGTTACCTGGTATGCTTATAAAACCAAACTTCGACTGACGAACCAAAATGAAATTCCCCTGCAGAAAGCTCTTCGGCGGTGTGCCTGGGGCACGGCCGCACGCCCCTTGAAGCTAGAGCGGCTACTTGGCTTTGGAGTCCACATAGATTTTATCTCCATCCCGAATGCCGTAAGAGTGCAGTGCCCGTGAGTTGTACTTCATCTCCTCAGGACCGAAGGGAGCTTCGTGGTCCATGTAGGTGACCAGCATGCTGCTGGTGGGCAACTGGACCAATGTTTTCAATTGTTTCTTCAGTTCCGCTACTGTCTGATCCAGGCGGATCGTCATCTCCTCCACCTGGTCTTTGAAGTGGACTTCGACTTTCGCACTGCTCTGGGGCCGTAAATCTACCACTGCCAACTTCTCCAGCTTCCCGTATTTTGTTACTAGCTCATGATACCTAGGAAAAGCGAGGAAAGAGGGGAAAAAGAGGCACAAAGGTGATGACTGAGGGCATCTTATGGAATTGCTCGGTGATGTATACCCTGCTTTTTGCACCAAGGTGCTTCGATGCAGCTAGCAATATAAAATGGAGAGCAATCGTGGGATGCGTAGGCCTTTGTTTTGTCTAAACTTGCATGGGATTGTGCTGCAATTTATCATTATTTATTATTAAACTTTTATTCCATATTTATTAGCCCAAGGGCCCTCTAAGCAGATTATGGTAGAATAAAGCGACACAAATACACATGACTTTTGAGACATAAAATCCAAGTAACCAGTGAACAAATCAGCAGAGCAACAATATAAGCGGAAGAGAAAACACCACTGTGCCATCTTAAGAAATCGGAAATGCCCTCTGCTGTGCTTATTTCCAGAAGGTCAGAACTAAACAGGTGGACCAGATCCCTTTGAAGGAAGGTTCAGTCTCAGTACCAATGCAGAAAGGCCCTGTCTTGTGTGATCAGGGCCTTTATCGCTTGAACAGGAAAACCACCCTGCTAAGAACCCTGGATAGGACCCAAGAAGGCCTTAAAAATAGCTAATCAGTCCATATAGCAGAAAGAACTTTATGCATCCTGGATAGACACCCACAAAAACCAGAATGGGACCCCAAACCAGCTGGAAACCAGGTGATTTACTACTGCTAAATCCGCTTCCATGATTTTAGAGGGCACATGGTATCTTGGGCTGGGTGAAATATTAATAAGAGTCATCTCTGGACAGTCACATCTAAATTACTAAATTTCCAAGTGAGTCTAGAGTCCAGGCTGTGCATCTTTAGCAAGGCTGCCACAGAAATTCCAAGTTCTCACCGTTGTGATAGACTGCCACTACAGGTCTGTAAATAAGCTACCTCGAAAAGTTATCTGCCAACACAAGTACCCCTCTGCCTCCGCCCCATAACCCCACTGGTGGCCATCGCATGGACATCTCACTGGCAACATTAAGCAGAGTGAAATGGCTCTCGGTGGTCGGGGGGCTTTGCTGCAATAGGCTGCAGGCGTTGAGCAAACCTAAGAATGCAACAATCCTGGGGACTCTTCTGCCTTAGCTGAGAAGGTAGGACCTGCTTCTCTTCTGCTCTCTCCAGACTGAACGCCTAACATTTTACCAGCCACCCATGGCATTACTTTGGCCCACTGATCCAGATGGCAGCCGGAAGAGGAAGCCCTAAATTTCATTTTACATCACAGGTTCTGGCGAAGTGTTCATTAATGGAAGATGCAGCAGAACCGGAGGAGAGCGCGAGGAAGGAGCGAGGAGCAGTGCCACAAAGCTGCTCGGCAACTTTCTCCATCCTCCAAGAGATGCCTCATTGTACTGCATCCCTTGGGCAGAGATTCCTGCCCTCATTCCCCCCACCCACCCAAGCTCCCTTCAGGTATCTCTCTGACTGGGAATGAGGAGGCAGAGTCTCTTCTGCCGGGCTGGGAAAGTGGCAAAAAGTCAGCCCAAAGGACAAGGTAATTGAAAAGACAAAAGCGAAGAACGGCTGAGAGGAGGTAGCATTTCAAGAGTCTCTAGGCGATGCCTAGGACTGAATGCTTCTTTTGTTTCCTGTCTGACTCAGGGCGCAAACGTGATCGCTCCCGTCAGGGGGGAGATGGAGCCTGGCAACGGGGGGGGGGGGGGGGCCCCCCCCCCCCGGGACTCATGTTAAATGGAGGAATGATCGCTCAACAGCGGGGCCTCTGTCTGCCCGGAGCGTGGGGGAACCGGCGCAATGCGCTACGGTTTCCCCCGCATCTTGGACAAAATGGTCCCCCCTTGATGGGGGCCAAGTGCTCAGAGCAGGCCACTGCCCCACTCTTGAGACGGACATGGAGATAACACTCGGCCTGGTGTGGGAAAGTCTTCCTCAGGAACGGGGAAGAGCATGTTCTTAGAAGCAAAGCCATCGGCGACAGCAGGTGGACCGGCAGCGAGAAAGTGGGCTGGCAAGGGGCTGCATGGAGCGCCGTGTCGGCCTCTCCAGTCACTGGCATCGAGGAAAACCTTCACAGCCGTAGCTGTAACTCTCCCAGCATGGCTCTGGAAAGGTGTTTGGGAATGGCCAACTCTGCCGTGGTCCGAGGAGGAGCGGCAAGGGAGAAACAGGTGGTTGCAAGCTGCTTTGGAAGACCTTTTGGCAGATACAGGTGGCATACAATTGTACATAAATATATAAAATACAATAATAAATGCGCAGCTCATTCAAGCATACTAAAAAGGTGCTTCCCCCTCAACAGACAGAAGTCCTGTTACTGTTCTGGTCCTGTCCCTCCGCCACTGCCCACAAACCTCATGCAGCAAAACAGGAAGTTCTGCAGAATTTTAACAAGAAGGGGCTAAGAAAAAAACAAAGTGGCAGAATCGGTCTCTTAGGTCTGCAACAACTTTTGCCTTCAGCTGCACTCCAACCTCCAGGAGTGGCCCTTTTTTCGAGCTGGCCTGTATCTGCAACTCAGAAAGATGGCAATTCCCTGGAAAATGGCTTTCTTCGGTGCTTAATTTAGTCCTTGTGTGTCAGTACATGTCTGTACACCACATAATTCGGCCCTGCATTTTACAGGCACCTTAGGCCTTTCAAAAAAGAACAGAGTTTCTAGCCCTCATAGCCACAGCAGATGTGCTGAACACATTTTGCTTTACTTTTACCAACATCTCTACCGTAACTTTCTATAGGAAAAGAGATAAGATGACCAACATATGCAAATTAAGGCCATACTACCTAAATCATCCCACTAGAATATCAAGGACACCAAGACCACAGGAAAGTTCGGCAAAGATACTGTTCCTCATGACTTACTACCAGAAAGAAACGGAGCTGGTGGGGAACAGGGGAGAAGCTGCCCATGTGGAACAGGCTGCCCACGGCCCCGGATATGCAACCTGAATCTCAGCCACCACAGACTGCCCCTCACTCACAGCCCAGTCCAAGGGTAGCTCTGAAACGGCACACCGGCTCTGCAGAGCGGAAACGGCCAGCGTTCGATGGCTGCACACATCTTTCAGAAACCTCACACACATGAGAGCGCTTGGACAAAGGCGCCATTGAGCAGAGAAAGGTGGAAAGGGGATGCAGGTTTTTTTTTAAAGGCCATGAAGGGAGGGGAGGCCAAATGCATGCCCCCCCTCCCATTCTGTTACACCGCCTGAGTGCCAAGGCAGAAACAAGCTGCTGGAATGCAAACAGGGGAACGAAAGAACCGGCAGGCAAAAATGAAACGCCGTATGGGGATCAGATGGGGCAATGCCGGCAGGAACATGTGTCGCAGGACCAGGGAAGCCAGAACCCCGTTACACTTACCAAAGGGGCATTCATGTGCCCAGTGCACAAGCATTGGCACACTACACCCCCACAAAACGTTCCACAAGGGGCAGTGCGGAGCTTGCAGAGAAGCTGAGAGAGAACCTTTGAAGAGGAATGTTCCCCTTAACGCAAGTTACAGAGTAGGGAAAGCGCCTCCAAATCCTTCGCTCAAAAGATTTTTCTCTAGGAGGGCTGAACTCACCCACAGGTCTGCTGATTTGCATATATTGACCACCTGTGTGGTTTCTCTGCCCTTCTGGCCTGTTCTTGGCTCTTCTATGATCTCACAGGATTGCCCCCCTCCTCCTTAGAAATGTTGCTCTGAGGGGTGGCATCCATAAGGGTCCTGGGTCACTAGTCCCAGAACGTGGCTATTCTCACCCTGCAGTGGGTCGGTTGCAAAGTCATGCCCAACTCTTTGCGACCCCAAGGACATTTCTCTAGGCCTTCCTGTCCTCCATCATCCCTCAGAGTCCATCCAAGCCCACACCCACCACCCCAGTCACTCCATCTAGCCACCTCAGCCTCTGCCATCCCCTTCTGCTTTTGCCGTCAATCCTTCCCAGCATCAGGCTCTTCTCCAGGGAGCCCTTCCTTCTCATTTGGTGGCCAAAGTATTTGAGTTTCATCTTCACTATCTGGCCTTCTAAAGAGCAGTCAGGGTTGATCTCCTCTAGGACCGACCGGTTTGATCACCTTGCGGTCCAAGGGACTCTCAGGAGTCTTCTCCATCAACACAGTTCAAAAGCATCAATTCTTCAGCGCTCAGCCTTCCTTACGGTCCATCTCACAGCCATACATTACAACCGGGAAAACCATAGCCTTGACTATACACACTTTTGTTGGCAGGGTGATGTCTCTGCTTTTTAGTATGCTGTCTAGACTTGCCATAGCTTTCCTCCCAAGGACCAAGCGTCTTTTAATTTCTTGGCTGCAGTCCCCGTCTGCGGTTATCTTGGAGCCCAAGAAAATAAGATCTGTCTCTACCTCCATTTCTTCCCCATCTGTTTTCCAGGACGTAATAGCACCAGATGCCATGATCTCAGTTTTCTTAATGTTGAGTTTCAAGCCAACTTTTGGGCTCCACTCTTTCACCCTCATCAGGAGTGCAATGAATGCCCTCCAGATGGCCTTGCGCTCCTTATTCTGCTCCTGGCCACCTCCTCGAATCCCATCATTTTTCGTAGTATTGGGCCAGCTTGGATGCCATGCGCCACTTGACCATAAAGCTGCCACAACGCATCTCTCAAGACCGTTCTTGTCCCAGGGCATAACCAAGTGGAAGTTGGTGGGTGGCTAAGCTGGCCTCGCCCAACCTGGTCCCCTCCATACTAG